TTGTGGAATTGTGGGGGAGTGGTGTTTGCTTTGAATGTTCGATATAAGAAGTCACTTGCCCCGGAGCACCCTAAATTGAGGAATTACAGTATTTTGGGCTTGAATTGCCTTCAGAAAATATGCATGGACTAGCTGTAGACTTTCTCATGGTTTCAGCTGCCATTTTATAGGAGATATATCTCAGAGAACGATGGACGGGTTGAGTATTAGTATGGCCCCGGAGGGGCCGGACAAATTCGATTTTAGTAGTATTTACACTCGGATTTTACGGTAAAACATGCAATCAGTCACTCACTAGCTGCTTTGTTCCTACTTCGGGGCTCTGAGGGCGATTTGTGGAGCATAGGCCCGAGAGTAACGCAGATTTCGGTCCCAAGGGCCTCAAAGCCACAACTGCCACATGGCTCTCTGAGCCAATCCCATTTTTTCTTTTTTCTTTTTCTTTTTATTTTATTTTATTGCAACTCTATCATTATCGAGCCAGTGCCGGCAGGTAAAGGCGGTGAATCAAAATGGGATCAGTTCTCGTCCGATGAAGTCATCCGGGGTCCCCGGGTGGCTTCCTTTGGAAGGAGGTTCCCGAGGTCTTCTTGCCACGCGTCTTGAGGCTGCAAGCTTGCCACATCAGTTCTCTGTCAACGCACGCGTTCTAATCCACCTCTTACACACACCAGAGCACCTTGCGCGGTCAAGGCACAAGCGTATTTGCGCTGCTATCGATGCCCTACACGTCACCTGTCCTCGTCGTACCTACCAGGTGGAGAAACGACGAAGGGGTATGTTATATACATAGACTTGGGCCTCGGATCCACCATCCATCGGATAAGTTCTATAGATACCAACGCCGCCACCGCCGGGCGATTCATACCGCTGCTGATTTCGCGCCGACCTGCCCCGACTTGTTCGACGCCCGCCGAGGAGCCTCGGGCTGACTGAACACTACATAGCAGATAGTAAGCGGGCGTCCAGATGACCCACGGAGCCTTCAACAAGATCATAGCATAGCAGAGAATGCACTCACCAACGCTGCGAAGACGCAGACCGTGCATAACCCAGAGGAAAAGTGCGCTAGTAGATGTACCTTGCCGGAGCCACATCGCCCCCTGGCTCCACTAGATATGTCGAACAAGCACGCTTGATCGGAATCTATATAGATTATAGCAAACCGTCCTCCGAATCTTTCAAGCTTCCATGCAGTTGTGGACGCTTCGCACTTGCCGCTCTCTTAGAGTTCACGCCGACCGCGCCTTCCATGTTGCCCCGCTCCAGCATTCAGGACGTACGGTACAAAGTTCGCAGACCAGCCGGCCGCGGTATCTCGCTAGAGGCGTAAAGCGCGAATTCTGATGTGATCGACGGTATGTGCGCTAGGGGAGACGTCATAGTCAGTGCACGGGTGCAGTCGCAGATCCGTCGCTATCCACCCACATACTGATCGGAACCGAAAGGCGGGGGGAGCGCTGTGCTAATCATCAAACCCAAATGCCACGCGAGGCCATGGCCATGGTGTCCTTGAAAACGGGGGACCGCAAGGACGTTAACGTTCCTCGCCGATTTCATGAATCGAACTAAGTTTATGTTCAGTAAGACCTCCTACTGACGAGGTACAAGGGCGTCCCTCGCGGTTTTCATGCACCGGCTTTCTAGGAACGTCGCCGTCCACATTCATTTGGTGGACGATCCACTATCTGCGTAGAAATGACGTCGATCTACAGCAGTTGAACGCACCTTCATAGCTGGTCATCCTCGTAAATCCGTTTGCCTACTTGATATGAAGTGCAAGTACCCACTCGTGCGGGGAAGACGCCCGCTGATGCTCCAACATGCTCGTGTTGACCTCGGAGGGATCGCACGAAAAGCTGGCTGAGACGACAATGGGACGAACGGGCATTTAGAATACCGGGCAATGAATTGCAGCTTTCGAAGCGCAGCCTGTACTTCTGCGACTTCGAATCCCGCGAAGAATGCTTGCGCGTCCCACTGGTCAGATTGACTTGAAGGCCAGAAGGTCAATGAAGCCACATGACAGTCTAAACTTCACTCGGAGGCAAGGTATCAGGTGTGCGTCTCGCGAGACATCGGGTCGCGCAGCTAAGCACCCCCTCTCGGCGACATAATGTTAGAACAGCATATAGCATGCACAGAGATCAACGATTTACCTCGGCCCAAAGTATGCACGAATGCTCCATGGCACTACATACTTAACCTCCACCCTATTGCATCTTCCTCCAATCTATAAGACGGACTGGACGATACCACGTGAAGAACGGAGACCCACGTTCCCCACTTCCACGATCCCGACACGAGTGGAAGCATGGATACCCGCAGGCCGAGGTGACGAGGTCTCGCCTCTGGGAGTGCGTCCTTCCCGCGAGGATTTCCCGGCGAGCCCAGGTCGTAATTTCCTAACCCTCCATTGTCCGTAAGGCAAACGAATACAGTTCAAGCAACAATATCGAGAACTAGAGTCTATGGCTACAGCCTTCGCGCTTCGAATGAGATACAGTTGTCAGCGGAGCGTGAATGGAACGAAGTTGAAACTTAGGAGATGTAACATACCCATGACGTGGCGCACTCCGACCGTCCAGACACGCCGGCAGCATTCCTGACTGTAATGCGAACTGTCTTTCCATGACAATCGGTCGTTTTCCCTTGAACGCACCCTGCCATATAATATTTTCGCAGCTATCCACAGGGTAAAGCAACTCTGAGGTATGCTACACCGGTATGGTAATCATGCCGAAGCATCACCTGCCGTCGATGATTTCCTCTTGTTTGGCTGGAGAGACGCTGGTAGAAACACAGGAGTCTCTGGCGAGACAAGCAGCTAGTAGATGTCAGATGTAGTCATTCATGACTCCGGCTATTCTGCAGAGTATCAGACCTATATAACGCCCAACCGTGATTACTAGGGTCAACCAAGGTACAGTCCCAGATTGTCCTGCTTTGAAATCATTCGCAGATACGAGGGCAGATAATCCTGGACGCCCACATCACCTGCGGAAGCCCTAGGATTGTCTGCCCCGCGTGCCAGTCCATCAGCGGTGGAAGACCACGGTAAGAACAATATCCAAGCTTCCCCGAAGTCCAATCTCGCGTATTTCTCCCTTGGCTGGGAAGTCAATCAATCCAGACAGCGGTCGTCGCGTCGAGAGACTCGAGACGCGTGAATGTCAAGGGTGGCAATCGAGGTCTACCAAATCCCATCAGTCTCACGCATGGTCCTCCGGGTCCTGTAAGTACCACCTAATACTCACCGGAGACCTTCGTCCGCCTGCGATTGCAGCGTCTCCAGCCACTGGCAGCCAGCACACACCGTCTTGAATAACGCAAAGGCCACCATACTCGGCCTCCCCTTCCCCTCGTTCAGCGTTGCCCGGTACCGTCTGCCCAAGCTGGTCTCCTTCACCCCCCTCCACCTCAGTGAGTTCCCTTTATTCGTGTCCGCAGATCCGCGCTCCACGAATCTCAAGCTGATTTCATCCTGTGCACGTTTCCTTCCCTGCTTTCTTCCTTCAACTCGATTCGCGCTTCGCTTCTACTCGCAAGTCATTCCCCTCGTTCTCATCCTCCTGCGCGTCGGATACGTCCAGGCTAAGCGGTTGTATTCTCCAAAGAACGAACAAGGGATGAGTTATGTCGTAAAGTGGGGGCGGGAGAGGTCAGTGGCGCAGCATGTCATCTGTGCACTTCGTCCTTACCCCGGATTTTGCGTATAGGTTGCACTTTCCCCTCCCCGACCCTTCAACTAAGTTGTCGTACATCCGCCGCCAAATAGCAGATTACACTCACCTTCCCGAGGATTCATTCAAATTGGTTCATGGAGGAGCGGTTATGAAGGATGACAATGCTCCTCGTACGTCGCCATTTGTTTTCCTTCCTCTCCAGTCACAGTGCTCATATGCGTCGCCGTCTCGCAGTCTCAGCCTACTCAATCCGACCCAATTCCACGATCGCGCTGATAGGCGGCGAGCCCCTCCCGACACCGCCAAAATCCTCCAAATCTTCGAAACCCGACAAGAATGAGCCCCGTACCGAACAGTCCACCCTCGCCCAGATCCGCGCCGAGCGGCAAGGCGTCCAGAACGGGCTCGCGAAAGAAGTTGATGCCTTCGTGGCCAATCTCCCTCCGACGCCACCACAGCAGGAGCAGGTGAAGACGATGCAGCCGACACATGCGCGCCTCTCGGAGTTGTTACTGCAGTCGCTATTGCGGCTAGATGCGATTAATGCGGAGGGGGGATGGGACGAAGCGAGGAAGGAGAGGAAGGAGGCGGTGAAAGAGGTGCAGAAGGTATTGGATAGACTGGATGGGGCGTGGGCGGGCATTAAAGGGAGAAGATGAGATATGCAGGATACATATGGTAGAGGAGGATACGGTGATGGTGTGAGTGATTGTACTTCAGACCAGACTAGATTATTCAGGGTGTAGACGGGATAACCGCTTTCTGACCCACTGCCACTTCGCCTATTCCTTCTGTGATCCCCTTTCCGTCTATGCACGAAATGCGCTATTCAAGTGCAGGTAACCATATCTTTGCTATGCGTAGCGTGCGTCATGAGTGGTAGCTATAGGCTGTTGCTAGTTCCCGACGCTTTATGCATTCTTCCCGAAGCGGAAGTCAAGCTACCAAATTGGGATATGTTTGACAAGGAAAGCACTTCTTCCTGATTACGGTCACAACCTCCGTTCTTCCTCTCTCTGTGCTCCTTTCAACCTCTTTCCTCCTCTTTCGCTGTGTTCGTTTGGAGGACGCAACCGCGCTTCAAATCTCCATCAGCGTTCGCGTGGCTCACACGTGGTAGGTAACCTATCAATTCGCCGGAGTCCACGGCGCTTTATCGCCCAAGTCATCGCAGTGCATCAAAATCTGCCTTTCATTTCTAATCGACAGGGTCACAGAGAAATCCGAGTCAGCTTGTCTTCAGCTTAAAAGACCCACTGATTTAGCCAGTGGGTGAAGCTTTCACGCTGACAGCAACGAACATGTCGTTCCCCCCGCACGATAGTAAGTCCAAACTGTCCGATTCCCTTCCGAACCTACTTCATAACATTGTAGCATGTAGTCTCGGCGCCGTTCAACTTTCCGAAGGAGGAGGAGAAGGTCATCCAGTACTGGCGCGAGATCGATGCCTTCCAGACGAGCTTGAAGTTGTCTGAGGGCAAGCCTGAATACTCGTTCTATGACGGCCCTCCGTTCGCTACCGGTCTGCCGCATTACGGTCACTTGCTCGCTGGAACCATCAAGGTGCGCGCCCCTCACCCCTCATTCTACTCCGAACAATTACTCATCGGTGTGTAGGACATCGTCACCCGCCATTCGCACGTAACCGGCCACCACGTCGTGCGCCGCTTCGGCTGGGACACGCACGGCCTGCCCGTCGAGCACGAGATCGACAAGAAGCTCGGCATCCGCGGGCGCGAGGACGTGCTCGCGATGGGCATCGACAAGTACAACGCCGAGTGCCGCGCGATCGTCATGCGCTACTCCGCCGAGTGGCGGCGCACCGTCGAGCGCATGGGCCGCTGGATCGACTTCGACAACGACTACAAGACGCTGAACACAAGCTTTATGGAGAGCGTGTGGTGGGCGTTCTCAGAGCTCCATAAGAAGGGGATGGTGTACAGGGGCTTGAAGGTCATGCCCTACTCGACTGGGTGCTTTACACCGCTGTCGAATTTTGAAGCGGGCTTGAATTACAAGGAAGTACAGGACCCTGCAGGTAATCTTTTTTTCCTGTCCCAGCCTTAGTTATTCCCTCACCAAACAACAGTGACGGTTGCTTTCCCACTTGTTGACGATCGGAGCACGTCTCTCCTTGCATGGACGACGACACCCTGGACGCTTCCCTCCAACCTTGCTCTCTGTGTACATCCCGACTTCACCTACATCAAGATACACGACCAGGAGCGCGACCAAAACTTCATCATCCACGAAAATCTTCTCAAGACGCTGTACAAAGACCCCAAAAAGGCCAAGTTGAAGAAGGTCGGCCAGTTCAAGGGATCGGATATGAAGGGATGGCGATATGTCCCGCTCTTTGAATACTTTACAGAACAGGTTGGATCCTGTTCTTGTAGGCCCTCTTTGTCACTAATGCGCCGTAGTTTGAAGATAGGGCGTTCAGGGTCGTTGTCGATACATATGTTACAGATGCAGATGGTACAGGTATCGTTCACCAGGCGCCGGCGTTCGGTGAGGACGATCACCGCGTAGCACTGGCGCACGGTGTCATCCGGCCGGACGAGCAGCCTCCCTGCCCCATCGACGATTCAGGCAGGTTCACGAAGGAGGTACCTGATTTCCAGGGACAATACGTGAAGGTACGTGCGCAACTAAAAGTCCCCCTTTTTCCCGGTTCGGTGGTGTAACGGATATGTTGGTGTTTCCAGGACGCCGACAAGGACATCCAAAAAGTGTTGAAGGCAAAGGGCCGACTGATCGTACAGTCCGTCCTCAACCATCAGTACCCCTTCTGCTGGAGGTCAGCACTATGCCCGCCGTATGTGCGTGATGAATGCTGAATGCAACATAGGTCCGGCACGCCCCTGCTGTACCGTGCGATCCCGACGTGGTTCGTCAGGGTCTCTCCCATCGTCGATGAACTGGTAGCGAATAACAAGGAGACGCGGTGGTACGCGCTTTGTTGCTCTCCCAAGTGATATTTATGTTGAGGTGGGCTGGCATTAGGGTCCCGCAGAATGTAGGCGAAGGCCGCTTCGGAAACTGGATCGCGAATGCGCGGGATTGGAACATCTCGCGGAATCGGTACTGGGGTACGCCCATCCCGCTGTGGGCCAGTGAGGATATGGAGGAGGTTCGGCTCTCTGGGCATGTCAGGACGTGCAGTTGACGATCCTCTTTCTCACCTAGATCGTGTGCGTTGGTTCCGTGGAAGAGCTGGAGAAGTTGTCCGGCGTGAAGGGGATCACGGATTTGCACCGGGACAAGATCGATCACATCACTATCCCCTCGAAGCAAGGCAAGGGGCAGTTGAAGAGGATCGAAGAGGTGTTTGACTGTTGGTTCGAGTCGGGAAGGTGCGGATTCTCTAAATGACCACCCAGGTATGGCGGATTTGCTGACTTGGCATAGTATGCCGTATGCTCAGTTGCACTACCCCTTCGAGAACAAGGAGCTCTTCGAGCAGAGGTTCCCTGCTGACTTCGTCTCCGAGGGTATCGACCAGACGAGAGGGTGGTTCTATACACTTTTGGTTCTGTCGACGCATTTGTTTGGAAGGGCGCCCTGGAAGAATTTGATTGTCACCGGTCTTGTGCTTGCTGCGTATGTCTCACGATTTGTCGTGTCCCGTTGAGCCAGACTCACGCCTAATCACCAGAGATGGGAAGAAGATGAGTAAGAGCCTGAAGAACTATCCTGACCCTCATGTCGTTATTGATACTTACGGTGCCGACGCTACACGGTACGCAGTGGTTTTCCCTCCGTCTCATCGATCATAATCGAGCTATTGATGCAGGATGTTTTTGGTTAACTCTCCCATTGTCCGCGGCGACAACCTGCGCTTCCGGGAAGAGGGTGTGCGAGAAGTCATCTCTAGAGTCCTCTTGCCTTGGTTAAACTCCTTCCGCTTCTTCCTTGGCCACGCTGCTCTTTACCGTAAGACCTACGGCCAGGAGTTCAAATACGACCCGCACGCGCCAGTGTCTAACAATGTCATGGATCGCTGGATCCTGGCCCGGTGTCAATCTCTGATCAGACTGGTTAGGGAGGAGATGGCCGCATACCGGTTATATACTATCATCCCGCGATTACTGGATCTGGTGGATGAGTTGACTAACTGGTATATTCGATTCAACCGGAGGCGGCTAAAAGGAGAAGACGGCAAGGAGGACACGATGAAGGCGCTGAACACGCTCTTCGAGACTCTCTTTACCTTGTGCTGTACAATGGTACGTTGTTTCATAGGCTCCGCGACATTCTTTCGGACTCACACCTCTGCAGTCGTCGTACACGCCATTCCTGACAGAGAATATCTATCAGTCTCTGCGACCCTTCATGCCGGAAGTTCCGGGACAAGATGCACGGTCCATCCATTTCTTGCCCTTCCCAGAGGTCAAGGAAGAGTACTTTGACGCCGATATCGAACGTCAGGTTAAGCGCATGCAGACTGTGATCGAGTTGACACGGAATATCCGGGAGCGAAATAATCTGTCCTTGAAGGTCTGCAATCAGATCTCTGCTGTGCGCCCTCTTATGCTGATCGCTTGGCCCGTAGACGCCGTTAAAAGAGCTGCTTATCTTCCACGCAGACGAGGAATACTTAAATGACATCAAGCCATTACAGCGATACATCCAGTCTGAACTGAATGTGCGCGACGTGGTGTTTACCACGAACGAGACGGAATCTGGAGTGCGATACCGTGCTGTCGCCGACTGGAGCGTCCTGGGGAAGAAACTGCGGAAAGACTTGGGCAAGGTCAAGAATGCTCTGCCGAACGTCCCCAGCGACCAGATCAAGTCGTACACTCAGACGGGCAAGCTGTCAGTCGCAGGCATCCAGCTTGTCGAAGGCGATCTACAAGTTCAACGGTACATTGAGTTACCTACCGGGACGGAGGAGACGTATGCAACTCAGACCGATAACGATGTCGTTGTCCGATTGGACATCAAGGTCCATCCCGAGTTGAAGGGAGAGTGGCTAGCTCGCGAAATCATTAACCGCGTGCAGAAACTACGGAAGAAGGCGGGTCTGCAGGCTACCGACGATGTGGACGTTTTCTACCGCTTCGACGAAGGATCGGGTGCTGAGCTACTGGAGGCTTTCCAGAGTCACGGGGAAGCCATTCAGAAGACGGTGAGGAGCGTTCCGCAGGATATCAAGAGACGGAAAGCGGACGCGAAGACGGTCATCGAGGAGGAGCAAGAGGTGGCGGACGTGACGTTCTTGCTTTCGTTAGTGTGGCCATAGGGACGTACTGGATAGAAGAAAAGAAAAGGTGTTGTAATACATACATATAGTGTTGTGCATCAATCTTGAAGACCAGGGCTCTTGCTCATTTCTTCGTGGTTCCGAACCCGCCAAATCCCATCATCTTCATCATGTCATCGTCTACTGTGGCTTCCTGGGCGAGTTCGACACGGGCTTTCTCTTTTTCTGCTTTCTTCTGTGCCTTCTTCTCCGCCCGTATTGCCGCTTCCTTTTCGCGCACTTGGGCCAACCGTTGCTCGAAGTCAAATGTCTTTGCATTTGACGCCTCTTTCGTCTTCTCTCGCAAGTATGCTATTCGAGCCCGCACTTGCTCGACGGTCGAGCGCGATATACGTGTTGTCTGCCCCAGTGCTCTCAGGTCTAGTGCAGATAGTCAATACACCTACCCAAGCACCGCGGATTGTACACTTACGTGCTCTGCCGTTAATGTGATCCAAGTATGCTGAGCTGTCCTTATAAGTGCGGTTACAAGCTTCGCAGTAGAAACCAGGAACACCGGGACCCCTTCCGCTAGCATTCTGCACGACCATCGTCTTCCCGAGATTCTTGTCCAGCTCCAGAGGTGCTTCTCTCTGCTTCATCAGCTCAGTTGGCTTCGGGAGATCCTTCTTAACTCCTTTCCGCGGACGCTTTCCTGTGTACGATAGCCATAGGCATGTAGACAGTGTATGATGCAGCTGGCACGCTAACGCACCGGACTTCGCTCGTTCCTCATTCTCCTGCATCCGCTCTTTCTCTTCTTGATCCCGTTTCTTAGCCTTCTCTGCATACTCTTCCTTGTCCCACTTCCTTCGAAAGTCTGCGGTCGCAGCGGCCTTCGCGCCATAAGCACCAGCCTTTTCCGCCATAGCTGAACGGCAGAGAGAACGCGATTGTGGCGGTAAGCGTGAAAGATCAGTTGGCCAGACTGGGGAAGTGCTGGCCACGTTTTCGTCAGTAGCTAAACCCGCAACTCATTCTCGTTTACCGTCACGGTTTAGTTTCTACCTCAGCAACGTTCCCTACGTCTTGCACAGTCGCTTGCCAGCAGATTCAATATTGACCCCATGCACGCGCTATAGACCGTCTACTCGACGCAAAATGGACGACTTCATCGACGACGAGACGCCGTTCGCTGTTTCCTTCCCTTTACCGTTTCGCGTCCTCTTCCTGGTCGGCTTAGGCATTCTCGGTTGGGCTGCGAATCTGCACGGTCTTACCTTGCTGGGAGTTGACGTGTCGAGTGCTTTTGGCTTGAGTATCCATGCAGGCCATACGACGCCTTTACCCACAGACCGCCAGGCTGGGTCGAGATTCACCTCTTTCCATGGACCCATGTATCGTCTCTTCATATCCTACTCTACCTGGTGCTTTCTGGCCTGGAGTATCTTCCGATTTTCAGCCGGAAACGATCCCATGTTAGTCGATGTCTTCAAGTACATCCCTGGTATCGCATGTCTGGGTGTACTGTTGCTGGTCATATGTCCTTTCAACGTTTGCCAGAAACGTGAGCGCGATGCCTTTCTTCTGTGAGATGGATCCCAACACTCTTTTCATTCATCCAAACCCACGTCGTCGTCCATGCAGGTCCCTACGCAGGTGTATAACGCCCCCGTCTCATCGGCAAACATACTTCTGTGATATCGTTTTTGCGGATATCCTCACTTCCTTTGCTAAGGTTGTCGGGGATATATGGCTGTCCTTGTGTATGCTATGGCCTGGAGGCAGTCTTCTGGAGCTACCAACACAAAGCGGCCTTTCGCGGTGGGTTCTTCCCATCCTAATGAGGCGAGTCCTCAGCACCCTTGTCACCGTGCCAGGCACTCATTCAGGACAGTTTGCCGTATGCCGTGCGGCTTCGCCAATGTTTGATTGACTACTACATCCCGGGGAACGAGAGTCGACGCCCTCTATATAATGCATTGAAGTATGCGACTTCCTTTCCAGTCATCTTTTTGTCGGCCGCCCAACGAATAGTAGTGACCGAGCTCGTCGCAGAGAAAGGGGAGAAAGTGGCTAACGAGGCTTGGCACGGGGAGCATCAGCTATTTCGACTATGGTGAGTATGCATGACTGCCATCGTGACCTTATCTTGTTCACCCGACAATCTTAGGCTGTTGTCTGCTCTGGTGAACTCGCTGTATTCCTTCTGGTGGGACCTCACGAATGATTGGGGGCTGGATCTCTTGAAGATCCAATCGTCGGAGAACCGCAGTGCTCGAGTGCCAAGGCCTTTGATTCTGCCATCATTGCATTCTAGATCCGAATCAATCACCAGCAATACCGCTTCCTCCTCGTCCTCAGGCCGAGAGGATGGGTCAGACAGGCCTTGGCTATCACCTCGTCAAAATCAAGCATATCCTAATGGTCTTCGCCCGACGCTATTATATCCCCTTCCTGTGTATCCCCTCATCATCTTCCTCAACCTTGTACTACGCCTGACATGGTCAATCAAACTCTCCAGTCACCTGCACTTCTACACGGAAGGCAGCGTTGTCATATTCTGGCTAGAGATGGCAGAATTGTTCCGACGGTGGATGTGGGTGTTCGTGCGTGTAGAGTGGGAAGTCGTGCGGAGGACTGAGGAGGCGGGGTACAAGGCTGGTGGGAGTTACGATGCCGAAGAATACGAACTGCTATCCCCGAATGAGGAACAGAGCAAACCTGAGAGCTGATTAAGTGCTGTCACTGTGGGCGGCTTTTGGACACGAGACTATCTGTGTAGTACGTGACACACTCTGTGGTGGGCGTCCATCTCACGTAGCCCGTTTGGGACAGGCACCTGATAATACCCTACTGGTAATAGACAATGTTCTAATGCATATGACCGGTTCCAAGTAAGAATCTACGGCCATGGTTCCCATTGTCTGAATCGATGGCTGCTGGCCCTGCTCGTTTGCCGACTTCCGTTCCCTTTCCTATCGTGATCAGTCGGCAACCTCGCCGTTTCCCCCCGTCTTTCCGACCACTGCTCAATCTTGTCTTGCTTTCTTAAGTATTTGTTATCATATCCACGCCTGCTGACACACGTAGGCACCTTCTGCTTCCGGTCTTCCCGAGACCCAATGGTCGGAAGGCCGCCCTGTCTTCCATCTCTCACCAGACATCCGTCACGAATCGGCCCTTCCCTGGTGTACTTGTTCTATTTTGGTTGTCCGGGCTGAGCGGTGTATAATGCAGGCTTGAAAAATACGTTGAGGCGAGGGCAGAATTGTGAGTCCTCACCTAGAATAGCTCTTGCGAACGCTGCGTGGATCTAATGGTTCAGGCGGAGAGCACGTGACTTCCATCCGAGATGGAGTGCCGATGCTCGTTTGCCCGACACCGAAGGCAGACGAACGAACATCCATGAGCAAGCAGCGCTCGGGCAGATGGGTTATCTCTGTACCGTCTAAACGCAATACCCGGCAGAGACTTTCATTCCCAAAGTTCGATCTCGGGTACTAGTCCCAGCACCAGCTCTGTCAGCTGATGCTTCTCCACGTCCCACACTGTACAGCGCATGACATCTATATAAAGGTCCCAGTGGACAGTTGCTGAGCATAACGCACTAGCCACCCATCCCTGATCTATCGATATGAAGGTGAGCAGCGCTAGTGAGGTACTGGAGTGACGAGATCTAACTCCTATATGCCTCTGAGGTTCTCGCCGTTTTGTACAAGGGTGGTGAAGCCGCCAAGCAGGAGCCGCGTCTACTCGGGACGATTGAGAACCAGGTGGGCTATGAATGATGTGCCAGCGTAGGACGATGATTTGCTTAATTGATACCTACAGCTCGGTATCCGTGAATGGCTCGAGTCTAAGGGTCACACCTTTGTCGTACGTAGCATCTTAATCTCTTTTCTTTATATTCGTCTAAGTCCTTCCATGTAGGTCACTGATGACAAGGAGGGCGAGAACAGTGTATTCCAAAAGAATATCGTCGATGTCTGTTGCGCCCCTATGTCATCATATCTTATCATCGTTAATGTCCGATGTTCTAGGCCGACATCCTGATCACTACTCCCTTCCATCCCGGTTATCTGACGGGCGATCTGGTCGCTAAGGTTCGTTGAACGATTTGCGATGCGTCGACCGCCGGCTCATTAATTAAATACTGCCGCAGGCGAAGAACCTTAAGCTCTGTGTTACGGCTGGTGTCGGATCCGACCACATTGACCTGAACGCCTGCGTCGACCGCAAGATCCAGGTCCTCGAGGTTACTGGTTCCAATGTCGTCTCTGTCGCTGAGCACGTTGTCATGTCCATCCTTCTCCTGGTCAGGAACTTCGTCCCTGCTCACGAGGCCAGTCGATGCTTTCTTAAGACAAAATGCGCTCACTGATGCCATGAGCCGCAACAGATGATTGAGCGCGGTGACTGGATGGTTTCTGAGGTTGCACGGAACGCCTACGACTTGGAGGGTAAGGTCGTCGGTACCATTGGTGCTGGTCGTATCGGTTACCGTGTATTGCAACGTCTGGTGCCTTTCAACTGCAAGGAGCTCTTGTACTACGACTACGCGGCTCTTCCAGCCGGTACGCATTTCGACTTATATGGGTCGGCCTATAACTAAGGTGCCCGCCTCAGATGCTGCCAAGGCTGTCGGTGCTCGCCGAGTCGAGGACTTGAAGGACTTTGTCTCTCAATGCGACGTTATCACCGTTAACTGCCCACTGCACGAGGGTACTCGTGGCTTGGTTAACGCCGAGTTGCTCAAGCACGCGAAGAAGGGCCTGTGGATCGTCAACACCGCCCGTGGTGCCATCTGCGACAAGGACGCCATCGCTGCCGCTCTCAAGGCTGGTCAGATCAACGGTTACGCCGGTGACGTCTGGGTAAGTAGCAAAGACTGCGGTCGTGCGTGCAAGCTCTCATCATTTGCCCTACAGAATGTGCAACCTGCACCCAAGGACCACCCCTGGAGGACGATGAAGAACCCCATTGGTGGTGGCAACGGTATGGTACCCCACTATTCGGGAACGACCCTGGATGCCCAGGCCCGGTACGCTGCGGGCACGAAGAGCATCCTCGAAAACTTCTTCAACGACAAGCCTCAGGAGCCCGCCAACATCATCGTTGGAATTGGCAAGTACGAGACCAAGGCTTGTAAGTGGACGCCCATTGTCACGTTTCAAAGAGTGGTTTCTGAAATTCTCTTGCAGACGGCCAGCGTTGAGATTGGAGTCTCGGGGTGTACTGCATTTGTGCCTCATTCTACCATCACAAATGACGGTGATTTGTATGAGTAGCGCGAGTGGTGTAGCACAAGATGTACCATATTTATTAGCAGCAAATCAAAAACAGAGTCCACTCTTCCGTCATGCTTTGCTTTTCTTCAGAGAAAACAAGATAGCAAATGTCATTCCTACAAGGATACAAATACATCTTGAAATAAACTTAGGGTAATCAATACTAGTACAATACAGTAACGCATCCGCCGTGTCCTCAAAACGGGAATCCAAATATCGTCTCCACATCGTACTCATCGTCAGAAGGCTCTTCCCACATCCCATGCGTGTAAGGTTCCACAAGGTCCCCATAGTAGTCGAGCGACTCGTCGTCACTGCTAAGCTCCCGGTCCACGCCGTCCCAGGACACCTCGCCGCGAATGCGCTCCTTGAACTCCGCGACCTTACCGTCCGAAATGCTCGTGCAGTTCTGCAGCGTGATGTCCCGCACGGCCGCCTCACGCAGCATGCGGAACTCGAGCCAGTCCCGGAACGCACCGAACAGGTCGACCTGCATGTTCTCCGTCAGGCGCTCCGACCAGTCGACGTCGTTCAGCCCAATGTGACTGAGCGCGGGGAAGACGATCGGCGCGCGCTCGTGCTCCGCGCGGTCGACGGGCGTGGTCCGCGCGAGCGACTCGATCAGCGTCGAGCACCGGTACCCTCCCAGCCGCAGCGAGCTGAGCGCGGTGAGCTTCGCGAACGTTGAAACCCAGCTGTCGACGGGGACAGGCTCGGAGCAGTATACGTTGAGCGACTGCACGTGTTGTAGGTCTAGGCTTTGGCTAGCGGCCGACAGGATCGCCTTGGTGCGCTCGTTGTTCGAGCCGCCGTGCCACATCAAGGTGAGGTCGATCTGGGGGATGGCAGACGGGTCCGTCCAGAGGACGGCCATGTGCGGTATCGCGGTCTCCTTCAGTGAGCCGCCGATGATCTGCACACTGCCGTATTCAATGATGATGCGCAGGCTCTCCAGGTGCTGCCGTCCTTCTATCTCCTTCAGACGGTACCCTTGGACCATCCGCACGAGCTCGGTGAGCTCGTTTTCCCTGCCGCTCGACGCTCGACACTCCAGCTTCATCTTGACGTTGTCGGCTAAGTTCAGACTCTTCAGAATACCAGAGGTGTTCTCCACAAAGTCCTGGATGTACACCTTGGTCAAATTAGGCAGATCCACGCGAGGCGTGTCTTCGTCGATGCTCTCGGGGTCTAGCGGTGCAGCGTGCTTCAGGCGCAAAGACTGCAGGGCAGGTGTGTTGCGCAGCACATTCAGGAACTGGGTCATGGTGGGCCGACCGGGATCGTAGGTAGTAGCCTTGTCGATATGTAAATGGGTGAGGTTAGCAAGGAACCCCGAAGTCCACGCAATCTCGCAGTTGACCAGCTCGAGCCGGCGCAGACGCGGAGCTCTTCCCTGGAAGAGGGTGTCGGGGACGTGGTAGATAGTATCCATGTACGCACTAAGCCGCTGACTGCTTAGTCGAAGGGATTCCAGCGCGGGAGCTGGCCGCGAAAGAGACCCTGCAAGCCTCGAAAGCATCTGCGAAGGTGCTATGAGATCAAGCTCCTTTATCCTGTGCACTTCACCGAGAGCCTGCTGGACCGTGTTGACAAAGTTGGGCGTGCGGTACGTGAGGTCGGCTCTTACGACAATGGGCGCATTCTTCGACCGCCGCAGCATCTCCACCGTCCATTTGGGCGCAGAGAACTCAATGCGGTGCCACAGCGGCGCACAGTTAAGTGCAACCTCCCGCCAGTGCTTGCACACCTGCGTGACCTTAAACCACGAATGCAAGGGCGTGCCATACGGGGGCTGGATCACAAACGGCTCGAGGATCGAGCATATGCTGAATATGTGGGCGAGGACTTCGGGGGGAAGCTTGGATACGGGTGCGAGCTCGTTCCGCTGTGACCTGAGCTGGGACAGTTCATTGATACGCTGCCTGATCTTCTTGTCCAACTCCTCTCGACCAGTGGCGGCCAGCTCCGCCTCCCTTCTCCTAGATTCAGTCGACATTATCTGCAAATATTTGTGGTGAATGAGTACAGCGCAGACGAGGTGTACGACGACTGCCCGACCTTGTAAGAGTGCAGTGGTCGTCAATGAAGGGAAGACGCCAATCAGCGCAACCGAGACCGGGGCGGGCTTTGCTGATCAGTCCCCACGGTATGATGACTTACGTAAGCAGCCGGATGAACAAACACCCACAACGCATCCAGCTCCCCGAATTGCAACACCGTGCATTGACCGTCAATTGAGCATGCATACAGTTCCCATCCATAAAATCCAGGACCTAGTCTCTAAAGCGACAAAAATAACCCCCCTAAAACAGATAACCAAGATATATAGGGTATAGATGTCGGGTATGCCCAATTGGTGTGGGTATCTGGCCTGCTCGACAGGAACCAATCAGCGGCCATATAAGATGCTCTTGAAAAAGAAACTCACGGTATTCCATTCTGCTGCGAGTAGGATGGACATGTGTCATTGGTACTGTCCTAGCAATCATCGAGTCAATCACACGTCGCAAGTACAGGCTCGAGACTTACCGTAGGGTTCGCTGGACAGCAAGCTCCGCTTCCTAAGCTGGTGACGCTGCCTAGCGCCGCGGCATTCTTATACCCAGACCATTCCGTACAAGACACAGCTTGGTAACTAACGTTCCAGACACCGAAGTCCTATTTGACAAGATGTCAGGACGGTCGCACTTGTGAGGTCATGGTGTACTCACGGTATACCCGTAATATGAAGCATTCGACGGGAAGAAATTGTCTGGTATAGCGGAAGACGGGTACATGAGATCAAAATTGATATATGCTCCACCACTAATTATAGTAAACGTTTGGGCCGTGAGCTGGGAACTGCAGATAGGTCACAGTCAAGCTCACGCATTCGGCTTGTTGGCGGTCGCTGAACACCATCCAGCTCCTCCGAGCGGGCACAGGTCCGTAACTTTCACAACCACGCTCTTCGTAACCGAAGGATAGAAAGGCGGATTGGACATGAAGGTATTCAATAGTGTCAAATTGAAGCAACGTCCGCATCCAGGGCCATACGAGGTGCTGCTGCCGAACGCATATTGGCTCATAGCAGCTGTGGGGTACTTCTCGCTATCCGTAGTGCACCCGCAGGCAGCGATGTAGTTGGAAGGCATGGTGTAGTGGGTCATAGTGGCGTGTCCGTCCGGGGGGTATTGGATCCATTGGGGTACGACTGAGAGAACCAGGAAAGCGCACCAGAACCAAAGACAAGTAAACCGGGTCATATCTACCGCTAGAGTACACGGACGTTTCACCCACTATGGCCCGGAGGATGTGTACATGGACGTTAACTCGCAAGAAAGGTCGGTGAGAACTCCCTTGATCGCGAAAACAAGAGAGCCGTAAGAATAGCAACGGACGATATATGGTTGTTTCGTCCTCTCCTTGCCTTGCTCTGTTGTAGCAGCGATAGACTAAATGCGTAAGTCGCCAGCAGCAAGACTACAATCACGTCCATGGAGTGTAGAGGAACACGGGGAAAAGCACGACAGCCACGATACGAAACTCTCCAAGTCAAGGCCACACCTTGAAATAGAGAACTCTGGTAATTGGACTGTCCGGGGTCACAAGCTTGTTCCACATCGACCGCACATCGTCCTCAACCTGGACGACCGCCGCCGTTCTTACCACTGCTGATGCTCAGGAGTCGCGGTCATGGCCAGCACCAAACTTCTCTACCCGTCCGCTAACGAAATAGGTAAACTGAGCAAGCCCCAGCTGGCCATAAAAATCGCCAGACACTCAAATTGCAGCGAGTGCGATGCCTGCTCGGGACTCCGGCCACCACCGGATGTCGAGGTTGCTTTGGATGAACCTCAGCCGGACACTTCGTTAGTCGAACTCAGCCAGTATGGCTCGGAAGATGAAGAGTCGATGGACGACTACCTGCAGGAGTGCGGGTGCGGCCACCATGTCACCGCCCATGGCGCGGACGAGGCGACCCTCGGCAGGACAGAGTTCCTCAGAAGAGCGCGTGTGGCCATAAGGATGGATGAATTCTTGGAGGTTTGTGGCACCCAGTATTCAAACTAAGTGATTGGCTGACCTATCTAATTTGCGTACCGCCAGGTCTGTAGAGCTCCCTTGAGAGGAGGCTGGGACTAACAACTAACTACTTCAGGATGAAGACAAGCTCCTTGATTTTGGATATTCCAACGAGACTGTCGATAGTCTCCGGAATCAAATGACTACGTTCGAGCATCGGAAGAGCCCTGATGACTCTGACATGTCCTCCACGGGTACGCCATATGCAGACCCGCTGCACCGCATCATTCTTTCTGACTGCTTTGTTTCATTCGCCCACAGAAAGGGAGATTCTCTCCCCCAAATCCTCTTCGCTGAGTGACATGAGCGATGGGGAGGAACCTCCACCAAAGCGTCGGCGAGGCTTAGGCCCGGATGATTCGTCGCCGCTCCACGACAACATCCTGGATGACTCCGACGAAGAAGACAGACCCCTCGCGCAGCGAGTGCCCGCAAGCCAGCCGATTGCAGTCGCAAAAGTACACACCCCGCCTGCACCGGCACCGGCACCGGCACCAGCAGCACCTACACCTACGCCAGCACCCGTGCCCCCACCACAACCCGCGCGAAAAAAGACCCGCACCCCCGCGGCGTCTCGCGGCCGTCCTCGAAAGGACATGAAACAGCGCTCTGGAGGCAAGAATGGCGCAGGCAAGCAGCTGCCCTCGAAGAAAGCCAAGTCATCGACAGCACCTATCACACTCGCGCCGCCTACGGAGGAGGAGCAGGTGGCGATGAACAATCAGGTGAGCGGTGCAGGCGTGACTGGGCACGAGCCGTCAAAGGTAAAGGTGGAGGACACAATGGACGAGAGCCAGCTCAACCGATTGGCTACCGGCGTCACGGTTGACGCAGCCGCAAAGTCCGCTACCACAGTGAGTGTGACTGCGTTTTTTTCTCTCTTTCTTCCGCCATCACTCACCACTAATGGGCCGGTTCAAGCCACCGACCAAGGCCGAGAAGGTCGCGCACGTCGAGCTGCGCAAGGGTGTGATCAGGATCGAGCCCGTCGAGAATGACGGGTCGCCCCGCTCGTGGATTGTCCTCACGCAACTGAAGACGCTGTTTCAGAAGCAACTGCCCAAGATGCCGCGAGAGTACATCGCGCGGCTGGTTTATGACAGTAACTCGCGCTGCATGGCCATCCTGAAGCGAGGGCTGAAGGTCGTCGGTGGCATCTGCTTCCGCCCGTTCCCTCACCGCGGGTTTGCAGAGATCGTGTTCTTTGCCACCAACTCCGTCGACCAAGTCAAGGTAAGCGTGTTATCGTGTCACAGCTGGCGCCTTTCACCAATGACCTGATGAGGGCTACGGCGGCATGCTCATGGACCACTTCAAGGCGCACATCCGGCGGACGTACCCCGACATGATGCACTTCCTCACCTACGCGGACAACTTCGCCGTGGGCTACTTCAAGAAACAGGGCTTCTCGAAGGAGATCACGCTGCCGCGCTCGGTGTGGGCGGGGTACATCAAGGACTACGAGGGCGGGACGATCATGCAGTGCACGATGCTCCGCAAGGTGGATTACCTGCGCACGAGGGAGATCATCGGGCAGCAGCGCGAGGCGATCCTCGAGAAGATACGCGAGAAGAGCAGGAGCCATGTCGTGTACCCTGGCCTCTTTCAGAATGGGGAGACGGGGCCGCTGGATCCTAAGGATGTCCCAGGGCTGAGTACGCATGATTTTCGTTCCGGGTCGGCGTGCTTGCTGATAGGATTATAGGAGAGAGTGGGTGGACAGCTGACATGGTCTCCACGTGAGTGTCAGCCTTCGCTATCCTGTCATTCGTGTTGATGGATGAGTCTGGCACGAAGGAGGGGTATTGCGTGGTCCAAGAGCACCGAGCACAACATCATGCGCAAACTCCTGTCTGATTTACAAGCCCATCCCGTCTCGTGGGCGTACTTGCAGCCAGTGGACCTCGAAGTGGTCACCGACTACTTGGACTACGTCTCGACGCCGATGGGCAAGTACCTTCTTCTCCGTCCCCAACTCATATAACCCATTCTCATTCGCTTCCGCTTCGTCCACGCAGACTTTGCCACGATTGAGGGAAAGCTCAACACCAATGCGTACCCAAACCTCGACGCGCTCGTGGCGGATGCGCAGCTCGTGTTCGACAACGCGAAGACGTACAACCCTCCCGATTCGCCGTTCCATAAGAATGCGAAGCAGATGGAGAAGTACATGAGGGACTGGCTGGTGGAACGGGTGAAGAAGGAAGAGTCATGACGGCGTAGTGTCTCTTCATCTTAATTTATTGTGGGCGGATGTGACATGTATCTTATTGTATTAGTGTAGTGTACCATGTTTATTTGATCCCTGACTGAGATTCCAGCTGCAGCAATACAACAGTTTGTATCTTTATACAAGACATTTCACACTGCGCAACGCCGCGCCTTAAGCTTCCAACCAATCCAAGAACTGGGGAGTGAAGTACGTGAGGATTAACGTAGCACCTGCGAAATCGATGCACTCAGAATAGATCTCGTGCACGTCAGAGCAACAGTAGAACTTACCCGCTCTGACCATACTCTCCACCGTCTCGAATGCCATCACACGCAAGTCGTACACACCAGCGGCAGCACCCGCGCAGACCATCGCGTACTCGCCGCTGACTTGGTAGCAGGCAAGCGGGTGATCGGGGGCGAGCTCCGCGGCATCCGCGATGATGTCGAGGTAGGGAAGCGAGGGCTTTACCATGATGATGTCGGCGCCTTCGTTGACATCGCGAGTCTGCAAAGCGGTAGTTAGGGCTCAGAGGAACCTGGCAAGGGCATGCATGACATACGATGGCCCTACGCGCGAGTCCCTTGGCTGCCGGTGGAAGTTGGTAGCATTTACGGTCGCCGAAAGCTGGCGCACTGCCAGCTGCGTCTCTGATCACGATATAAGACGCAGGAAGTATTGTAAGACGGGAATGCATCTCACCTGAACGGCCCGTACAAAGCGCTCGCAAATTTCGCAGAGTAACTCATGAGGGTGCACCGATTCCCGTAGCCGCCGTCGATCAGCGCCCTCTTGATCGCCTTGATGCGCCCGTCCATCATGTCGCTCGGCGCGACGCAGTGCGCGCCAGCCTTCGCGTAGCTGAGCGCGACCTGCGCGATGCGCGTCACTGAGGGCTCGATGTCGATGGTGCCGTCAGGGTTGAGGAAGCCGCAGTGCCCGTGCGAGGTGTATTCGCAGAGGCACACGTCGCAGGCGATGTAGAGGTCGGGGTAGAGGGTGCGCAGCTTCTTGATAGCGAGAATGACAGGACCTTCGGGGTCGTCTGCTGGGGTGCCTTTCTCGTCCTTGTAGAGTGTATTCAAATTAATGTTCAGGGAACTTTATACCGGGGCAGCATGGCGCACCTTGTTGCACTTGAGAGGCACTCCGAACAAGATAACACTCTTCAAGCCCTTCTTCACCAGCGGCCCCAGAAACTCCTCGAGTTTATTCACTCCCCAGCGGCACTGACCAGGCAAACTCTTGATTTCCACCCTCGCATCCGGGTCGTCCGTGATGAAGATGGGGTACATGAGCATGGACTTGGTCAGCGTCCTCCGGCCCTGCCATGACCGCGACAAGGGGTGCTGGTAACCGCCTTGGAGGATCGAACTGGAACCCAGAGGTCAGCAAATTGGTACGCCCGACGTATTTTGTGGATGCGAACGAGATGTCCATTGTATTCAGAGCCTCAGGTGATGGTGGTAGCGGTTACAGATACAGATTGAAGCGGGTACCGACGGCAATCGGTACACGACTCGAACGGCGAGAAAAGAGCGACGCTGGCCCCAGTTAACAGAAAAATCAAGCTGTGCTCTTATAATTCTCGGATCCGTCAGGGGTGAATGTTGGTGTTCGTGGAAAGGGAGGATCCGGTATCAATCATGACACTGCCAGACCATTTGTAGTTCCGCGACGCATCTGACAGACATTTGAATCTGGTTCTGACGCCCAACATGTTGCATACGTTCTGCATAGCTGTTCTAGGTACAGAACGGGTCGAAGATGGTAGAGCTGCAGGCTCTGCGGCCGTCGTTGCAGGCGTTGTGGCGCGAGCTGTGGCAGCTGTGTATGCGCGTGTGGGTCCATGTTTTTCTCGCAGCATCGCGGTCACATGACTTTGTTGACTCTACGCGGGCCCGGGACAATGCGCTTAGCATCCCCCACCCTTTCCATACGACCACGACGACGACAGAGCCTACTTTTCTTGTACTACCACGATCCCGACAGTCTTGAGCCCAGAAACGACAGAAAAGCGTATACATTCTTTTGGAGACATGTCTGGCACCATCGCTGCCACTCCCATTTCAAGCTACACCAGGCGGACACGCGATCATAGCGTTTCTCCGGTCTGTCGAGCGCCTCTTAGGACCCCGCCGCGGCTCGTCTTCTCGCCTCAGAACAACGCCAACGACGCTATGGATACCGACGATCTCTTCTCGCCGTACCATTCTTCCGTTCTCGACTTTGAGAGCGGCGGGCGGACACCAGAGAGGAACGCGAGTCCGTTGCCAAAGGCCAAAAAGCTGAGCAGCATGGGACCCCCACCCTATCCTTACGTTCCTTCTACTCCAGCGCTCCGGACGCCCGTCAAAGACGGGCTCGTATTGCCTACTCGCCCCGCATTGTCGAACAGACATATCAACGCCACGCCGGCCGTATCACCGCAACGTCCGACTACTACTATGAAGGCGAAGTTGCTGTCCTCGCAGACACCATTCCACCGCCCACCTCTACCCATCCCCTCGTTCACTCTATGCACTCCACACACTAAAGCAGAAGCAGAGTCTCCTCTCACGCGTCAGGCGGAGAGCTTGACTCGCCCTAGGGTCTGTGACCTAGATCAATCGAGCGATTCGGATGAGGAGGTGGGACCACAGCAGGACGACGACGGTGCTACCCTCTTCTTTGGCGGAGATTCCGTCGACAAGAAGATCCTGTTCATGGTAGACGATACTGCGGAAGCAGAATTAGAAGCATCAAGGGCATTTGTTACCGAGAGACGTAATAGACCATCGAGCGCGAATGTCCTGAAGAGTGCGGGGCCGAAGCAACCGCCTCCGACTAAGGTATGCCCTGTGTACTACATTGTGAAGGGCGCAAATTGATCCCTTTAATTAGACCTGGTCATCGGCAAGCAAGGGGTTATCCTTCCCAACCCGGCAGAGGTCGGATTCATCATCCTCTTCAGACATGGGCTCTCCCGTAAAGCGGCCGCGTGCACAAGGCACAATGGGGCCGCCACCGCGCCCAGTCTCCCCCGTCCCAGTTATGCCGCGTATGCCGTTCAGGACTACCAGTTCGGCGACGCTGTTCTTCGGCGGGTCTGCGATACCTCAAGAAGATCCCGATTTTGGACTAGATTCCATATGCGACACCTACCACCCCAACAATTCCGCGCGAAACCCCGCTATTACTGTACATCCGCAAGAAGACTCCCCATGGAAGGCGTCACCCTCCGCTAGGTACTCGTCGCCTCCGCGGCCGCCGGAGGACGATGATTTCGATTATGAAGAAGAGCTGTCGTTTGAGGGCGCGAACTCGTCGTTCGCGCTCAGTATTTTCAGCGGCAGCCCGTCCCCGAAGAAGGCGAACGAGCCGACTCTGCCCAAGAAGTTCAAGCCCAGGGACTCTGGTGTTTCTCTCAGCGACGACGAGAACCCGCGAGGATTCTTGCATGTCCCTCCCGTACCTTCGTCGTCATCTGGCTCAATACACTCCAGTGGCGACGAGGCCTTGGTAACCCCGGTCTTCCCAAGTCATGGATCCGGGTGGCCTGGGGTCCAGGCTAACGTCGGAGTCGCGACTGCTGAGAACGCCTATGAAGAAGTGGACTCTGGTATCGACGTCGATACCTTCATCTTACGCACACTGGCTGCCGGAGCGAAGGAAGACCCCACGACGAAGAAAGCGCCGGGTACGCCCGTGAAGAAGGTCAAGACATCGCATTTCACTGGACATGAGCGCCCCTGGCAGAGCGCTTTCACGCACAAGATTGGCGACGTCGAGTTCGACGAGCTTGGGCTACAGGAGAAGGGCAAGCCGCGGAAGAGCATGCCTGCGGCGTTTTCGGGGTTCGGCGCGCCGAAGAAGGGGAAGCGCGAGGTGGAAGAGCATAGCTCGGATGAGGAGGTCGACGAGAGCCCGACGCTCGGGAGGGAGGCGAAGTATGAGGGCCTCGGCCTCGGGCGACCTGTGGTGAAGGGCGGGGTACCCCCGTTTAAGCCTGGGTGGTTGATGAGGAGGAGCAGTAGCGGGGCGTTCTCGAGTGGGAGCGACACGTCTGGTACTTTTGGTACGCCTACCAGGCTCCGAGTGAAGGGTGAGTGTTCTACTTGGTCTCTCTCACGTCTCGTCTCGTCGTGCTAACATACTACATTGTTCGCAGATACGCTGCTGGCACCATCGCGGATTCGCACTCAGTTCTCACCGGCGATCCATGCGGGCCTTTCCTCTGCTTCCACTACATCGTCCGGCCAATCGTCTGCGTCGCTCAACTCCCCGACGGTAGCGAGATTCGGTTTCGGGCGTCCCGATGCAATCGGTGAACAAGCTCCTCGACGCCGGCGGCGGACTCGGAGTAACTTGGGTGGAAAGATTCCCGTTAATTCGCCCTTTAACCTCAATGTAGGTTCTGCCGGTCATGGCCAAAAGCCGGTCGGAGTGCGACAGACGCACAAGCACCAGCGTGAACGGTCAGCTCCTGGTCCACTGTACAGGTCGGAGGACGATCAGCCGGGCCGCTACGAGCGCGATTTTGTGGAGATCGAGGAGATAGGCCGGGGAGAGTTCGGCCGGGTCGTGAAAGTCAAGCCGAGGCAGGCCAGCACCAAGGAGGTGTACGCGATTAAGATTTCCAAGCGGTTTGAGGGTGCCAGACGGAGGTAAGCCTCGTGATGTTGGCACACGTATTTTGAACGCTCGTTCACCGAATATTGCAGGGCACGAGTGCGGGAGGAAGCGGATATTCTCAAGCACCTGTCGCTAGCAGCGAATGGACGTCATCCGAATGTGCTAGCGTATATTGACAGTTGGGAAGAAGACGAGGCGCTGTACATCCAGACGGAGATATGCGAGCACGGGAGCTTTTCGCACTTCCTTTGGGAGTATGGTCGAGTCTTTCCGAGGCTTGAGGAGGCGCGGGTTTGGAAGATTGTAGCGGAGCTCAGTAATGTGAGTGTCCCTTCTATCAAGTCTTGTGACACTTCGGGCGCGAAGGTCGGGCCCACCATCACTCATGCCTTGCCCCGTGTCGATCCATTCTTATCCTATGCTTATCGCCGTGTCACAACTAGGGTTTACGCTTCATTCATGATCACGGGGTCATTCACCTCGATCTCAAGCCGGCGAATATTCTTGTCACCGCTGAGGGTCGTTTCAAGATTGGTGACTTTGGGATGGCATCCATTTGGCCAAGGCCACCCAACGAGCTAGAGGGCGGCACGTTTGAGAGGGAGGGGGATAAGCTGTACCTCGCTCCTGAAGTTTTGCAGGGCAGGTACGGAAAAGCGGCGGATATTTTCAGGTTCGTGTCCGATTCAAACGCAGGTTTTGATTCCGAAACTCATTCGAGTCTATTTGTTGTAGCCTTGGGATGACGCTGTTGGAGACTGCATCAAACATATTGGTGCCTGACCAGTGAGTGTTGCGCGCCACTCGTGGCCGGCCGCCGGTTAGACGCTGGACTGACCGCATTTGTGTAGGGGTGAATCATGGCACAAACTTCGGCAGGAAGACTTCCGACAGGTCGATATGGAAGACAGCCCTGAGCTCTTCTCGTTGATCAAGGCCATGATGCGGACGGACCCCGTCTTGCGCCTGACCATTGGCGAAGTCTGGGCCTATCCTATCGTCATGAGAGCGAGGAGAGCCATGGAGCGAATGGACGCGGAGGCCAGGAGGACCGGCCGAGATCTGTTCAGTGCGTCCCCGTTGGCTCCTGTCCCCGAAGGGTTTCTCGAGGAAATCCTTCAGAGGAGGGTGTTGATTGGTGATCGCGATGATGATGATGATATGGCGATGGACATCAGCGCGTGAGAGTGATGGACGTGCGGTGCATGGAAGCTGTCCATGGTATGGAAGGGGATCTTGCTTTTGTTAGTTGAATCTTCATGTGCGTTTCTTCTCCGCTCTCTTGGGTTTGGGTGCTACGAAGTATGGACCTATAATGACTTTTTGCGTGAACCGCTCATGACCCATCGAATCTTCTTGTTTAACTATATCTTGCAGCATGGCTATTATTTTCGTCGAAGCACATCGTTACCTTTGCATCTTTACCATCGCCCGTGACACCCCCCGCTTCTTTGCATAAATTCTCCGTAATACCTTGCACATGCCTGTCTAATGTAGTATATTGTATGCACCGTATGCACCTCTTTGATCCTGGTCGGAAATGAACATGCCCCGACAACGTGCTCGAATTTACAGTTTTAGAGTGGATCGTCGAGTAAGGGTCTGACTACGGACTTCATGTCATGGAATCAGGCCGAGGCTGAGATGAAGGGCAACCGCGCATGCGCTCCTCCAACGCTGCAGAAATAATATCACCATCTGGGGTATGTTCCTAGTCGGAGGTCCAGTTGAGCGGTGGCGACTCGGACGGGGGCTACTGCGGCCTATATCTGTGGTCGGGGGCGCCTCGAGGCCTTTAGAAGACGTTCCCTGTCGCCCAGGACGCGCCAGCAGACGGTTTCAGGTGATCCTGGTTTACTCAGGCGCCGAGGATGTGTACCTGTAGCATTGGCTGGCTTGAAATAGCGTTGTGGCAGAGGACAAATAGAATAGTTTGTGTGTATTCTAAGTGATAAATAATTGCCATAAGCAGCCCCGGCGGCAGAGGATAACTCAGCCTTCCCCCCTCCATCTTCTCCTCCAGCGAGGACAGCTCCTCCCCCCGCGGCGCTCCCGTTCCCCATCGTCGTCCACGTCCTCGACAACGGGACATCAGGCGACTGTCAGTGCCTGCGACGTCACCGCCATCGCAAGCCTGATTGCAGCGTCCTGGCGAGAGCTGTGCGTCCGGTGAATCTGCTAGGCTATAATAGGCTACGCGGTCCCTGTCAAGCCTTGCTCACGGAGACTAAAATCTGCTCGTTCTGTTCCTGGTAACGGCAGAGCGGGTGCAGTTTCGTACTTCTTGGTGCCCACACTGCTGGCCTCTGCCTTAGGTACTTTCCGGGTCGAGGTGCTCTGAACAGATCCTGTCTGTTCAGCCCCCTTCCTTGCTCTCCTCCACGCAATCCGCGACTCAGAAAAAGGTCTGACGGCTCGTCTACTCTTCCTCGCTTTCGCGGACTTCATGCTTTTGGCCTAGAGCGCAGGGCTGCTCACCGTACCCAAATCTAATCTGCTATGGACAACCACTTTCCCTCTGATGATCATTTCCACCCTCATTTACCCAATCACGGCATTCCCTCCGACCAGCATGCGCTTTACCGCATACCCAGCTCCCAGTCGATGGGCCCTGCAGCTTCTCCAGGACAGGCTACGTCCCTGTATCCCGCTCCCGTGATGCAGCAACGCCGGCCTTCCATGGAGCAAGATATGTACGCCAGTTCGTGTATTCCCCCCTCCTGCCTTCCCCCCGGGACCGACCCGACATCTGTGGACTTTCGCACCTTCTATCCCTACGTTCCAAATGAAGTGAAGCACCGGAGGCGGACGAGCCGGCAGCAATTGAAAGTCTTGGAAGCTACCTTCAAGGACCAGACGAAGCCGAACGGCGTGTTGCGAAAAAGGCTCGCGCAGGAGCTCCATATGACTCCGAGAAGTGTGCAGGTACGCTTTGGCCCGAAGAACATGCCTTTGACCAAATCTCGTTACTCACGCGTCCGTCTAGGTATGGTTTCAGAATAGGTGAGGGGACCGTTTGTCCACGCGTATCTTGACCGACGCGTCATCGTGTTCGTAAATAGGCGTGCAAAAGAGAAGACGTTGGCAAACAAGAAATCAGACGCCAAAGGCAACAAAGGCAAGCCCGATAACAGCCCGATTCCAGAAGATATGCCGTCTCCGTCGCATTCATCTGCTTCCGACCTTCGGACAATGTCTGAACGTACAGAATCGCCCGAAATTGTGGAGGTCAAGGGACCAGTGTCCGCTCCAGAGATGTCCTCACCGGAGCCCGCCAGCGAGTCACCAGCAGCTCGCCCGATAGCTCCCCGCTTGCCCTTGCAAAGCCATTCAAGCCCAGCCTTCTCGACGATACCGGAGAACAGCGGTAGCATCCATTGTCGGCACCCAATGCTGTCTGACAATGAGCTCCAGAACTTCCGTCGAGGCTCCTTGCCGACGATTGTGTATCGAAACCTGCCTGGTCCATCGGACGAGTCTTTGGCAAAGAGGCGGTCTTCTGTTGATGTGAGCTTGGCGCGACTGGCAAAACATCCGTATGCGCGTCTTGCCTTGGCTGCTAACCAAGGTATATACGGAGAACCAACCCCATTTCTACGACCTTCGTCCCGTCTTGCGCCCCAAGTTCCGGAAGAGAAACCGGATGCTCCCTTGTTCACAGACCCGTGGATGCAGCAGCGGCCTGCGTTGCATCACCGAGCATCCATGCCACATGCATTGAACTCCCAGGGGTACGATGTAAACGTACTCTATCGTCGTTCGTCTTTTGCGCCTCCGGTGCCTGAATGTAGAGGGGAACCGCCGTTCCTCATGCAAGGCTTGCCCATGAACGCGCCACCTCACTTCCCGCCTCGAGATCTACCACCGGGTCCCCTTCCACCTGCCGACTATTCTTTCGGCCAGGCACGGGCACCGCCCATCAGCAACTTCCCGCCGGACTACAACGAATCTACAGACCTCAAGGCGTATTCTTTCCCATCTTCTGCTCGAAAGGAAGGAGACAGTGTGGACGACTCTTCGTCGTCGTATGACCAATCCATATCGCCACGCGGTTCAATCTCGTCTGTCGCCGATAGCGAGTCGAGTGTGACGAGCGCCTGGTACTCTGATGTTGGAAGCGTGGGATGTGGTTCTGTCGAGTATCCTCACGGGTTCCATCCTGATTCGCGTAGGGAGTCTTGGTAAGTCCTCAGCTCTGGCTCACCGTGACTTTTAAGTACCGTACGCTGACTTGACGTGGCCTGTCGTTGTGATATATCACAGTGCCTCTGGTATTTTAGTCGCATTTTCAGGGCTGGACGTCGGTGGTTCTCCGAGCGCTGCGACATTCTCGCCGCCGGACGGACAAGCTGTGGACGCGTCGGCGTCCCCGCATCAGCCGGACCAAGACAGCGCAGGTGAGAGTACATACCCTTCCCCGGGCTCCACGATATCCCCGGGAGGAAGTCCTCGGATGGAGGAACCTGCTCAGTCAATCCCGATATCTACATCGAGCGAGCTGGCGCATGCGTTCGCGGTGAAGCAGGAGGAGGTTAGTCGTTATTGACTGTTCTTCCTTATGAGACGGTCTTGATATAGTTCCCGAAGACCCATACTAGTGGAAGCGATGGTGGGTTCATGAATTCCAGTTTGGGTACAGGGATGGTCGCGGAAGACACGAAAGTCGGCCCCGCAGGCGGTGCGGTATATGGTCAAGCCGAGCCGTCGTACGGATCTCAGGATGTCCAAGCCTCGTCGGCTTCGTCTTCTGACTCGTCCTTGGGTTCGTACGAGTTCGTACCTCGGCCGGAGAAATATATTGTGGACACGAATGTGGGGGCGCCGTCTATGTCCGGGCACTATTCACCTCCGATGTATCCCGACGCCGATGGGTTCACCGTGTTACCACCACATCCCGAGCATTATCAGGGACACGGCATGGGCATGCACGAATATCACCCCTACGAGGACGGTCGCTATGATACGTCCAACAATTATGGCGTCAGCCAAGGTTCGTGGAAGGCTTTCAACTGGGGTGTAGCCGCACTGTTCGCTTCTTAACTGCTAATCTCGGTTGTTACTTCGGCAGGTTATCACCACCCTCTCCCAGAGTGTAGCCTGACTGGCGCCGAGCTGTACGCTGCATACAGGTGAACTATGGTTCGTTCTGTTGTTTGAGTATCTCGGTTCCCCTTGTTTATAGTAATTAGTGTTTCCTCGCTGTCGTCGGACTGCATATCTCTGTGCTTTTACATTATCAGTGTCCCTCCACTATCGCACCCACCCCTGTCATTCCTTCCCTTATCTATTGTGTGTCCCCTTGTTTCTCTCTGTTCCCTGCCTCATACTTTACATTGCTCTTGTAGTCGCCAGCTTTCGCTTTCGTCGTCCTCGGCGTGAGTCCCGCGCTTTGTCGTTGTCGTTCTTTCTGCATATTGTATGTTCTGCCATATAGCATAGATATAGCATAGTATTCTGTTCTGGACGGACAGACTAGCAACCTTGAACATGACACAGAAGTTGTCCTGTACGTTTCGATATCTTCCCTTCAGAGGTCGGGTCGCTTGGTACGATGATCATTATATATCAGGCCTGACAGCGGTATACAAGATATGAGAACAATGTAGACTGAACCAGACCTCATGACGGGGCTCCCTGTACCAATTTCTCAAGATCATAACCGGTAGTGACTTGGAATTCGGATATACCGGAGCTCATAAGCATACCCTTCTTCTTACTTAGCCGGCCCTGTGCTCTGACAGCCTCCCGCATGCGTCTCTCGGCAGCAGGCTCATCGTCACTCTCGTCACTTGAATCCGGCAGCGGTCTGCCCTTGCCCGCGCGACTCTTCGAGGTATGAGGGCTGTTGTGAGCCGCGCCTTTGCCCTTGGACTTGGACTTGGCGGACTTGCTGGATGTCTTCTTGCCGGAGACAGAGCTGGGGGCTTCCCGCAAGGCGAACGATTTTGCAAGATGACCAATGTGTAGGTGGCGGATGTGGAAGATATGCTTCTCGTCCGAAGGATGGGTTGCGTAAGCTCGCATATGGGAGAGGAAGGCTCTGCGAGCCAGTTCGACGTTCTACAGGGCGGACAGATAGCATCAGGGATCATACAGAGAGCAAGGCAAATGGCACTAACCTCTTTACGACGCAACACCCATCGTTCAAACACCAACTGAACCTCCGTAGCCCGCGCCTCATACTCGCGCCCCTTCCCCCCATACCCCTTCTTCAACACCTCGTCCACCTCCACCCCCTCCAACCCCACCGCATCCTTCTCCCCTTCCGAGGACACCTGGTCCCCGCGCATCTTCCCCTCGACCCACTTTACCCACTCCACCTCGCTCGGCGCGACAAAGCTCCACGCCTCCCCACCCTTGCCCGCGCGCGCCGTGCGGCCGACACGGTGCACGTACTCGGTCGCGCCGCCCTCGGTCGGCAGGTCGTACTGCACGACCGCGCGCACGAGCGGGAGGTCGAGCCCGCGCGACGCGACGGACGTGCAGAGCAGCACCGAGAACGGCGCGTGCGGCTTCTTGTTGGTAACATCGGATTTGGACGGCTTGATGGCGGAGAAGGCGCGCACGGAGGCTTGGCGCGTGGGCAGCGGGAGGGAGCCGTGCAGGCGGAAGATGGCGGTGTCGGGGAGGAGGGAGGAGCGGGCTTCGATGCCGCCGGTGGCTCGTTTGGGGTGAGGATTAGTCTCGTCTTTCACTTCGTTGTCATCCTCCTTGTCCGAGTCATCGTCAGATGACGGTTTGGGGTCTTCTTCCTCGTCCATGGCGGCATCGCCCAAGAGTCTCCAGTGAAAATCGACCGAGTCCGTGCAACTGAGGAACACGATGATTTTGCACTGCCGGGATTTCTGAGCTTGGCTGAGCAGTTGGCGCAACAGCGCGATCAGCGTGACCAGGCGTAACTTCAGCGGGACGACGACGTATTTCTGAGACAGCTGCGAAGGCGGGGTGAACTTCTCGGCACTCTTAGACACTATACCGTCCAGGCTCGCGTGGAGCTGTTCCTCCGCGGGCAGGTCGGATTCCGTGGGTTTGACAACGAGTGGGTTGGCGAGCGTCGTGCCGGCGAGCTTTTGCACGTCCTCCCGAATGGTCGCGGAACACAGAACTGTCCGTCTGCGCCGCTCCCAGTCCCATCCTCCCGCCTCCAGGCTCTTGCCTTCCTGGACCGCCTGCAAGGCGAGCCCCCTCCGGCCGTCCAGTCCTTTAACGATGCCCTTGATGGTCTCTTCGAATCCGAGTTCCATAAGCCGGTCAGCTTCGTCGAGAACGAGCCATCTGCATTTACCGACATTGAAGGAAGAGGTGTTCTGCAAGTGGTCGAGCAGTCGACCAGGAGTCGAGACGAGGATCGGCACGCCCTTGCGCAGGCGCGCCTTCTCGTGCGCGCGGGTGCTCCCGCCCGTAAGCAGACCAGATACGAGCCAGCGGGTCATGCGCACCGACGAGGAGTCCTCGCCCTCGTCTTCTGCGCGAAGCCGCAGTTTCAAGAGGGTTTCAAGGACGTCCGAGATCTGCTTCGCGAGCTCACGCGTGGGGGCGATGATGACCGCAAGCGTGCCGACGGAGCGGTCGATCCACGAGAGCGCGCTGAGCGGGAGGAGGTCCTGGATGATGGGCAGGAGGAAGGCGAGCGTCTTGCCGGAGCCGGTCTGCGCCTGGATGAAGACGTCGCGCGCGAGCGTGCTCGGGTTCGCGGTGCCGAGCAGCGCAGGGAGCGCGGCTTTTTGGATGGAGGTGGGCCTGGAGATTTTGAGCTTGCCGGTGAGGTGCGCGACGATGAGGGGGTCGAGGCCGAGGCCGGAGAAGGTGGAGGAGTCGAGGGGCGCGTTGCTAGGCTGTGAGGGGCCTTTCGATGCATGCTCGGCTTTGGGGACTTGGACTTTTGGGTTTGAGGTGAACAGCGAGGATATGAACTGGGTTTGTTGTCGAGGAGCGGACTTTGACTGGTCCGCCTTTGCGGGGGCAGCGTCTCGGTTCGGTGCAGGCTCTTTTCGCGCTTTCTTTGCTGGAGGTGGCCGCCCGTCGTCGGCAGCAGTCCTGGGCTGTCCTTGCGTCTTTTCGTCCGGTCTAGCTTTCCGTTTTGCGCCTCGTTTCGCTTTTAACCTGGTGTATCTGAGGAGGAACTCGAGCAGATTCTGCGCGCGTGTACTTACCTATCCGTCCATCTTCCACCCTTCTTTACCGCAGATTTCGACCTGCCCGTTGCTCCGTCGTCGACTGCAAGATTAAGCACGAGGTCGTCGTCCATTATCAGGGGAAGGGACGATGAATACAGCAAGCAGGAGGAAATGGTGAATCCAGCTCGGCAATGCCCGAAACGCGATCGACTCTAGCATTGGTGCCACGGTCGCCACGTCCCTCTTCATCCCCTCTTTCCCGTCGCCATGAATTTCGGTAAATTACCGCTCCTTTTCGCGCTCCTCTCCCTGGCGGTGGTCTTCTGCGCGCAGTCCGTTGAGGCTGCAAAGGGGCCCAAAATCACCCACAAGGTCTACTTTGATGTCAAGCAGGGTGACAAGGACCTTGGGAGAAGTGCGTGCCCTCTGTAGTTCATATCTCGTCCGAGATGCTCAACGAATGAAATACAGTCACTATTGGCCTCTTCGGCGGGGTGCGCTTTATATGGTTTCTCTTTGTGTGTGCTGGTAATAACCCTTGGGTGCCAGACTGTCCCGAAGACGGTGGAGAACTTCCGTGCGCTCGCGACCGGAACGAAGAAGGATGGCGAGAAACTCCCCGAGGGCTTCGGTTACAAGGGATCCAAGTTCCACCGTGTTATCAAGGACTTCATGTGAGTGCATCACCTGTGCCATTGTACGTGTCTGCTCACGCAATGCTGTAGGATTCAAGGTGGTGACTTCAGTAAGTGCATCATTGTTTGGGACAGGGTGTCTGTCTGAGCTCCGCGTAATTGTGTATCTCTAGCAAGGGGCGACGGCACTGGCGGCAAGGTGTGAAGACTTGGTGGCTTCTCTCTCTTTGCCTCACTTACCCCGATTGCAGTCCATCTATGGTGACAGGTTCCCTGATGAGAACTTGTACGTTCCTTCAGTCTTCGTACCAAAGCTGTACCTTTACACCTCTTATAGCAAGCTCAAGCACACCGGACCTGGTGTTCTTTCCATGGCTAACGCGGGCAAGGATACTAACGGTGAGCCCCACTGCTATTCATCTCTAACCTTGTACTGAATCTATCCGTGCCAGGCTCTCAATTCGTACGTATAAACATAACGTCCCGAAAACCACCTCGCTGAACGCTCTTCTCTCAGTTCATCACGACCGTCAAGACTAGCTGGTTGGATGGCAGACATGTGAGCGTTCTCGCGTGTTGGTGCTCATGCTCTTACTGAATGCCCGAACCCAGGTCGTCTTTGGCAAAGTCCTCGACGGCATGGACGTAGTCACCCTGATTGGTGCGCGTCCTCGTCTACATCTGTGGTTCACGCCCTGATTCCTTCTGCAGAGAACGTGCCCAAGGGCGCCAGCGACCGCCCCGTCGAGGACGTCATCATCGCGGACTGCGGCGAGGTACGTCCCCCTCTCCTCCGCTCCCCTAGAAACTCCTTACTGACATCAATCCAACTCGTTTCTGCAGCTGGAGGTCGAGCATGAGATAGACGAGAACGGAAACCAGGTGCCTCTCCGTGCCGAGCTCTGATCAGCTCCCCCAGTATCTAATACAAAATTTGCCCGTCCAATACACGTTTGTCCACATAATAACAGGTCGTGCCTGCCCCCACTCCCTCTAGCACCGCCCCCGCAGGCCAGGAGCTGATCACGTCCACGAGGCCAAGTGAGAAGCCCGCAGCGACCGCCACCGTTGTCCCCGCTGAGGAGCTCGAGGGAGCCGCAGTGCCCGCCGACGACGAGGTGTACGAGCCCTTCCGCCCGTCGGTCCTGCATTACATGCTCGTCGGCGCGCTGTTCCTCGGTATTTGCGCGCTGGTAGGTCTGTGGTGCGGCGGGGCTCGCTGGGCGAGCCGTGTCCTCTCGCGGCGCTCGCGCGGGGAGTACAGAAAGGTTGATGATTTGGAGAAGTAGACGGTTGTGTCACGTATATTATCTTACACTCGTTGGGATGGGTCGTTCGTTCAATAGATATATGGAATCTGCACACGTCGAGGCCCCGTGTGCGGTGGATGGACAGTATAGTACAACAGCTGCAGGAACCGTACTTCGGGCTTAGCACAATCACGTATGCATTCACCCACAAGATACGCATTACCGGACACTGCTATGTCCATCCCCTCGCCGACCCCTTCCCACCTCCATGACCCCTCTCCTTCTCGATAACGAACAACGCATCGCGCAGTGTCACCGTCCGCCTCGTATCCTCCTCCTCCGGCTTCACCGCCGGCTGCTGCGCCTGCGCCGCGGGCTTCGTCGGCACATACGGGCGCGCCCACGAGCTGCTCGCCGGCGTGCTCGCCCCTTGCGCGGTGACGCTCGCCTCGCGCTTGGGCTTCGCAGGCGCGGGCGCCGCCGCCGCCGACGCGGCGTTCATCCACGCGTACTTGCCGCCGATGCCCGCGGCCTGGCTCGCGACCGCGTTGGACATCTTCTTGCGCACGTCCTCGCTCATGTTGCGCGCGGTGACGCCGGGGCCCTCCTTCTTCTTCTTCTTCTTCGGCGGCGCGTCCTCCTCGTCGGCGGCGGGCGGCGCGGCGGCGAGCGAGGCGGCGACGAGGTCCGCGCGCTCCTTGCGCTCGCGCCGGAGGCGCAGCTCCTCGTCGCGCTCGGCCTTCTCGAGCGCGGCGAGCTGCTTGCCGACGTCGCTGCGCACGACGATGCTCCACATCGGCGTGCCGTCCGCGTACGTCGAGGCGGGGCGGTCGAATTGCGTGGACGTGCGGTGCGCGGCGGCGGCGATCATGTCGGTGAGCAGGTCCTGCAGGCGCGCGCGCAGGGAGAGCGCGAGGTAGTTGATGGTGTCGTCGGGGAGCTTGGTGATTTTTTGGTGGGAGGCGAGTGTGCGCATGCGCGCGGAGAGGTGCGCGGTGTCGAAGGCGGGCTTGGGCGGTTGTTTGCGCGTGCGGTCTTCGTACGTGCGGTAGGATTGCTGGGCGTCGTAGGGGCGTTGTTGGAGGGTTTCCGCTTCTGCCTGAAATAGTCGGTTGATGTTTTGTTTCATCGTTCATTCGAAGAGAGGGAGAAAGAGACGCACTCTGAGATCTACACCCGCGCTCCCTATCACATCGTTCATCGTTGCAATGTCATTCGTGTCCAGCTTGCTCGCCTGTGCCTGTGTCTGCACTTGTGGCGGCTGCGTCTGTATCGGTCTGGGCGTGGACGTCCCCGGCTGGTGCTGCTGCATCTGCGGCTGGGCAGGAGGCACATATTGGTGGTATTGCGACGTAGCGTATGCGCCTTGGGGGTAGTGTTGGTAGTGGTAGTGCGCGTAGGGTGACCTAACAATGTACAAGTTAGAATTGAGCGGGTGAGAGGGCAACCAGTGGGTTTACGGCTGTGGGTGTTGTGACTGCTGCTGGAGTGCAGGGTCAATTGGAATCTCTGAAGCTACGAGTGAGTAAGGAGCTAGAAGTAGCAAGTCTCAGTACGCACGCGTTGACCATGAAGTTGGTGCAGTATATGTCGGCTGGGACGGCACTGGAGTTGCAGAAGGGGTGCTTGTGTTGTTGTCCTCGGACTTCATAGCACCAGACATTGCAGCTCGATGATCATACAGACTTCAATTATACGAGTAGAGCGTATGGCAGGAGCTGCGACGTTGTGGCGGCAGAGTGTGGCGTCGGACGTTTGTGGAAGGTACTCCCACGGTGTATCAACGTCGCTTGGTTTTGCAACTCGCGCCTGGGACTTGATTTGCTTTGCTGGATGGCTGCTACGTACACGGTGCTCTTTGGATATACTGTCCTACACTTCATCCGCAGAAAAGGCAATGATTGCGTTTTCTGGCTGAAGACGTGTACGACAGCCTATGCTGAACTTGACCCGACTTCTTACGCCGGGGAGTCCGCGTCTCTGCTGCTGGCCTGCTGCCTCAAGAAAATAGCACGGATATGAAGAGCACTGCTACTAGTGACCCTAAGTCTTGGCTACGAAGAGCAGGTCCTATTACCGACATCCCAGGTGCGCGCTATCGGCCTGGTCGCGATACGCCGAGCTTCTGTTACCATCCAGGACGAGCTTCCCTGGTAACATCGGCGGCCCATGAACAAACACTCCTTCCCTTACAGCACCTCTGTATACAACTCACAACTTGCTTTCCATCCTAGCTCTACCGCTCGTTAACCCAGTAGGATGCTACCCACCACCCTCCTCGCCTTCGCGCTCTCCCTCCACAGTATCTCGGCGCTCTCCCTCCAGCGCCGCGCAGTGGAGTTCTACGACCCCGCCGCGGTCGGAGGGTCTATGGTCGACAGCACGGGGAACGGACTGGGCGAGCCCCTTAACGTACGCTGAACCCACTCTCGTGGATATGCAAAGCAGACGATGCATGGCTAGGTGATCATATCCGGCCTGAGCTCCCCCGCTGCCCTCACCGACTCCGGGATCGTCAACTACGCGCAAGCGATCGGGTAGTGCGTACCCTCATCGCCCCTTCTCTCCCTTTCCCTCCCCCCACTCATACCGATACTACACCCGCAGCTCGAAAGAATGCCTAGGCCTGCACTCCGGCGCCCCGCAGACCGCGAACCTGGGCGATGGCAACGGGTGGACGGACCAGCTGCTCGAGCTCCGCGCGGACTACCACTCGACTGCGGTGGGTACATGTCTCGAGAGTGTCGTCGGTGGGAATCATTTCCGGTACGTCAAGCTGAGCTATGCGCTTTGTCGTGATTTAATGGGAGGGTAGGGTGTGGAGGCAGAACGGCTCCTTGGCGGATAGCGGGGCTTTGTTCCTGGCGTACGTGGTTCACTCCGTGTGTGGCCGTGGTACGCGCGATCCTGACCTCTCCCTTCCGCGCCCGAAACAGCGTATCGAAGGAAAAGGTACCTCTTCCCACCTCCCCTTACCCTCCGCCCCATGCTCACCCTTCCGCACAGTCCTTCATTGCCCACCACTCCCCCATCGCCGACGGCTACGACATCGGGCGGGACGAACTGGTGCAGGCGGCTCTGGGCACGAAGAGCCACGGCGGCGTCACGTACAGCACCGTCGCGAGAAACGTGTCTGGGCTGATCGCCCCGGGGGCGGAGGGGATCAATCATGGTGAGTCGGTGGCTTACCTCGTTATGCTGGAGAAATGCGTGGAGGTTTGAAAGGGTGGTGACTGAAGGGGCATGTACAGGGATCGCGCAGGATGGGGTTGTTACGGTGTTGACCGTGACGATCGTTGGCTAGCTTGAAGGCTGCATGCGGGATCACTGTCTCGGTGGTCGTGCCCGACATACGGACATGTCGAAATCGTTGCGTGCGGGGTATGCAAGGACTCGTCTCTCTTGTAATAATCGCACTCGTGTTACCACTCGCTCGTTTTACGTGCACGTGTCGTTGAATATAAATTTCAACTTACAGGTGTCACAAGCCTCAAATGCGCGTAAGCTGGTTCAGCCTGGAATATGGTGAGGGCAAGGATTAGTATTTCCGTTTCTTTAGTATTACAATCTCTCTGTGAGCTCGGTCTTGTACAATAGAGGTACTGCATAGTCCAAGATTGCGGGATATATTCATAACCTGTCGTTACAGTGGGCTGGGCTGAGGACTGTAGCATTTACTGAGCATTTTGTTGAGTGACTCGCGTATGACAATTGACGTACGATGACAGCTTATTTCGTGCCTATTCAGCTAGAGTGAGACTTCACTGTCTCGGTTTGAGAGGTAACAGGAGTGACGGCTTGAGGACTGCTGAAGATGGGTGCCAGCGTAACAGCGAACCCTGCGAGACCCAAGACTAACACACCTGTCAGAAGACTGGACTCGGTGGAGATAATGCTATACTCACGATATCCGGTGATCTTTTCCAAGGGAGTGTGGAAGTACACACTCGTCGTGTAGCTGGCAAACAGCCAAAGCGCGAGCAGGGCAGAAGTCCCAGCGACGGACCACTGATGCGCTTTCGACCAGCGCACGACGCCAGGGCGGAACGACGCCCTGAGCTGGTCGGCGAGGAACAGTGTGGACATCACCAGGAGAAACAGGTGCCCCGAGACATCATGCCCCCTGCGCAACCGCGGCCTCGCCTGCCATTCCTGCGTATCCGGAATCAGCAACGACGCGGCGAATAACGAGGGGTGCGTCGCGGGCGACACCGTCGACTTTGTATAGCAGTACTCGTTCGGGACGGACAGGAGGTAGCCCGAGGGCAGACGCACGACGCACTCGCCGCCGCTCGCAGCGATAACGCGCTCGAGCAGCGCGGGGCCGAAGAACCACGTCGTGAACACCATCCACACGCCCGTCTCCGCGAGCCACTTCCCCACGCGCTCCCACGTCTGCGCCGCGGGCGGGCTCGTGAGGAAGTGCGCGGCGAACGCGAGCGACGTCCAGCCCCACGCGTACTTGATGAAGACGACGTTGAGCGGGTTGGACTTGGAGGCGAAGTAGTGGGAGGCGTGCAGCGGGTGCGGGAGCGCGGTGAGGTGCGGGTCGGAGGTGTCGAGGTAGGTGTGGTAGATGACGGAGTAGAGCGTGCCGACGGCGACGACGAGCGTGACGGCGGCGAAGGCGGCTATTCGGGCGTCGGGCATCGTGGATGGCGATGAGCAGAGGTGCGACGCTCCTCATATCATCGCCAGGGACACGTGAAGACACGACGCGTCAAGACGTCATTCCACGTGGCTAGCACTGCCTGTGACAAACTCATAGTGTATGTGACCCATAAGTCAGAGATGTCTATCACAGAGCCATAGACTTAGGCAATAGGCATATCTACCACGTTGACTGAGAAAATGTCTGACATACGTCCAGGCATCAGGTAATCCTGTCGTTTCAAAAATATTGGCGTAACTAGTCCCGAACGGGTTGGAGCAGACCATAATGCGTTACGGATCACACCCGGGGCAGCCGTCTGGGACCTTATATTGAAAGGGAGTCGGGGAAGGCAGCATTGTGTAACTGGAACACAGGATGCAGGGCGAGCGAGTTCGAACAGAGATGGATGCCGTCAAGGGCCCATGGAATACGGGAGGAGAGGACGGAGTCACAGTGCAACGCTCACTCACCGAGTCTTGCATAAATCGAACGCATGCCTCATCAAGTCCACCAACCCGAGGGTCAGAATGCGTCTAGGAATACTAGGCTGATGGATGTACAGTTCCACGTTCCTGCGTCTAGGGCTTGTCCCCGATCTCCTCCTCAGTCGGTCCCAGTCCAGCACCGTGTCCGTGAGTCTCCCAAGGATGGCTTAGCATCTAAACACGAGAGAAAGAGGAGGGAAGGGTTCGATCAGCAAAAGGGCAATGATGGCTGTGCGATGGTAGCGCACCAATAGTTTAGCACCGTCCTCCCTAGCGAAAACGAACGATTAGCCGCGCAGAAACCATGTCAGTTAGATTACTATGTCGTTGAACAATAACATAGCACGCACCTCGCTCTGTAGAAGATGAAGAACCACATCGTGGCTCCGAGAGCCTTCGCAAGGAACTGATGTCTGAAACCGGGCAGATGAGGGTGGAAGCCCCCCGCGGGTCCTGCAGCAATGCATTAAGCCTCCGAAGACAGACCCGATAGTCCTGTTCCAGCTCACCGTGGCCGGCCATGTCGTGGTAGAGGAGCGAGTGGTTACAACGTCGGTAGAATGCAAAGTCACGAACGGCGTCGACGGAGGTTGGGCCCGTATTTGTCCGTGTTGTGGTCGGTGGGCGCGGCAATATAGCAGGCCATATTTTTGCCTTGCCTTGTACTCAGCTCTCCGTGTCGCGCTCCCTCCCTCCATCCCTCCATCCCGAACATGTCAGCGGCGGAGACCAAGAAACGCAAACGCGATCCCGAGCCGTGCAGGATCACGTACCATGCGCCCGGGGGCCGGATATTCGAACGATTGTTCAAAGGTGCATGCTGCAGTGTATGATATCGAGCGACGTGTTTGCTGAGATAACGTGTGTTCGTGCAGAGGGGAGCCTCGAGGAGACCAAGGCGACCGTGCGCAGTAAACTGGGTTTGCCTTCCCAGAGTGCGATACACCTGACGCAGATCCGGGAGGGCAAGGCCATCGAGCTCGAGGATGGTCAGTGAGCCCTTGTCCGTTCGTCATACCTGCACTCATGGTCGCGTCATGTCATGTGCTGTGCTTCGCAGACGACGACTTTGAGTCCTTCCAGATACTCACCAAGTCGGTGCCGGCCGTAGAGATTCGTGTTACCATCGGGGACCGTCCCTCGTCTGGTAATTTACCCGAAAGCTCAGCGGCGGGGCCTATACAACATATCTCTGGAAAAGCGGTTCGTATTGCTGGCATGGCCCTTGATATTCATACATTTTTCGCTAAATCTTTATTTCTACAAAGACTCCCAAGAAAAGACGGAAAAATAAGAAGCCCGCCAACCCCGCTCCAGGCGTCCCGCGGTCCCTCTCCCACCTCCCCACCCCTTCCCTTGCATCCGATCAGGGACACGAAAACCCTTTTGTTGTCCCCGAAATTCCCACTCTCAAACCCTCCGCCGCACCCCTTTCTTCCCCTGGCCCCCTCGATGATAGTCAACGTAAGAAGAAGAAACGAAAGGTAGATGATACGCCGGTTGTGCAGGACCAACCAGCTGCGGGACCCTCCACCGCCACTGAGGAGAAGACAAAGAAGAAAAGGCGCAAGTCCGAGGCTGCCAAGGTACCTGTGCAGGCTCCGCCTGGCGATACTGGAAGCGCTGTTGCGGGGCCCTCAAGTGCTACCGCCGTCCCGTCGACTAGCGCAAAGCCAGATGCACCTATCGCCTTCGTCAGGACGGACGAGGAGGCTGCGCGGCCGAAGAAGCGCAAGCGGAAGAGCACTGTGCCGATTCCTGAGGCGCCACCAACCCCGTCCGCAGATGTAGACGGCGCACCCGCTCCGGATGTAGAGGAATCCTCTGTCCCAAAGCCGAAGAAAAAGAAGAAAAAGGATAAGGCCAAGGGCCTGGAAGAAGAGATTTCTCCGGAATTGGGGACCTCTGTGCCCTCGCATGCTGAGCCTGAGGCCGTCACATCTGCTCAGCCCGTCGAAGACCAACCTGTCCTCCCGAAAAAGAAGAAAAAGGACAAACTCAAACGGGTCGAGGAAGATGTCTCTCCTGTGCCCGAGCCTGCACCGGAACCAAGCCGAAAGAAAACGAAGGAGAAAAAGTCTAAGAAAGGCGAAGTAGAAGAACTCCCCGCGCCGGCACCACTCCAAGGAGAGGACCTCGTCGCGAGCGTGACGCGGCGGCTGGCGCTGGCAATCTGTAAGGACTATGGTATGTCCCACGGTGGTGTCGCGAGCCTAACTGAGCGTGCAGCCTAAGGTTCGCGGAGTGCTGTGTCTGCCGATGTCGAGGGCCCGACTGAGGGTGCGTGCATATGTTAATACTCGTTTTGTATCGGAAAACCTGAGGATGATACTTCGTTCAGTTGTGCCCCCGAGGAAAGGCAAGAAGGCGTGGAAGAAAGCTGACGCTAACCGAACGCTGCTGGAGGTCGAGGATGCAGGTGTGATATCGACGTATCTATAGTCATGACTTGGTGTTCACTAATTTGGTAGCTGCGCCGAAACACCTGAAGTCCAAATCCCGACCATCTGAAGTTCCTGAAGCATCTGCGACTGATCCTCTGACAAATGGTGACATCGAGGAGGGGGGTCAAATCTCACCATCCGTAGTTGTTGACGCCGATGAAGAGTCGCAGAAACCCGATGATAGTTCTCGGAAGAAGCGGAAAGCGAAGGGCAAGGTGCCTTGCCCGATATGCCTTGGTCCTCACCACCTGCGGTTCCGTTGTCCGACCGTTAGGAGCGGGTCTGAGGCTGTCGAAAAGCGTTTAGCGGAGCTTAAGCAGCAGAACGCTGATCAGCTACTTATACAGGAGCTAGAGACTTTTCTCAAGAGGTCATGCGCCAAAGCGGCTAAGCACGGAGATAGCCACGAGCCTCAGTCATCAAGTACTACGCGCCACGTCCCTTCTGGTCCACACGCCTCGAATGACCTTAGCTCCTTATTGAAGCCAGCCGTCTTTCCGTCGGTATCGTCTCCCAGCACCCCTGTCGTCCCGCCAGAATCGGTTATCGACGAAGTACTCGTCCAAGTGGCAGGCGAAGGCAGCAGTGACGAAAGTTCTGATGAGGAGGAGGAGAGCGACGATGGCGAACAGGGATCTCCCGAGCCAGCGCCAGGCCTACAATTTACTGAGCAGTCCAATCTAGAGGCTCTCATTCGCGGACCCGCTTTTGCATCCCAACGTCGTGTGGCTGATATCATTCCTTCTTCAAGCAGCGACGATGAGGACGAGGATGAGGAGCAACAACCTGAAGACATTGCCCTGGAAGAAGAGGAAGAGGAACAGCGCCCGCCTAAGCGTAGACGTACAGGGTACCGTTCGGACTCTTCTGACGAGGCTCGCGCTGCGGTGTCGGATGACGAAGACGGTGATATCGTACCTCCAGTATACATGGATGGCAATAATGGGGTCGAGCAAGACGATCAGGCAGGTTAACATATTGTTGGTTACGGGTCCTTCGTGTGCTAAATGGTATTTATTAGACCGTTCCTACGACAGATGAAGTGCCAGGCAGTACATCGCCGCTAGAACCGTCTCCTGTGACGAATAAGCAGGATCCTGCTGCAGAAGGCAGTGACGAAGAGGGCTCCGAGGACGAGGCAGGAGAGCCAGAGCGCGTTGGTGAGGACGCGTCACAGGTGGAGGAGACGAAGTCCGAAGTTGGCAGGCCGCCCGGTCCGGAAGCGTCCCCTATGGTTATTGATGCTAATGCCGACGGTGGCAACAGAGTGGATAGTCTCCATCAGGCGTCTGAGGGACCTCTCCAGGACCCAGAAGAGGAGCTACACCCTGAAGCAGATAATTCTGATGAACCTGCTGCGCCAGACACTGCACCTAAGCAGTCAGTAGTCAACGGTTCTCCAGGAGAGTCTATGCATGATGTAGCACCCACGGGTGATACTGGCCCTGACATGACGGATGGTGTTGAGAATGCAGATCCTCTGGAGGTTGATTCGGCAGAGGAGCCTGGTGCTGCCGCGGACCATTCTGTCGAAGAGGAGGGACCTTCAACCATGGCTCTTTCTCCTCAGACTCCCAAGGGTCTAAAGCCAATCACGCACTACTCAGCACCTCCAGCACCTTCTTCGTCTCTGCATCCTGACGATAGCGTATCTGTAAGGGAGTCGATTGAGGTCGCCGAGGATCTTCCGGAGGAGCGGACGCCTATGAAGATAGCAGACCCCATCGCGAACGAAAATGACGATGTCGAACGTTCCCCCAGTCCTGTGCATAGTACTCCTAAGGCGGGAATTGCCAAGAGGATGAAGAATCGGTTTGGACAGGTGCCGTTCCCTGTGCCCGAAGAGGTTGAGGAGGAGCTTCAAGCGTCGAGAAGGCCTTTGCCACTGGAGGAAACCAACGATCTCGCCTCTCAGGTCCCTCCTGCCGAGGAAAGCGTCATGAGGCGGACGAGAGGCGCGGCGCGGAAGAGTGTCGTGGCCGAGCCCAGCGTGGCCTCGAGCGGAAAGGATGAGCCTCCTGCTACGCAACCGAAGCGCCGAGGGCGGCAGCCACTGTCCGAGGAAGAGAAGGCACGCCGTGCAGCGGCCAAGCAAGCGGAGAAGGAGGAGAAGGCGAGGTTGAGGAAGGAGAAACAGGAGCAGGCTCGGGCTGCGAAGGCAGCTGAAAAGGCCGAGAAAGCGTTGCAGAGGAAGAAAGTGGCCGAGGCGAAGAGTGCTGCTACAGCAGCAAAACGCGGACAGAAGTCTACTGTTGTCCAGGTCATGGACGATGAACCTGCGGCTGATCCGGCAGATGAAGACGCTGAGCGTGCAGAACCCACGGAGGAGCCGGGTGACGCCGTCATTCCGGAGACGCCTCCTCGTAATGATGAGCGGTCGCTGGAGGAACCGCAATCATTGGCCCAATGGGAAATTCTAGAGCCGGGTCAGTCGCAGTCGGTGATCTTGCCCTCAGAGTCGTCGGTCGACCAGCTGCATCCTAGCTCGCCTGAGCCGGAGCCCTCCAGCAATGTAGGTGCCAGAGGCAGTAAGCGAGCGCCCCAGAGACAGTCGTTATCTAGCGCTGGGGAGGCTGACGGTGTGCAAGAGATGGTGTTGAACAATGGCGGCGAGTCTGACGACCCTAAGTCGGCTCGCCAGTCGCCTCCAAAAGAAGCTGCAGAAGATGCCGCTCCAGAAACACCTTTGTTCTTGCCCACTGACAGTCAGGCTGTGATTGAAAGTCCCCAGCGCGAAGACAGACCGGCTGAGGTGATACCGCCTTCCTCACCTGTCCAGTCCGATACCGAGGAGGAAGAAGACGAGTCGGGAATCCCTCCCCCTCCTAAGAATGCGCTTCCTGCTTCACAGCCTGCCCCTCGTCCACCAGTTGCGCCTTATCGACGGCTTACGGACATCGCCAGCAGTCAGGGCTCGCTGTTCACTCCGAGACTCAGCTTGCCGCCTGCGCTTGCCAGGAAGCCTATAGAGAAGGGGGCGCTGAGCCAGCTGTATGCTGATGAAGAAGAGGAAGACTCTGACTCTGACGACTCCGACGACGATTCTGAGAAGGAGGGTAAGTCTCATGTACCAAAGAATCGTAGAGCAGGGAGTGGGGTGACGAGGAGGACCTCTGGTTTGCTCGCTTTTGCGTGATTTTCGCATGGCTGTCTTGAATTGAATGTATCTATAGTTCCTATAACTCGACCTCTTACATCTCACTTATCTTAGGATAAGTCTTAGCATAGTCCTACTACGGCCCTCTGGCGCGACAGCTATAGATACCGAGTCAGAATCTAGACGCGTAGGTCATGTGACCTGTGACAGTTCGCAGAAATGACTTCAATGTTTCCAGGCTCGGAGCTCGAATAAATTTCTACTTATCGCCTTTCACCCTGCTCGCCGTTCGTACTCAGTGAGCGCAAGCTCGTTTATGACTTTCACTCAGAACACTCGCGACGAGTGAGTACCCTGTCCAGGACAACGTTGGGGGCGAGGCTGACACTTCCTTGCAGTTATCTCAGCGACCTCGTATACTCCCTGCTCAACCATTAAAGCCTGCTTGCAGTCATGATTTCGCCTCGAATCCTTCGCCTTGCCATCCCTCGTCATGCTCGGGGTCTCGCATCCCAAGTGGGGAACAATACGCATATCCCCGGAGTGCTGCACTTGAAGACGGGGCAGTCTTTCTACGGACGGTCCTTTGGTGCGCCCAAGAGCATCTGGGGAGAAACCGTGTTCTCCACCTCTATCACTTCTTGTACGCGCTCTCCCTTCTTTTGAGCTGTTTGCCTCGTTAACTGAGGTCTGCAGACACCGAATCTATGACCGATCCCTCCTACCGCGGTCAGATTCTCGTTTTCACCACACCCCTTATTGGCAATTATGGAGTCCCGCGCAACGAAGCACCTGTGGATAACAAGGACGTCGGTGTCGTCCTCGAATCTCAGAACATCCAGTGCTCTGCAGTTGTCGTAGCTGACGTCGCCGAAAAATTCTCACACTACCTGGCGGTCGAAAGTCTTGCGTCTTGGTGCCAGAAGAACGGCGTACCAGGTATTACTGGTGTCGACACCCGTGCTATCACCCGTCTATTGCGCGACCAAGGGACGACCCTCGGTCGAGTGGCCGTGGGTTCCGACGCCTCTCTGCCTCCGCCCAAGCCCGAAGAATATTGGGACCCGACCACGGAGAACTTGGTCGACCAGGCCTCCACCAAAGCGCCGTACACTCTTAACCCCAACGGCGACGTCAAAATCGCCGTTCTAGACTTTGGCGCGAAGGCGAACATCCTGCGGTCCCTTGTCCGCCGCAACGCGTCCGTCACCGTCCTGCCCTGGAACTTCGACTTCAACACAGTCAGAGACCAGTACGATGGTCTTTTTCTGACCAACGGGCCTGGCGATCCCAAGCACTGTATGGAGGCGGCGATGAACCTTCGCAGAACGTTCCAGGAATGGAACAAGCCGATCTTTGGTATTTGCATGGGACACCAGGTGATTGGGATGGCAGCGGGTTTGGAGGCGTACAGAATGATGTTTGGGAACAGAGGGCATAATCAGCCTGTACTGGCCCTGGCGAGCTCTGGGTCCATTAGAGCCGGAAGGGTGTACGTCACTAGGTAAGCGGTAGCTGGGGGTGTTTTTGGTCCGTTCGCTAACGAGAGTTCCTCTCACAGCCAAAACCATCAGTACGCTCTGAAGTTACAAGATCCTTTCCCCGAGGGCTGGGAACCTTTCTTCATTAACTGCAATGACTCGTCTGTTGAGGGTATTAAGTCCACAGCGGATTCTGGGAAGAAGATTTGGGGTGTGCAGTTCCACCCTGAGAGTGCCGGCGGTCCCCTGGACACAATTGAGGTGCGCGGTTCTCCTGATTCCCTCGCTTCCCAGGCTGAACCCATACTGTCCCTTCCTGCAGATGTTCACGGACTTTGTAAATGAGTGCCGGGCGATGCGGTTACATAGACGAGCGGAGACTGGAGGAGATGTGATGGGCGCGCCGAAGGCTGCTCCTGGGATGGCTACCGTCGAGTCACCCCAGCCGATTTCTGTTGCTGCTTGATTCCTCTTGGATGTGATATATAGAATGTACAATGTTTGTTGTGCTACATAAGGTTATAATCGTCGCGTATGAAATGGTGTTCATTGAGATGCGCACTTGAAGTTGGAAGCTGGTATTAGAGTTATTATCTGCTTACGTCATTAACTACACCTAATGTAGATCAGTACTTAGTTGCATCTCAACTTCGACTTGCCTACGACTTCGCATGTGACATTTCTATCGACGTCGACCTTGCATCCTTGTATGAAGCAAGCATGAATTTTTTTGACTCTTACGATGTTCCTGGAACGGCGACGCCTCCGCCGGCTGCCCAGCAGTCACTAAACGAGGAGGTTTCGGAGGTGATGGGACAGCTGCGCGGGTTCTGGGGAGGGTTCAGGAAACAGGCAAGTAGCTATAAAACTATTACGTTATGCTCAGTCCAAGCTGATACGGGAATATAGAGCGTCAGCCTGCTGGATACAGCCCGCAAGGATCTCACATCTGTTGTATCCCAGGCGCAGCAGGAGTTGAGCAAGCTGACCGTCAGTGAGCCTGAGCCTGCGGCAGCTTCGGGGGAGCAACCGCCAGCATCTTCAGAGAATTCTGAGGCCGATGAGCATCCTGAGGCTGGCCCTTCTTCCCCACCTACGCCTGAGGGGGACGCCTCGATATCATCAGCGGAGGGCAGCCCACGACCGAATCATGCACGCTCAACGTCCCAGCCCTTCCAGTTCTTCTCGAAGCTGCAGTCGTCGCTTCCACCTAATCTCCTCGAGACGGTGCAGAAGAACATCCCCGAGCAGCTGCGCACTGCACCGTCCTCGGTGGACTTTGCGCAGCTGCGCACAACCTTGTCTAGCGAGTTCCAGCGCGTGCAGGGGCTCACGCGCGCGCAGGCGGAGGAATACGTGCATAAGAGTGAGGAGCTGCTGAAGGAGGTCGCGAAGGAGGCGGGCGAGTTCCTGAAGGAGGCGGTGAAGGTCGTGCCGCCGGAGGAGGTGCGGGAGGGCGGGACGGGCGTTGTGTGGGACGGGTCGGATGTGTGGATGTTGCCGGAGCCTGGACAGGGCAAGGGGAAGGGGAAGGAGAGGGAGGCGAGTGGGAGTGGTAGGAGGGCGTCGAGCGAGACGCTGAGGGCGGTGGCGACGAGGGCTGAGGCGATGTTGAAGATGCTGAGGAGGGACCCGAGTGTGGTGAGAATGGATCCGGAGGGGGAGGAGCGGATCAGGGAGTTGTATGTGAATTGGGTGAAGAGCAAGTTGGAGGCGACGGAGGGCGGGATTGGGGATGAGGAGTGGAAGGCGAAGAGAGAGAAGGAGCTTGCGGATGAAGTGGATGGGACTGCACTGAAAGAGACTTTCGAAACGCTAGGTGAGTGTCACTCGCGCGTAACATGATAAGGTGGTCTCAACTCTGAAACTAGTCCCGTCGGAAATGACGGAGGAGACGTTCTGGACACGCTACTTCTTCCGGGTATACCAGATCGAGCACGAAGAAGAGATGCGCAGAACTTTGCTCATGGGTGAGCATAGCTACTATACATCGTTAGCCTCTTTATCTCACATAAATACCTTTCCTATAGGGTCCACGCAAAATGAAGAAGACTTCAGCTGGGAAGATGACGACGAAGAACCAGCCAAACGCGAGACACCGTCTGCGCCGCCTTCTACAGCTGCACTGGAGTCGGACAAGCTGCAGCCAAATGAGAAGAAGACAACTGATACTCTGTCCGCGCCGATCTCGCGTGCTGGGACTCCTGGAAATGTCAGCCCTCGAGTGAGCAGCGAAGATAGCTTTGACGTCGTCTCGTCAAACGTCAGTGCCAGTGGCGAAGCTCCTGTCAAGGCTGGCGAGGGAGAGAAGAAGTCGACGGACGATGAAGACCCTGACAGCGATTGGGAGTGAGCGTGTCGTGATCCTGTATACCACCTTGTATATTTGTTTCACGAACATAATGTGTACTATGCATTCCACAACATAACGTCCTAAACGGAATATACGATCGGACCGTCGTGATGGCCCGGCGGCAGTGTTGGATCTGCTTTTGGCTCAAGGCACTCGTTTCGATTGGCGTTCCCCTGCACATCATTGCGTCTGCCATCAAGTACGACATAGCATACAACGAGGCGCTGATTTATAAACGTGGACACTGTACGGTCACCGGTTCCACGTCGTGATTCCAGGCCGTAGTCGGCATCTGGTTCATTCCCCTGTATGTTTTATTCGGGCGCATTGAGCCGTCCGTTCTTTGTCAACGACCACACCCTCGATGAGCGGCCTGCGAGAAAGACGGTCTGGAAGACTGTCTCGAGCGTGCGCTCCCCACGTCCTGCTCAATGGCCTCCGGATATTCTGGTTCTCACTGATTCTGTGGGCGGAGATCGGTATCTATTTCTACAGGGTAGGGACGTGCTCCTGGCCGGACAAATCTCTGCGGAGTGTACGTATCTCTGCCCTTCTCTCAGCGCTCGAAGAAGCTTATATACGATACGGTGCAGGCTGGACCAGCGTCAGAACGGCCTGCGCATGTTCTCCTGATTGCTGACCCTCAAGTACGGAACCCTGCTTTGCCCCATGCGTCAAAGTGGACGTGGTCGGGCTGGCGCCAGTCGATCCTCGACTTCAGCGTCAAGAAGAGCTGGAACGTGCTTAGCCGCTCGAACGTCGACGTCGTGATCTTCCTGGGAGATATGCTCGCGTCCGGACGAATTGTGTCGTCGGAGAATGAGTAAGTACTTGCTTTTTAGACGATCGGTGGTGTGCATGTCCCGTCTACATGTCCGATCATGATCAATCATAGTGTGCCTGTGATATAGGTACAAAGAATACGTCGGGAAGTTCAGGGAGGTGTTCCCCCTGGATCGCCTCACACGTAGGCAGGATAGCACGGTTCCCGTGTACTTTATACCGGGGAATGAGGATATTGGGTACGTCTCCATGTTTGGCTATGACTATGTGCTGATGATCACGGAACCAGCTTGGGAAAGTCGATTTATTACTCCAAGAATGCCCGCCGGTACTATGTCAAGTACTTTGGCCCGCTCAATCAGAAGGTGTACGTGCGCAACCACACCTTTGCTCTCCTGAACGCCCCGGGACTTGTTGATGAGGATTATCAACGAGCCGCACGCGACACGAAGTATGAACAGTGGGTGCCGATCCCCGGCGGACCTGTCAATTTCATTGAGACGGTCCGACAAGGTGACATATTCCTCAAGTGCTGGGCTTGTTCACAATCTCAATGAGCCCCCATGTCTTACATCCACAGACACTCATGACTATCCTGTAGTCCTGTTCAGTCACATTCCACTCGGGAGACCAGAGACGGCATCCTGCGGTCCATTGCGGGAGAAGGGAACCATCGTCAGAGGAGTGGGACCGAGCTACCAGAACATGCTTGGCAAGTATACTACCAGCTATGTTCTGGAAACTTTGAGGCCGCAGATGGTGTTTAGGTAGGATCCCTCTTTGTACTTAGGTTTGCGATCTACTCACGAATAGCTGTAGCGGGGATGATCGAGATTATTGCGACTATACCCACGTCCTTCCCCCAGCAGAACACAATCCCACCGGAAACACAACGTTCGTCCGTGAAGTAACCGTAAAATCCTTCTCTCTTGCCAAAAATATCCGGCATCCCGGATACCACCTACTTTCTGTGACATACCCATCATTCCCGTCCGCTTCCCAAAAGACCCTTGCTGACCGCCCCTGCCAACTCCCCAACCCTCTCGCACTCTACTCATCAGTGTATACCCCGCTCATATTTTTATCATTCATAATCATCGCAGCATCACAAGTCTACTTCCACCGCACGAAACGAGGTCTGCGACTGCACCACACATCATCGCCTCGCCTTTCCATCTCGCCGGTTCCTTTCACTGATACCGACGGGTCCTCGCTTTATGCCCTTTCGCAGTACACTCCTGCCCCGGAGTCCGCCATCTGGTCGCCATCTACCCCGGGCATGAAGCAACCTAGTCCGCGCGGTGTCCTCCCGTCAGTGCGGACGCCTTTGTCCGCCCCGATGGCGTTGAGTGCGCGATCGCTCTCTGCGCCTGTGCTTAGGGCGACGCAGTCGCGCCCGGGGTCGCCATTGTTGTCACCAGCTCACTCGCAATTAATGTTGCCGCATGCGGACGAGGAGGATATGATGAACAATCTATCCATGGAGCATGCGCACACGAATGGCCACGGTAGCCTGACACCGTATGAGCACTCGAACTACGACGAGGAGTCGGATACCGAAGAGGCGGCGTACTTCTTGCCTACTACGGATTCGAAGAGCACTCGACACCGCTCTGCAGGCCAGCGGACGTGGTCGTGGTCGTTCGAGCTCCTCGGGCGGCGGCGGCGCATGACGCTGCGCGTCCCGACGGCCCCGTCGGCGCTCAGCACCCTCGGGTATGTCCTCTCTGGCGAGTTCTTGGGGAACGTCGGCCGGCGGAAGAGTCTCGCTGCGAGGACGAGGAGTGAGGGGATCATGTGGGCGGTCCTGTTGGATGCGGCTGTGGTTGCGTGGAGCGCTGCGGGATTCTGGATAGCCCTGAATTGGTGGCTACGGTGGATCATTTAACGGACTTCGTCAATTATAGACTTTCTGCACATCTGGCTGGATTGCCGGAAACTCGAGGACTGTCCGCATGCGCATACTAGCTTGGTTTAGAGTAATACAGCACATTTGTACATATCCACTCTCCTCTCGACACCGATCATTTCCCCCAATGGCGATAGCCTTAGCTATAGCGGTTCTTGTGGCCCAGGGCCATTATAATTGACAACGCCACCCTGGCTCCTTCCGCGAGTACGACCGAGAAAATGCCTTGTTCCTAACCACAGCCTGCCTACACCGTCTGTGGGTCCTTTGCTGCGCATAGTCTTTACACTTCCATTCCCTACTATATTTTCCTGGATAGCTTCTTGGATACTTACCCTTACTGGGTGGCGAAGGAAGCAGCTTGAGACTGTATACGTAACTTGGACCCACAGACAGCCTCTGCTACCGCTACAGTACTATACTTGAGACCTGCCCCCGGGGCGCTGACTAGGGATGGCCGTGATGACCTACAATGCTTCCAAGACCGTCACTCGTCCTGTCCTCGTTAATGGCATGCGGGCATGCTGGGTCCTCGTCATCCTTTGGTGCGAGCTGGGTACTTTCTCCTGGAGTCTCCGGGACTGCGCTTGGCCAGACGCGTTACTGAGCACGGTACGTGCTTTTTTTATCCCTCCACGCAACAACTAACGTCCAGCGCGGGTCAGCGTAGTGCAGCAGTGCAGCCCGAGCATGTGTTGGTGATCGCGGATCCCCAGATCCTGGACCACCGGTCGTACCCCGGGCGGAACTTCCTACTCACACGACTGAGCCAGTTCATCGTCGACTGGAATATCAGGAAAAGCTGGCGGGTGACGACGAAGCTGCGCCCGGATGCGGTCGTGTTCCTGGGGGACATGATGGACGGCGGGAGGTTCGATATGCCAGCTAGTGAGTAAGTATCGCGTTGGGCGCGTCGAGGTATGGAAGTAATGTGTCATCTGCAGATACGAAGCGTACTTTGCGCGATTCAAAAGTACATTCAAACTCCCGGGCACGGTGCCCGTTTATTACCTTCCGGGCAATCACGACATTGAGTGAGCAAGCTCGGGCACTTTGCAACTGAACAATCGACTAACGCCCCCTCAGCTTAGGCGAATCGGAATATTTCTCGAAATATGCGAGAGATCGATTCGTGACCCACTTCGGGCCTCTCAACCAGCAAGTATCAAGGGGGAACCACACGCTTGTTCTCCTGGACACCCCCTCTCTGGTCAACGAAGATCGAAACCGTGCCGAGCTTGGGATGAGCTACGATCAGTGGACGGCCACTCCGGGCGGCACTGCACAGTTCGTGCAATACCTCCGTCCAGGTAGATGGTAGCCGAAGATTTTCCGTGTAACCTCGCTTACCCTCACGTCTATGCAGATCATCACAAGAACGGGATTGTTATGTTCACGCACATCCCGCTGCATCGACCGGACGGCTCGTCGTGCGGCCCGTTGCGCGAGAGCGGGACGATCCGCCGAGGGTCGGGCTTTGGGTACCAAAACACGCTCAGCGAATCGGCGACTAGGTTTCTGCTCGACCATGTGCAGCCCATGCTCACACTAAGGTATGCCCATCACAAATAGAACCTGTCAATTGACAGTTCTTGACAGGCAATTGTTTATGAAGTGGCGACGACCACGACTACTGCGAGTACACCCATACGTTGGTCCCGTCGGAGAGCAGGTCGTCCGAGCGGGCGCATGTGCGCGAGGTGACTGTCAAGTCGTTCTCGATGGCGATGGGCGTCCGCCGGCCTGGGTTCCAGCTGCTTTCCCTGGCGGCACCGAAGAGGAATAATGCCTACTCGAGCGCCCCCAAGGGAGAAACGGTTGCAGATCGCCCGTGTCTGCTCCCGGATCAATTGGGGATCTACCTGTCGGTTTACGTCCCGCTGCTGGTGCTGTCGCTACTGGTCCTCCTGCTGTTCAGGCTCTTTCGACCCGACGATCACCACCGCCACCATTCGAGTTCGACGCATCGTCGGAGTAACTCGATCTCTCAACATCGAAATAGCGATGATGTGCGATTGGCGGACGAAGACGAGTCGGAGGCGTACCTGCTTCCCACCGTCCGAGGGCCCAACGGTTCCGCCCCTACGTTCCCCGCGCATCCCCCGCGCTCACATCAACGAGATCTGTCGTTTACTTTCACGCTGGGCGGCCAGCACAGGCGTTTGAGGGTGCCGCTGGTGTGCCTGGGCATGAGAAGAGACATGCGGGGAGAGAGAGGGATGGTCAGGGCGTTCGCGCAGGATGTCGTCGATGTGGCCTGGCCTCCGCTGCTGCTATTTATGTTGCTTGCTGTGTGGATGTTCCGATAGGGATAGGTACAGGGAGTTTTGTAGGGGTTATAGGACTATAATGGGTTTCTGGTGTATAATGGAATGAGGGGTGGGAAGGTGCGTTTGCGGTGTTCCTGCTGGATGGGAGCTTCAGTCCTGTCTGTCAGTGGACGTCAATGGTACTGCGCTGACAGTCCTGAAACCATTCACTGCTCGACGCTACTTCTCTTCGCATACTGGACAGGAGGCATAATGCTTGGTCATACCAACGCGAACCGTACGTCGGTGCAGAATCTATAGCTACTGCTCCTATGTAAAGGGTACCACGCACGCGTCAAGCGGCTCGTGGCTGGGTGCATCACTACGCCAGATCGGCAAAAGCATTCGCGGAGGCAGGAACGGACAACGGATCAGGCATGGAAACAGCACGGTAGATAAGGGAGACAGACGCCGATGTGTGCTCGTTGAAGCTGGATTAGCAGCGCTGTCGTGCTCTGGGTCTAGGCTGCGGGGACAGACATCAGCGTTCTCTCCTGCCTGTTCCTGCAGCAGATAGCCCGAAGTTGGGCGACATAAACCGGCGACGGCGTGTCGAACTGCTGGCGGTTTATGAACGCACGTTTGCCGTGCCAGGACAGGTCGAACCGGAGCCGCGTGGGGAGCAGCCGGCGGGCGGTGACGCTGTCGTCGTCGCTGCTGAAGCCAGAGGGCGGGGGCGGCAGGCGGGGCACGCTGTCTGCGCCGTCGTCGCCGGTGCTCAGGGGGCCGTCGACGCTGGAGCTGACGGTGCTGGACAGCGCGCTGGGCCGGCTGGCGCAGCGACGATCGGTGTGCGAGCCCATCAGTGAGGAGCCCTCTTCGGACTCGGCCGTGCTGTCCCGCTCTGCTCCAGATCCAGTAACTGTCCCCGTATATAAACGGCACCACAGACCGCGCGCCCCTCTTGCTCGCACAAATTCTGCTCCCCTCCTCATCTCCACCACCACAACCTCCCCCGTCTACATCAACCACCCCGCCAGGTCCGTCGTCGTCGTCGTCGCCGTCGAGCAGCAGTCTACTGACCCCGTCTAGCCTCATCATGTCCTCCAACACGCTTGCACCCAAGGCCGAAAACCTCAATGCGCGCGTCCGTGGCAGCAGTCACATCGACTTCAAGACTGCCACCACCGGCGTTGCCGCCAAGGCCATGCGCAACGAGCTCTCCCAGCTCGTCTCCACGGTCGAGGACCCCCAGACCAAGAGGGTACGTCGATCCCAGTGATGCCTCAGATCAGTGCTAGATCTATGCGATGCAGGCCTTCGACATTGAGATGCAGTCCTTCTTCTACCTTTTTACGCGCTACCTCGCCGAGCGTGCAAAGAGCCAGGAGCTGTAAGTGATCGCCGTCGTCGTCATTCGAATTTCGACTGACGCGCCCGAATAGCGACTGGGACCGGGTCAAGACCCCCGAGGGTGACCAGATCGTGCCTTACGCCTCGATCACCCAGCCCGTGGACCCGAAGAACCTCAACAAGCTCGCCGTCCTCAAGGTCAACGGTGGTCTCGGTACCTCCATGGGTAAGTGAATTCCAGTCCACTATATGTCCATGTCCTCACCCGTCCCAGGCATGACCGGCGCGAAGAGTGCCCTCGAGGTCAAGGACGACATGACCTTCCTCGACCTCACTGTCCGCCAGATCGAGCATCTCAACACCACCAACCGCGTCGATGTGCCCCTCATCCTCATGACCTCCTTCAACACCCACGACGACACCCTCCGCATCATCAAGAAGTACGCCAACCAGCAGCTCCGCATCACCACCTTCAACCAGTCGCGATACCCCCGTATCCACAAGGAGACCCTCCTGCCGCTCCCCAAGACCGCCGCCGACGACAAGAACAAGTGGTACCCTCCCGGCCACGGTGACTTGTACAATGCCCTTCTGCACTCCGGCGTGCTCGACCAGCTCCTCGCGGAAGGCAAGGAGTACCTCTTCGTTTCCAACTCGGACAACCTGGGTGCCGTCGTCGACGAGAAGATCCTCCAGCACATGATCGACTCCCAGGCCGAGTTCATCATGGAGGTCACGGACAAGACGAAGGCGGATATCAAGGGTGGCACCCTGATCGACTACGAGGGCTCCATCCGCCTGCTCGAAGTCGCGCAGGTGCCCTCGGAGCACCTCGAGGACTTCAAGTCCGTGCGCAAGTTCAAGATCTTCAACACGAACAACCTGTGGATCAACCTCAAGGCGCTCAAGCGCATCATGGAGACGGAGGGCATGGAGCTCGACATCATCGTCAACCCGAAGAACACGGAGGACGGGACGCCCGTCGTCCAGCTCGAGACCGCCGCGGGCGATGCGATCAAGCACTTCAAGAACGCGCACGGCGTGAACGTGCCAAGAAGCCGCTTCCTGCCGGTCAAGAACTGCTCGGACCTGCTGCTCATCAAGAGCGATCTGTACTCGCTGCAGCACGGGCAGCTGCTGCTGAGCGACAAGCGCCAGTTCGAGTCGACGCCGGTGATCAAGCTGGGCGACCACTTTAAGAAGATCCAGCAGTTCCAGAAGAGGTTCAAGAAGATCCCCAAGATCTTGGAGCTCGACCACTTGACGGTGACTGGGGATGTATACTTTGGGCGGAATGTGACCCTGCGGGGTACCGTCATCGGTATGTTCTTGTCGGTTGTCTATCATCTAACAAGATATCTTATCCTATCTTGCAGTTGTCGCCAACGAGGGTCAACGCATTGACATTCCCGACGGTTGTATCCTCGAGAACAAGCTCCTGTCCGGTAACCTCAACATGATTGTACGTCACTATGTCCTCTATCTCCACGTCTCGGTCACTGACATTATCCCTCAATAGGAGTTGTAAGGTCCGCCGGCCCATATGCGTCCATCTATCACCCCTCTTCGTTCTTCGGTAGATGGACGTCTTGGAGAATCTTGGTTTTCTGGGATAAACGCCGTAGTTTTGAAGAACGGAGAGAAGAAGTAAAAAGGAAGTTTGGATGGACCTTCGTGATACACACTTGAACGACCGCGATGACTAGGAATACTTATAATTTCTTATCTTCATTGTTTATAAAGCAATAGAGTAGGGGAGCATCGGATGCAGTCACCCATGAGCGAGTTGTGCGGCAATATGGATATGGGAAGTGTGGCACTGGTCATGTTCGGACAGGTTGCGTGGCACTTTTCATTGTTCGATGGTCATGCTGCGTTCGAGCTACATAGTACGGCAGTAGAGATGATACATGGGGATATAGTATCTATGGATGGGGGTATACAGCGAGTCTATTGGAGAGGGTGGCATGTCCGAAATGTGAAAGTGCGTTCAACGCAAGTTGCATGAATCGTACAACGTACGTAGCAAATGGACGCGTCAAAGGTCCTAGGAAGCCAAGTGTCAGAGAATATATGGCTCACGAAAAGCGTAAGACTTACGATGACAGTGAAGTTTCCGGTAATCAGACCTGCATGTGGATGAGGGAACGTCAGTGATACTCGTGTCGAACTGAGGGCTGAGATCGACTCACGGTTCTCGAGCGTGGATCCGTCGGGAATGTTTATGCGCTGTCCGTCGTTGGCCACGACTGGCGGATTCATCAATTACGTATCAACGTGAATATATAAGCCAGTATAGCTAGTAGACTCGACGCACTGATGACTGTGCCTTTCAAGGTGACGTTCCGGCCGAAGTACACGTCTCCAGCGACGCTCAGGTGGTCGAGCTCGAGCAGACTCGGGATGTTCTTGAAGCGTTTCTGGAAGTCCTCGATCTGTCGGGCGGCATGTCGTCAAGTTGACGCCATTGAGCACAGGCGAAATGGCGGCGTACCTTCTTGAACTTGTCCCCAAGGGTAATGACCGGCATGGTCTCGAACATGCGGGCTGTGTTCGCTACGAGCTGTCCGTTCCGCAGTGTGTAGAGGTCGCTCCTGAGGAGGAGCAGGTCGGAGCAGCTCTTCACGGGTAGGAAGCGCGTGCGGGGGACGTTGATGGCCAGCGCGTTGTCGAAGTGCTTGATTGCGGCGCCCGCTGCTGTCTCCAACTGCATAATAACCGCAACGAACGTCAGGTCAAACGCAGTGTGATGTATGCTGTAGTGCAGACCTGGATCACGGACTGACCGTCCCCGGTGACTTTGGGGTTGACGATGATGTCGAGTTCCATGCCGCCGTTGGCTAGCACCCGTTTCAGGGCTGTGGCTATTCATCAGCGATGTTCGCTCAGTATGCCTGGAACACGTACCCTTTAAGTTGATCCACAGATTGTTCGTGTTGAATATCCTGAACATTGAGACTGAGAAATGCTAATGGTCAGCTCGTGTACAGGGAGGGTCGAGTGGAGACACGGACCGGATTTGAAGTCTTCTACGTGTTCTGCGGGTACTTGCGCAATCTCGAGCAGGCGTAAGGAATTATCATAGTCGATCAGAGTCCCGCCCTATCGACAGGCCGCTCAACTACGACCAAGTATGAGAAGCATGAGAGGGTGTACCTTAATATCGGCCTTTGTTTTGTTGGTCACTTCCATAATGAAATCTGCCTGGGAGTCGGCCATGTGTTGCAAAATAGGAAGATCGACACTACTCTCAGCAGCTTCAGTTTCGGGCGGATAGGGCACACTTGATAGAATACTGACGTTGCCCCCACATTATCGGAGTTGGATATGAACAGGTATTCCTTCCCCTCTTTCAGCAACTGATCAAGGACGCCAGACTGGGCCAATGCGTAGTAGATATCGCCATGCCCTGGCGGATACCATGCCTTATTGTCGTCATCCGCAGATTGCGGTAATGGCAGCATAGTGTCTTCGAGTATACGCGGATATCGCGATTGGTTGAAGGTGATTATTCGCAGCCTGCTGTTCGCGTATTTCTTGGTTATGCGGAGGGAGTCCTCGTGCGTATTGAAGGAGGTCATGAGCAGCAGCGGCACATCGACGCAGTGCGCGATGTTGAACTGCTCGACTTGGCGCACGGTAAGATCCAGGAAAGACTGGCCGTCTTTTACTTCCAGCGCGCTTTTCGCTCCCGACATACCTGGGCGGGATATAGAGTTTGAGATAGTAAAATTGATGATCGGGACGTACCCATGGAAGTTCCTAATCCGCCATTGAATTTGAGGACTGCGAGTTTGTGCAGGACCTTGGTGTCCCATACCTGCGGTAAGTTGTCGTATGGGATAATTTGCTCTTTGGAGGGAATGTCAATCTGATTCCAGTCACTTAGGTACCTTATGTGAGGCACGCCACCGGTATTGATGTGGATGGACCTACAGCTCTCGATGTCTTGACCGCTCTGTCAAGTAGCGGTCATGTAAAGCAAGGAAAGATTTCATTTCCTTGTCAAAAGCCTAGATACGGTTAATACCCTTAACTTCGCTATCATCACTAGCCGGAGGTACCTTTCTGGAGCTTGCGTCAGGGACCGTCGCCACAAGTTTCTTCACCTCCCTGCGCATAGTCCTCTCGCCGTCTTGAACATCTCCTGCATCGCTCACGCTGGCGGCGTCCCTGCTGGGTCGCAGCCGGCGTCTGAAACGCAGGAGAGGGAGGAGAGTGCTTAGTTGAATCATGGTAAGCGGAAAGATAAAATGGGACCCGTGTTCGGCCTAGGGCATTTATGATGAACATCTGCGGCCATGCTGGGGACGCGAGGCGAACTTAGATAATTGTAGACCAAGGTATCCGCTCGACTGCGAGACTTACAGCGCAGCGTCCGCCAGGCTTCCGCGTGCGGACGGAGGGCCGCCGTATCACTGTCGGAATTACACTGCGAGCAAGCAGTACAAGCACATTGATGCAGAACAGCTTAGAACATACGGGTATGGGACGGGGACAGTCCACTCAGGGCCTGCAGCTGATGGTAAAGATGCATCTACAGGAACTGACTGGGATGTCTCCTGTCCTCTTTATTCTGCCTCTCTCTCAATCAGAGACTCCCATTGTCAGTAAGGGATAGGGCGGCATTCGTTTCTCCTCAGAATCAGAGAGTATTCGAAGGATGTCCCGACCGTTTCTTCACGAAGGTAGTGTACGCTATCTCAGAATCCCTGGAGGGCGGACAAACATACACTGCAGCGGAAGAGCGATGAGTTCCACGAGTCTTAGGCTCGAAAGTAGGCATTGTCCGTGAGAAAAACAGAGGGAGGACTTTTCCAAGGTTCGAGAACAGATATGCCGGCGGACTCACAGACTCGCTGCAGCGTAGATCATCATGTTCCTCTGGAGTAGTGCTTGACTCAGGATTGATCGAAGATGACTGACGCCACCGGTCATCTATCGCTCCAGCAGGCTACCATGCACATCATAGAAGGCATACCATAGCCAATTCACGTACATATCCTGTTATCCTGGAGCGCGGGTGACCATGCCCATCCCGCATTGCGTAGCTTCCAATGGTGCATCCGATAGTGGCCGAGAGAGTAATCCACGAATAGCTAGTTCCTGAATTTGAAGATCCTGGATTGCCCTGGCTACAGTTGAGACCCATCGTGTAAGTTCCTAGGGCACGCTCCATGCCTCGCCTCATGAGGGCATATCAAGGGCAGATGACCGCCCTACTGCCCCTCCGGAACTTGGCTTTGTAATCGCGTTACCACAAGAGAGTAGCCCGTGCAGGCGTCGTACCGCATGCAAAGAAGAGTTTCGCTGCATAATTGGACGTTCTGTGAGAGGGATTTGTCGAATAAACTGCGCCCATGGCACTGGCAGCCCGGCGTCGGTATCAATATCATGGACGTCCGTAACGGTAGAGGGTCCGGAAACGGAAAGAGAGAACGACTGGAGAAGAGCCTGTAAACCCAGCCGGCACTCGCCGGTCTGAGTATGAACTGATCAAACCTTAATGTTGTGTACCATCCACAACGTTTGGCTAATTGGGCCTTCGTGACCGTCCAACCTCAAGACTAACGACCATGGGTCAGTGCTGCTGGTTTTGTCAAGTTTGCAGGGCAAGATATGCTAACCTCGTTATTGTTTGCTTTCGTTGTTGCTTGGACTATCAGGTGAGTATTTCAGGGTTTCGGGGGGCGACGTGCGGCTTATAACGAACGATCCACAGGTATCTCCCGCACCTCCCGGCATAAACGCTCCGCATCTGGTGCCCAGCGCGCCCATTACCGCAAGAAGCGAAAGTTCGAGCTCGGCCGTCAGCCCGCGAACACGAAATTGGGCCCCAAGCGTGTGCACACCGTCCGTGTCCGTGGAGGGAGCTTGAAGTACCGTGCGCTCCGTCTCGAGTCCGGTAACTTCGCATGGGGTTCGGAGCACGTTACGAGAAAAACTAGGATTATCGGTGTCGTACGTATCTTATCTGAGACATGCTGAGATACTTTCGCTGACTGGAACTTCGTATGTCTTAGGTGTACAATGCCTCTAACAACGAGCTTGTCCGAACCAACACCCTTGTCAAGGGCTGCATCATCCAGATCGATGCCGCTCCTTTCAGACAATGGTATGAGGCCCACGTATGTTTCTCTCACTCTTCTTTGTATTTGACTTAGAATTCTGACAAATACATGGACCCACAATAGTATGCTCAACCCGTGACGAAGAAGGGCGCCAAGACCACTGCGGAGACGCAGACGGAGGAGGAGGAGAAGAAGAAGTCGAACCACGTCCAGCGGAAGATCGAAGAGCACCGAAAGGGTACATATTGCATTTCTTTGCATTCCACGATGAATCCTTGATTAATTGAGCGTCCATTATAGTGGCCAAGATTGACCCCCTCCTGGAAACGCAGTTCGGCGCCGGTCGTCTTTACGCTGCCATTTCCAGCCGCCCGGGTCAGTCCGGTCGTGCGGATGGCTACATTCTCGAGGGCAAGGAGCTCGAGGTAAGCTAATCAGGGTCTTGAAACTGTCCAGGGGTTTGATCTGATCTCCGTCCTTGTCGTAGTTCTACCTGAGGAAGATCAGGACCGGTAAGCAGAAGCACGCTCAGTGATCTGTTTATTCGTGTTCTGCTTTCCTTTCGTCCTGCCTCGTCGGTGCTATGCATGGGCCCCTGGCGAGGCTGGGTTCCGGCGATGATGCGGTGCAGCTGTGGAGAAAAAAGCTGGGACGGTTTGCTTTGACCCACTCTCTTATTCTGTATGAAACTATGCTCTCTATATGTGCAATGCAACCCATGGCCCGTGACTCTAATTAGCACGTCGGGTGTCTTGGTCGCCCGGTCGGGATAAAACTGTGCGAATAAAATTTCCGGCGCTTGCCCACCCCCCTGTGTCGGGCAGGCGTCGACTTCCCAATTAGTGTCGTCATGAATCAGATGTCTCAGCCACAGGCCACATCCATCGTGTCAAAGCGCTCTTCTCAAGGCCAATATTAAAGCACTCAACGCTGCCACCGCGTTGCCCCGACCCATCCCGCCCGCAGCCTCGTATTCCCCCTATCGAGCGCGTCCCCACTGCAACCAGTCACCCGCTCCGCCTTCACCCGCACATGGCTCCCTCGGTGGCGAGCTCGTCGACGGGCTCGTCGAGGACGGCCTTGACATGGCGACCGACCACTATGATGAACATGCGCGACCTCTCGCGCGACGACGACTTTCTCAGCCATTTGCTCGTGGAGAAGATTGGAACGGGAGTCGTGCCCTTGCTCGTGCACAAGATGGACCCGACGAGGAGACTCCCGAAGGCGAAACCAGACACCCTCATGGAAATAGTCAGACGCGTGCGTTTTTTGTTCTCTCGATATGTCGTCGCGTTGTTCATGCGTTACTACGTTATCTGCACGTTTAGTTCGTCACGTCCAAGCTTGCAGCGCACGCAGCTATCCGCGTCGCGGTCGATGACCTCCTGAGGTACGTCACCGCGACTCTGCCACGACACGGCCCTCATTTCGCGTCTGTTTAGCCTCACGCCCGTGCGTTACTATCTCAAAGGCTACACCCAGAAGCAAATCAATGCTTTCGCGACGTGTGTGCCACCAGCCCCTATTCACCCATTCTCACATTTCGCTGACAGTTCTCGTCCTATAGACACGCGTCTCGGTATTTCGAACTCTACCATCCATCCGGCTCGATTGAGATCGCGCATACATCGCGTTATTCGCACCACACTGGCAAGTCCGAGCTATGTATCCTCGCCACACGACCTCTTGCTCCGGGAACAGTCATCTCTGAACTCAAAGGTTCTATGGCGGATCTCACTGAGGAAGAGGACCGGGAGCTGAAGCGCACAGACCGGCGGCATACCGATGGTATCCGGAGGGATTTCAGTGTCATCCATTCCAAACAGATGAAAAAGAACCATTTATTCCTGGGGCCTGCCCGATTTGTCAACGTACGTCCCTAGTGTTTCTGTGCATGGAATCGCTCTTCATGGCACTCTTTTCCAGCACGATTGCGACAATAACTGCGAGTTGTTCCGGGAAGGGAAATATATCACGTTCCGGGTACTCAAGCCTATCGGGGTGGGTGAGGAAGTCACTGCTCATTATGGTTACGGTTACTGTACGTGTTTATTTCTTCCGGCTTCTATTGACGCTAATACTTCGTAGTCGGGCGCAAGAATCGCCACTGTCTCTGTGAGACCTGCGAAAAGCTCGGCAGAGGCGGATACGCCCCTCAACCTCTCGAGGACGAGCTATCGGAGTACAATTCCGACGATGACTCTGGTACGTCATGCTCGTCAAGCGACGAAGATTCGGGCAAAGAGACGGCAGCTGTCAATATCAACGAGCGCCGGACCCGGAGAGGCGTGTATGCCATCCTTCCAGACAAGGGAGATGCCGATGATGACAGCGACGAAGAGCAAGACGACAAGGAGCCGTCTGCCCCGCCACCGATCGAAATAGCTCTCGAGGAAGGATCCGCTTCCCAGCTCGCCACGCCATCGATGTCGAGGTCGCCATCGAAGATGTCGTTCATGGGCCCGCCATCGTCCGTGTCTGCACTGACGATGATGACACCTGACCCAGATGTCCGCCCGCCTGCGTCATCCTCGTCACTTAGCCCGTTATCTACAGCAGAAGGCGAGGCTTCCCCGGCGCGGAAGACGCCCTTCAAGAGCGTTATCTCGACGCGCGCACAGAAGGCCCGGCAGGCGGCGACAGCTGTCCCCGGGCCGCAGCTTGTGACACCCCCGCTTTCGGAGGATGCACTTTCCGAGAAGGCGAGTGAGTCCGGTAAGGGGAAGCATCCTCGGGACGAAGAGCCTGAGAGTGTGTCTGCTGCGATGCCGAGGCGGAGTAAGCGCTTCGCGAGGGAGTCTGAGGTTGCATCGAGGGAGCCGAGTCAGGTATGCGGTAGGGAAGTGTCGACGGCGCCTCCTGCGCCCCGGCCGCGAGGGCGGCCTCGTAAGCGACCACTAGAGGTCGTAGAGAAGAAGGCAGCGACGCCGTCGATATCGAAGGAGAGATCTAAGGGGAAGGAGAAGGAGAAGGCAAACGTGAAAGAAGATCCCGAGGAGCCTCAAGTTATCGATGATGGGTTGCCGAGGTGTTCGACCTGCTCGAATATCCTGCCTTTGATTACCGTGGATGATAGTGTGGTGTGGGGTCTCGGGTTCGAAGGTTTGTCCGGTAAGGGGAAAGGCAAGGGCAAAAAGGAAGAGAAGCAGGATTGTCCCAGGTGTGTGCAAGTTCCAATCTATTCATTGTTATATCCACGGCTGACTGTCTCTCTGTGTAGATGCATAAGACATATGGAAATCTATGGACGACCCTGGCCTATCCGTCTATCTGGCCAAGTCCCGACCTATATGCCCACGCCACGAGAAGAGAGCGTGCCTGCCGACCTAAGTCATAAGGTGACGCACAAAGCTCTTCCCGCTTTGGACCGCAAATTGGCAGCTGCTGCGTCCAAGTCGCACCATCGAGAACGTGATCAGGAGACCGAGGAAAGACCTACTAAGAAGCGTAAGAAGGACGCACAGGTCAAGGTTGAGATGTCGGCCAAGGCCAAGGAAGGTTTCTTGAACAACGCCCGGAGTCGCGCGGGACGGAACCGCGTCCCAAGCATGAAGGTACGGGAGGGCGACCAGCCAAAGCGGAAGCGTGGCAGGCCTCCGAAATACCCTCGTCCGGAGAACCCACCCCTGGAGCAGGAGAAGCCAAAGCCTACCACCACTTCGGAAAGCGAAGTCATTCAACCCCGGGAGTCAAACGGACGCTTTGGAAAGAAAGAAACTACCAACGGCATGTACGGTAGGAAAAAGTTCGGGTCGTTTCATCGACGACAACTTTCCAGAGCGCAAAGGGTCATTGAGCGAAACAAGACCAAAGCGTTGCTCGAGAAGAGTGAAGCTTCAGACGAGCGCCGGGACACCGCCACCGACGAAGACGTCACAGCCAAAAGCCCCGACCACGATGAGGGAAACCCAGCACCACCGAGTTCAGACTCGTTCACGCAGGGGAGGGTGGGCTTTGGGATGAGACGGTTTGGTGGTCTACTTAGTAAGACACCTAATCCCTCTGCTTTCGCTGCCCGTCATTGGGGATCAGGAGACCCTGACGCTGCTGAATCAGGCGCAACTTCATCGCGCCACAAGCCAGCTACTCCAGAGCTGTCGACTGACGATGATACGGATGGTCCCGTAACGCCTGAAAACCAGACCGAGGCGCCGCCAATCGAGGTCGTTGATCTGACGGAGCCTGACCAAGGCGTGGCCGCAGACGATATCTCGGATGGGATGGCAAGCTCAGAAGAGAGCAAGGACCTGCCAGTCTTGTCAGCTCCCACTCTGCCGCGCCGCTTGGCCTCAAGCGGGGCGCTTACATTCAAGCCCTCTCCTGTCAACTTCGCGAAACGTCGGTGGAGTGCTGTTAACAACACGAACGGCGACGACGGGAGCGACCTCGACGAAGATGGTCTCGATACCAATGATTTTATGCACGTTGATCGTGCCTATCCCTCTGCGGCGTCTATACCAATCTCCTCCCGTCGCCTCATGGACATCTCGACCATGGTGACAGTCGATAGGTGTGTGTTGTGTTGTCTCGTCGTTGCTCGGAATCTGACTTGTTTCCAGCGTTTAAACTAGTTTTGCCATCACAATCCTGGCGTTATTCACCAGTCAATCTTTCCCCTATCTCTCGCATAACATGCGAAGTCTACAGTACAGATCAACTCTGTAATTCATGCTGACTAGGACTCACGCGAGTACGGACAAGTAACCGAACGCTATGCTGATTGTATGTTGGACGTGCATTCGTTTATCTTTATCACCCAGACGCTCAGCAATGCTCTCAAGTAACTTCTATGTTATCGTATTGTCCGCCGCATTCGTATATACTATGTTTATTGTAATAATATCTTGCAGCTCCTGTATCAGTTCCGCTCACATTCATGTCCCCCTGATTACTTGCAATTCCCCTCATTGACATTTGCCGTTACGGAAATGCAATAGCTCGTATTAGCAGTACGATAAGATTTACATGCTTGAATGTATCATTGTTGTCCCTCAGGTTTTAATGAACTACGCCCCGCTCGTAAGATCTCGTCAGTCGATAGCAGGTTGACAGCAATAACAGAACTAAGTGCTTATCAGCCTCAACGCCGAAACTGATCGGGTCAATAGACTCACCATGAATGGAGCATCTGCCTCTTGACCCGGTAGTTATCCCAGATCCCCTCCACTGTCGGGTCAAAGGGCTCGCCAGAGTTTAGGTCAATACCGACGATATTGCCCTCCGCTTGCTCGTCCTATCCAGGTCTTTAGTGAAATACGTCAAGGGGACAGTAACAGTAGCACCGTACCTGTAAGGCAACGACAACGTCTTGGACATCGAACCCACCATTCTGGGCGAGCGTCTTCGGAATAACTAGCAGCGCGTCCGCGAAGGCTTGCACACCCATCTTCACGCGTCCTTTGGCGTTCTTCTTCACCGGCCCCGCCAGATGCGCCGCACACGCCACCTCAAACGCACCAGCCCCAGGGATCAGTGCGTTGTCATCGATCGCGTTCTTCACGGCGCGCAGGCCGTCCCGGAGGGCGTCCTGAACGCGCTGTATCGTGTATGCGTTGGGGCCCTTTATGAGCAGCGTCACACTCTTCGGGTCTTTGACGTCTTCGATGAATGTGAACTTCTCTTCGCCCAGGGTGTGTTCGTAGACGAGACCGGCCCAGCCGAGGACGTCGGGTGTCAAGTCTTCGACGGAATTCTGGGCAGAGCCGCCGCATACGAGTTGCAACCTACAGGGCAAGAATGTAATCAATGCATTCTTAACATCAGGGCAAAATGGGCATACCGCTCCATATTCCGCCTCTTGGCCCGACGAAGAGCAAGGATACCATTCTTAGCAAGAATATCTAGACTCATGGGGTCAATACCCTTCTGGTTGATGACGACGAAGTTCTTCTTTTTCTCCTTCGAGTCCACCGCCTGGTCGCAAACCAGGTTCTTGAACTCTACAATCTTCCGGCACTTTGCGTCGGTGAACTTGCGTTCGGACTCGACGAGCTTTTCGCGCTGTTCGGCGGAGGAGTAGAAGAACCCTGAGTTGACCTCGCTAGGACGAACTAAGTAACGAGGCTCAGGAGCATGACCTTGTTACTCACGTCTTCTCGTACTCCAAGCTCACGTTCAGGGTCAGAATGTACGCGTTCTCGACGCGTTTGGGCATGTCAGGATGTCTACCGCCATGATCCAAGACGAGGCCCCGGACGAGTTGCGTATCGGATGCTGTCCGGTGCTGCATCTTCATGATCTCAATCATATGCAGATCAATGGGATCCCGGAATTTGTCCTCTGAATCTATCTCATGGATTGACATGCTATATCTTCCGCAAGTCTGAACGTGGCTCACCTTCTGATGGGGGAGGGGGTCGGATGGTGAGGACAGCGTCAACTACGTCAGCGGCCAGTTTCTTGGCCAAGGCGTTGTCGAGTTTCGTCGCGAGAGACGTATAGGCGACGTTGATTAGGGTAGCTCTATCCAACGTCACCTGCTGCTTGAACGAATCCAAGAACTACCATGGAAAGGTCAGAGTTGAAAACATCGCCCGTTCACCGAGTGGATAGCGCACCGCAAGAGCTTCCTTCTTCGCTAAATCGAATCCCTCTGCAATCACGGTCGGATGCACACCCTCAGAGATGAACCGATCCGCCTGCTTCAGCAGCTCGCCCACCAATAACACCACTGACGTCGTCCCATCTCCGACCTGATCATCTTGTGCAACTGCTGTCTTCGCGATCATGGCGGCGGTAGGGTTCTGGATCTGCATTTCGGAGAGTAGCACCTTGCCGTCTTTTGTCATCTTGATCTGGCCCGCACCATCTACCAGCATCTTGAGAGTTCCTCTGGGTCCTTTTGACAGTATACATTGAGTTAAATAGTCACATAAGGACCAGTTTGACGCGTACCGAGGTTGCCTTTCACGACGTTGGCAAGACCCATCGCGCCGGTCGTATTGACCTATCCCGAGATGTTCAGGTTAGCTACAGACAGGGCCAAAGACATCTTGACTGACCTGAAGCGCTGCTGAGCGACGAACGCTCTCAGCTTTTGGGTTGATCAGCTCGATACTGGAGGACATGACTGCCGGCTTGCAAGACTTTAGCCAGGATTTTACTTTCGAGAGCTCAGCTGAAGTCGCGGTCACACGCGTCACACCTTAGAGCTTTCATCGTGCCTCACGACATCATTTGGCTCTTGGCTTATGGTCACGGCTCTGTTCTATTTTGCTGCTCAAGCCCTTGGAAGGGCCATAAATGCGATAACAAGGTCGTTTAGATCCGATTCCAACCGTTGAATGATGAGCTCTAATGCTTTCAATGTCTTTCTCCCGACGGTACATATGGCTTCCAACTTTCAGTATGTCTGCCAGTGCATAGGAACTATATCGGCCAGCTTTAAGCACATCACTTCTACGTCGTCCTTGGATCTGCTCTGTACTGGACTCCCGTAGTAATGTGCACGGTTTGAACTCGGGATTGCGGTTCTTTTGGCAGCACATCGTGCATCTTGTATTACATAGACAAAATATATTCCTTCATTTTGTGTATAGCGTCACTGGTTAAGTTGCATATATGCCGGTGTATACCGCCTACCATAGTACTATCACCGGCTACCACAACCCCGGAGGTTTGCACCTTCCGTTCATTGACATGTGCGACGCGAACGTGATCCCGTGGACTCCCATCTTAGCCGGTGCTATATATCGCCACTATGTCTGAGAGAACAGTCATAAGCCAACTGGCAGACCACACCTTGCAGCAGGTACACCCAGCATGTCAGCCGTGAAGACCAATGGATACAATGCGGTGAGGACGAAGGTATCCAGCGACGAGGAATTCTACAAGCGCACTGTCGCGCGGATAGAGAAGATCCAGTCACACTTGACGAACACCCCGCGAGGTTCACGGCTGAAGGGCAAAGTATGCGTGATCACTGGTGTGGGGTCATTGAAGGGCATTGGGTGCGTCCATAGAGGATCTTAACCCCGAACTGAGCATGACCGACCGGGATCATGTAGTCGGGCTACGGCTCTTCTCTTCGCTCATGAAGGTATGCCCTTCGATCCGTGTGCTCGGCGTCTACTGTGAGGATCCTGCGTTGATTGAGGGTAATCATGCAGGTGCTCATCACCTGTATCTGATCGACTTCGCGCCCGACAACCTGCCCAATCTGAAGTCCACGATAGAGAAGTCATATCCTGACGTCAAGGTATTCATCGGGCATGTTATCTCGTTCAATTCATCCTTGACGATCAATCCAATAGGTTACGACGATACAAGCCGACGCAGCGGACGAAGCTGCTATATCCGGTGTGTGCAAACGAGCTATACAGGAGGAAGGCCAGCTAGATGTCTTCTTTGCCAACGTACGTCATAAGCGTCTTAGGTACCCCCCAAACCTCAATCACTAACACTTCAACGCGTGTAGGCTGGTATTGCCACGAACACACATCTGCACGATACCACGGCCGAGAGATTCATGGAGGTCATGCGAATAAATTCTCTCTCGTACGTAGATTCAGACGTCCGACGAACTCCGGTAATCTCATGCGGAGACTTGCAGTTGCTTCCTCGCAGTTAAACACGCGTCGGAAGCCATGATGAAAACCAATCCCTCCAAAGGCAAGGAGTTCAGTGGTGGCAGCATAATCTTGACAGCATCTGGTACGTGATGTACGAAAGGAACGTCCACCTCAGACTCTCACATATGAGTATGATTTAGTGGCAGGGATACGATCCGGCGCCGGTCCGGTAGATTGTGAGGAACAACATTGTCAGAGTTAACAACATTCCCTGCTAATACTATGCCCTCCTTTGCAGATAGCGCAAGCAAGGCAGCGTATGTCCCGACTTCAACTTTGCTCAGAAGTCGTACTTACTGCATGGGCGTACAGTGTGAATTCGATTGCCAAGACCGCACCGTATCAGCTTCCCAAATCTGACATCCGAGTCAACTCCATCTGCCCAGGACTCATCGAAACCGGGATGTCCGCCGCAACGTTTGAATACGCGCGCCAGAGGGGCACGATCACGAAAGTTGGGCAGCTCAACCCCACCGGACGCTATGGCGTTGCAGAAGGTGCTACCAATATTCGCCGTGTCCATCACCAGTACTGAAATGCTTGTCTTTCAGAGATTGCGCAAGCTGCGCTGTTCTTAGCTTCAGGTGAGAACTTAGCATCGTTACGAGGATTAGACTTACATTTGCAATCGATGCAGACGAAGCAAGTTATGTCAATGGACAGAATATCGCCGTTGACGGTGGTTTGTCTAGTTCTCATCCGGTTGTACCGGGCAGATGGGCGTGATCGTGGGTCAGTGCCCGCGATCCAGCGTCGTGTATGGATCTGTATTATTCTCACCATGGCTCTTGACATGAGACTACCGTATGGATTACTATGGAACACTCGCATGGTACACATTGCTCTCCTTTGTCTGAATAGTGATCCGAACCCTGAGTTGATCCGCCCAGGCTTTGTATTATGTCCCCCGAAGCTCTACGGAGTCTTATTTACGGCATCCTGTATCGTAGAAAGCCGGAAGTCTGGAGAAGTGTCCACTCGAGAATGCCATTCGACGACATATCGCTCACGCGAGAGCGTGGGATGCGAAGTTTGTCTATACATGGACCCACATATCGTAGGAGTTCGAAAACTCTGTAACCCCGATGACATTCCCAGTCCGCGAACTACGCTTGTAGAACGAGATCCAGTTCGCCGACAAGTCACGGGGACTGAAGGAAGATGAAGTTACAAGGTAGTAAGACCATGATACATTCACACTTAACGTACTGCGTGCTCAAAGAGGTTTCAGACTTATCGGAGACAGGAGTGCGATTAACGGAAGCGTCTGGATCGGGATACGCTTCGATGCAGAGCGGTTATTTGACATGCGGAAAAAGAGTTCACAGATCAGTGCGAGCGTAGGATTATGGCCAAGGCTTCGCCGAGGAACGTGGTCGCCAGTCCTTTGCTTAGTCCGCTCCTATGTACCAGCAGCATTTCGTCCTACGCACGACATCTGTACCTGCCATCCCCTCTCGGAAGCCATGCAGTTGCGTATCGGCTTGGCAGGCCTCACAGCTCCCCGGCGCTGTCGAGGTCCAGCACTCCCGATCCTGAGTTCAGCCTCATATGAAGCGACATGAAGCGATCCTGTCCTCTCCGCGACCGTCGGGCGTGCCCCTCTGGCCCCTAAGGGTGTAGATGTATGAGAATGATGCTACTCGGGACGTGTAAAGGCGGTGAAGCAGTCTTTTACTCACCACGAGCCGACAGACCCTCAGCAACACCCGCTCCAACGAGGACTCTAGCGCACAGGTTCTCGACAGTAGATAGAGGGAAGCCAGACTCCTAACCCTGCGTCCGTGAACACACCCAGCTTCCATGCGACCGAAGAATATTTCACATAAGAGTCGCAGGATCCCGTGAGCAGAAAGGCAGCTGCCGGGTCCGTTACGGAAGTTCTACGAAAGTGCTTCCGCACGGGGCTTCGCGTCGTACATGGACGGGTGACAGTGTAATCGTAAAGCGAAGAACGGCAGTAATGCTGCACGAGTGCGTGTGCAAAGCAAGTAGTCGAGACCGTCGTCCATGGTCGACCGGTACGTCGCCGCTGTGCGTGTGGGTCCAGGCAGAGAGGAAAGACAGTTCGCCGCCGGAGTGAACGACGAAGCATTGTACAGGATCAATGCGGAAGCAGATTGCAAGCTCTGTCTTCCCACCTTCATGAAGTATAACTTTGATTGTAGCAGTTCCTACGTGCTCATAAGATTTTCGTAGACGTACAAGATCATCGAAGCGGCCAGACCGACCTGCCGCTAAAAATCTACGGTCGTTATTGTCAGCCACCGACCCATGGGCAGTTAAGTAAATGAGGACTTGCCGTACCACTTGTATCACGTCGACATTGCTCAGCAGTCAGACTGCGAGCAAAGACGAAGGTGGTAAGTTACTGCCTTGGGAGTGGGGTTCGGGCTGGTCACCCTCGCGCTTTTCCTTCGACTCCGTAGGTCTGCCCGCAGCAAGTGAACATCAAGGACAGGTGCCAGTGCAAAGTTAGCAACGAACAGAACGTAGTCCAAGAGAGTCAAATCGTCGGGACGCGAAGCATCGGTCGGGCGCAAGGCGCCGCGGGCACCTCTTGAGGACCTCCACCCGCTCCTGACCATCCATCGGCGTACCATGGTCTACCTTCTTCCATTCCCATGGTATGTTCTCTGACGGCTGCCCGTGGACTGGAGGTTCGCGTCTACGAGGACATGCATGGGGCGGAAAAGCTAGACCATAACGTAGCGCTGGATGCTGCGAAGACGGGAGGGTATTCGTGGTAAGTCGTCTCGTCCGTGCGCTCGATCTGCCAGCCATAAGATGATAGCCTCCGAGCAGGCCGCTGCTCTCGGAAAACATATCACGGTATGGGAGGAATAGGCAAGGCCCGAATGAGAGTATGACAGTCGGGATTAATGGTGTTCTGCGGTGGAACAAGTAAAAGCGCCCTTCCATAGTGCAAAAACCCTTGCGCGTATGGACCAAACGTCCAGATCCAAGCAGAAAGTCTTAACACCAACAAGAGAGCGCAGTGTCCGACGTTGACAGCTTGTTGGAGTGGGGGAGCTGGAGGACCCGGAGGGTGAGCATATGCAATTTATACAAGTTTGCGGGTCCCGGTTTGACCTATAATAATTAGCTTGCTTGGGGCGGCCATCCGGTTGGAAATTGGTCACAGCGGTCGGACCAACTGTTCTTGAAGATTATCTGATCGATCTTGTTTTCTAAGACCTGCATACCAGGAGATGCCAGGCAGCCGGTCCTGGCAGCGCGTACAGCAGGAGGACCAAACCTTAGCGAGGGATACGGTGGCCTTCGGATAATGAAATGTCACCCTAAATTGGGACGGGTGGTCCTACGGAATGGCGGGTTTCATGCTGGATCTTCTATTCGCCACCGTGTTTGAGGTGCGATGATTGACCGGCGAATCGCGTCTCTCCATACTCGCGTGCAATGTAGCACGCTCCAGCCAAGCTCTTGGGCCTCAATCATGCCTTGCTCAGTCCGGACTCTAGCTAGACTGCAAGACTCTGTGACTGGGCCACAACTTCTTCCGGGCCACTGCCAACTCCTGCGCAAATAAGGCCCCATGGCTCCAAGCACCCTTCGAGCATTGGTGATCACGCTCCATATAGCTTGTGCCGTCCTTCCGGGATAGTAATGCTTACAGAGGATTTCCCCGTCAGTGACGATCGCCTTGTGGAGAGAGCAAGGAATACTCACGTCCACGCCTTTGAATTTGGCTCGTGTTGTTGCTGGCCAACAACATGCATTTTTCGCACACTTTCTGCCTGTTGCCCTTGTTGAACCGTATGCGAAGGCCTACGATTGGATAAAATATAGCGGGCGAAGCCTCCAGCTACCGGATACCATACTCGGAATGCAGGAAATGGTAGAAGCATTCCGTCAAGGGCGTCCTCTATCGTATGTCTTCCAGCATCGGAAGGAATAGTAGTTCGCTCGCTGACGGTCACATTTTCCAACAGACGTTAGCGATCGTGGCGTCCGGGAGATGAAAAGAGACATTACAACCCATGTTCGCACCGGTGCGCCATGATCACGGCAAGTCGCGATCTTCCTCAGGGGAGCGAACCAATTCTATCCAAGTCAGCGGATTGGGTGGTTACTCCCATGTTGGTGGCGGAAGCCAGAATTTCACCGAAGGGGATGCGCGGAGGCTGTCATACACGGGTCGTGTTAGGCAACGACTAGCCCCATTCCCAGTCTCCCTCCAGCCCCGCGCCAGTCCAGTGCCAGCCCAGCTCTCCGCGTCGTGCTGCTGTGGCATACTTCATGTCTCTTCATATCCGAGATAGCAATTTTGCAACGGCAGCGGCACTTCGAACCTCTTCCCGACGATTGGGACCGAAATGGCCTTGCATCTTCAGCCGCATTACCGGCCTGGACGTCGTTGACTACGCCATGAACCTGGGCTACCCCCATGACACTTTCCACAGCTGAACTTCAGGTTTCTCCACACAGGCACCGACAGACCACTTGCATATATCCTTGTAGCTTCGGGAACATTGCGTTCCCGCGTGGAGCTTTAGCTTTTTAACTCATCAAGGTCGGCCGGCTGTGTAATAAGCATCTGACCACGGATCTCAACCTCGCAAAGTCCAGTCTGCTACTCGCGCACTCTCCTCTCCAGGTGAGAACGGGTTACCCGACGAAGTGCGCTAATCAACAGACCCACGGTGCGTTCAAGGCGCCTCTCATCCGCCCGCGGATCCGGAGTTGTAAGTACTACTTCAGTCGCTTCTCATGCCGTAAGGCGAGGCGACAGCGTTGCAAGCGCACTAGCCCCTTCTTTAGAGGGAAGTCTATTGTATCAAGGAAGAACAGGTCGAAGCTGTACATCACCCGCTTCACAGCCTCTGCATCCGTGGAAGACCTATAGACAATGCTGGACAAGGGCATCCATGGCAAGGACCATCCAGACTCCATCGATAATGATGTGACGTGCAATATGGGATGTCCGAGGTCTTCTCGACGATACAGTAAACTAAAGTTGCATTGGGATTGCAAGGACTAACTAATGCGGTGGTATGACAAGAGATGTTCGGTAGCAGAAGGTGCACATTTAGCATGCAGATCAATTTACTTTTTATGCCTTACGGTCATCGAGCCCACAATCTTCAGGTGATTCACGGGAAGATTCACTTCATTCCAATGAGCTTGACCTCTGCAGTGGCATATCAGTAAGTATCCAGCCCGTCCAACAAATCTTGTGAATGCATACCAAATTCCAGGACGGAGTTCGCGGGGATCGGGCCCGTTTTCTTGTTGCCATAACCCATACTAGGGGGTATCTTGATTTTCCGCTCGCCTCCGACCTGCATACCCATGAGACCCACATCCCAACCTATTTGGGTTCAACGATCAGAGCGTGAACCAGCCCGGATCCACGTTCCGCTGACCTTTGATAACCTCGCCCTTTCCAACGGTGGTCTTGAACTGCAACACGCGGTATAGGTAAGATATAGCGATCAGGGAAGCTAACGAAGCACACTGACTGGCTGACCCTTGGTGTTCTTGTCGAAGATCGTGCCATCCTGAAGCTTACCTGAAAGTGGCGCCGTCAGTAGATTCAAGGGAGCCAGGGAAACGCGCCGTATCACCGATGTATCGCAGGGAGACTTGACTGCCTTTCTTGACTTGTGGTCCCGTCCCAACGACAGCGTCTTGGATCGTCACACCGCCTTCGAGGGTTCGGACCGGGCCCCTTCCCCCTGATTTGTCTTTCTTTCCCTTCTCCTTGTTCTGATTGCCTTCAGAAGCCTTCTTGTCTTCAGCCTTTGCAGGGGATGGTTCTTGCCCAGCAGGCACTGCTTTGCCGCCCTCAGCCTTCAGCTTTTTGTTCAGTTTCTTCTTCTGCGACTTGGACAATTTTTCTTGCGACTGTTCCTCAGTCTCCATGGCGTCTGAGTCTCGGGCGCGCTTCCCGTTTTGGAGGGCAGGCGTTGGCTCTTCTTCATTGACTTCTTCGAAACGGCTGACAAGCGTACGGCATCAGTATGATGATTAGTCTCTAATTCCAGCAGGCTCACTCTTCGTCAGTGCTTGGCACATCCAGATCCTCGGGATCAATCTCGACGTCCGAGCTTACGTCGCGCAAATCATAACCCTCCTCATCGGAGTCAGGCTCTGAATCATCATTGTACGGGACATTGTTCGTATTCTGGTCTGACCGTACCCACGAAAGGTAAGTCGGCGAGCACGGAACAACACGATTGACGGACGGATACTTACCGATATAATTTCCAGTCAGATACACGGTGCTGCACGAAAGGTCAGTCCATCAGCAGTCCAGCTATATTCTGAAGCACTCACTTGGGCCCAACAACCTCGAACTCATACTCTAATTCCTGTTCTAAGACGAGGTCCATGGTAGCTTGTTCAATCTTCCTAACCCTTTAACATTCAATATTCAGGATGGTATAGACACTGTGCACGCACCTTTCCCGGCGTTAAGGAGCATAGAACGGTTGTGGAGATTGGGTCCGTCTCATCTTCCTCGTCCTCATCCTCATCATCGTCCAGCCTTGAGGCAGTGTGGTAAGTGACTTTGACAGAGGTCCTCTTATCCTCGCTAGCAAGCTCATCGCCGAGCGCTGCCTGAGTGACCTTCAGATCACCGAGAGGAATGATAGTCTCCTTCTGGCCTGGCTTTAAGGCGATGCTCCTGCATCCATGGTTCAGTAGCCACCTTAATGAGTAGGCCATACGACATACCAAACTGCGACAGCGATGGACATGTTCACGGTGAATAGGATGCGCGAACCAAGAGAAAACTAAGTCAAAAAAGCTGCAGACGCGACCGAGGCACGCGCCTGAAAGACGTGCAAACTCCGACGTAATATTCCCACGTTCTACTGTCTCCGCTCGTCATGGTACGCGTTGAATCTCAGGGCATTCACAGCGCTGAAGGCTGATGAAAGGATATTGCTCTGACAACGTAGTCGAATACACTTCGTCCCTACCTTGCCGCTGTTCGGTCGACGCTGACAGCTGCACTTACGCTGGAGAATTTCTCGTCTCAGGCAAGGCGAATGATCTCATGCCCGTAGGGCTGATCATGCTAAACGAAGGGTCATCTTGCAGGTGGTTGAGCGTCACAATAAACCTGAGGTTGAAGTGCGGTGGGTTACTTCAAGCGAGCTACTTGAGCTGCCTTTCACGGTTCTTAGAGGTTCCAAGGAAGTGCTCCTGAACCCCCTCACCATCTCCCGAAACGAGAATGAGCGGGTCCTCATCGAGCCTTCCGTCAACTCAATACGGCTTAGCATCAAGATCAAACAGTCCGATGAGATAGAGCGCATTATATGTCACAAGTTCGCGCGATTTATGATGCAACGAGCGGAGAGTTTCATTGTACTGCGGAGGAAACCTGTACCAGTGAGCTTTCTTTTCTGCATCTTTTGCCGATAGTCATATTCACGTTACGCGACAGGGATACGATATTTCTTTCTTGATCACGAATGTCCACACAGAAACCATGCTGAAGCACAAGATGGTTGACTTCATCATTCAGTTGCGTCGTCTTATCCAGAACACGGCAAAATTGCTTCTAACTTTGCATATCAGCTTTATGGAGGAAGTAGACAAAGAGATCAGTGAAATGAAGTTAAGTGTGAACGCACGGGCTCGCGTGGTCGCTGAGTCCTATTTAACAGCGGTGAGCTCCCTTAGTCCATGATACCAACGCGTGCTCACGAATCTCCGCCCCAGTTTAACTCGTAATACGAAACGAATACGTAAGTGTAATGTAGCTACGGAACAGAGTGGGGCACGTCCTCTCTTTATACCAGATGGGGTCAACATGCTATATCGCGTGGGCCTACCCAGGTGCTCCAAAAGGTGTAACTCATGCAAGTTCCTTGTTTCGCCGTATGGGTGCTATGCATTGAATTAAGCTTACACCACCCTTGCCTCCATTAATCTTCTCTTAAGCTCCGAGCGATCTGATCTTTTCATTCGTACAAGCCCCTCTGCATATATCCATAACCCGTTCATTTAAGCTATCCAGAACCACACCTTCTGCAGGAGATTCTTCGGCTTTGGAGGTACGTCTTCTGCCTCCAGACGGTCCGCTTCTTCCTTTCCGTCGAAGATGTCTATGGTATCCAACCTCTTCATCCATGACGTTCTGAACCACATCTTGTGACCCAGGTAGAGAGCAAGGAATAGCGGGATGGTTATATAAGCTGCTAAGAAGGACGACACAGAGAATTCTCCCGGGAAGAAGACTTGGAACCCATTCGTGATGGCCAGGACTACCATGAGGAACAAGGTAAACCATGTGTAATATGGCTGCAATGGAGTCCGGAACGTGAGCATATCTAGTGCATTGTGATGAATTAGAGCTTGGCGGAAGCGCTGCGAAGATGACCTCAGTATAGTTGATGTTCGACCGCACAGAGTCACATACTATATGGCACAAGAAGAGAACTCCCCAAGCTATGAACCCACTGGTTGTCGTCAGGTTGACGAACCATTGGAAGACCGTGGCCGCTCCCCTGGAGACGTTGAGATAGACGAGGCAAGAGGCCAATGTCGTTGCAAACACCGCGAGATATGGTACGCCATATCTGTTGCATTGACTAAAAGCCCTCGGTGCTTGCCCAGTCAACGACAGGGAATAGAGGGCTCGGGAGCTGGCATACATAAACGAATTCCCCGAAGACCAGGCGGAGGTAAGGATCATAGCGTTGTATACGTGGTTCAATCCTTTTATCCCAGCCCTTTGGATGCCGAGTACAAACGGACTTGCCCCCGCCCCTGTTTTGCCGGAGGTTACAGCTTGGAGTAAGTTTGGATCGTTGGATGGCGTGATGATACCGATGACCAGCGCTCCCAATATGTAGAACACGATCAGGCGATAGACGAACCTGCGTGCAGCCTTTGGGATGTTGCGGTGCGGCGCCTTGGACTCTCCAACAGCCGAGACGATGAGCTCGGGCGACAGCATGAATGCGAACCCCGCTCTCACTAGTGCTGTCCAGAAGCCGAGGAAGCGCCCCGTATTTCCGTGCGCTAGGTATGCGTTAAAGGCCCCTGGCCTGACCCAATACCGGAACCCAAGCCTGTCGTGGTGTGGCCCTCCCCCGAAGAACAGGACGACGCCGATGATGATGAGGGACATGATACCGATAATCTTGAGGCTAGCGAACCAGAATTCGGACTCGCCGTACCATGAAACAGTGAATATGTTCAAGAGCAAACATACTACGCATGCGTCAGTTCGTAGCTTGTCATGAAATATCGAATCAAATATACCTAGGAGGAAGATGGTGATAAGGGCAGGAACAGGTATAGCACTTGTCCAGTATTGCACTACCAATGTCGCCGCGGAAATCTCTGCACTAACCAGCATAGCATAGACATACCAATAGTTCCAGCCTACGGTCTCATTGAATCAGAGTGCATGAGGCTTCCTGATGTCACACACCTGCGGCAAAAGCTAGGCTAGGATCTACAAAGCGATCCACATAGTAGGAAACCGACACCCCTCGAATAGGGAGGTATGTGGCGATTTCTCCCATGCAGTTCATTGCGTTCCACAGAATGAATGCCATCACTATGTAGGCCATCAAGAGATTCGCTGGCCCCACTATCGATAAAATGGCTCCAGAGCCAACGAACAAGCCCGTCCCTACCGTACCGCCTGGGACAGGTAGGAGTTGGCATTCGACGCGGATGAATAGACTATCGCGCTCACCTATGGCTATCAGCTGGATATGTCGACTCTTCAGACCACGTCGTGTTTCTCCGTATCCCCTTGACTCTGATTGCGGACACTCTTGCACATCCACTGGAAAGACAGTCTCAGATACTTTAGGCGCTTTGATGTCCTGTTTCTCGCCGTTCATGCCGTGCTGCACCAAAGACTGCGCGTAAGCTCGTGCGGGGGCTAAGACGAGGTATGCGATAAAGTTCGCTTCGACCACCTGGAGCCCTAGGCACGATGAGATCCTCTGGAGACTTTGATAGTTCCTCATTGAGAAGCCTACGCTCTGCTAATAATGGCTTTTGATGACTTCTCAGCCTCCCACCTCCCCTACCACCACCACTGACTACTGAAGCAACTGCCACGCAGTGTCCGCTCAGTATCGCTTTTTGAGTTATCATTGGTACGTTACTAGGGAGTGTAACGACCATCTCCCCCGCAGCTGAAGAGAGCATGGATCGGACGTTGCAAGAACGGCTTACGTCTCTGTTCTTCTCCGACAAGACTGAATAGATAAGGGGCGTATGCATTTACCATTGACCCTATCTGCGGCCAACACACACGGGAGGCAGAGAAGTTTGCAGTGAACAAGTAGGGCGCTTCTGTGGCTCCATTTATAAAATGCTGATATATGATACACGCGGATCATAGTCGCCGAGTAGTCTATTGGTGGTTGCTTTGAAGGTCGGGCGAAGCAAGATTTGTGTGTAAAGCCGGTCTAGTTCTGGGCGCGAGCAGACTGACTGGAGGCTTGCTGTCTCAGACCAAACAATTCCACAAGCTCTATGGAATCGTCAGCTACGGCTCTACATGTAACAATATATTGACCTTGGAGCCTGGCTTCCTTCTTCTGTCGTGGCGTTTCATTGCTTTTAATACCAGCAAAAGCCTATAAGATTACGTTAGCACCGTGGATGGTGTAAGACTGTAATACACCTGCCTCTTTGATAAGTTTTTTCTTCCGTTCTTGGATATCGATGACCTGACGACATAGTTAATCAAAGAGGCTGTCTACTGTGGCATGGGCTAACCTTTGATTCTACTGTGTTTTCGGCTATCAACTGATATACATGAACAGGTTTCTTCTGACCAATGCTGAGCCAAACAGGTAAGTCCGCTGCAATGCTGCGTAGGACACTACTTTACCGGTTGACGCGGTCAATGGCTTGACTTTCAATGCCTTCCTTGAGGGCCGTTAGCAGCTACATGTACTTGGGTGGCGCATACTGACCTGCCACCATCTATTCACGTGCAGGATGGGCGGTAAAATCAGACAATGGTCTCGAGAATAAAGCACAAGCCTTACGGATCCATGCTGTTCCCAGTAAATGGATCAGTCAGGTGTGGGAGCTGAGATAACTAGGCTGCTCACAGATAGACATTGTTCGCAACGGTAAGGTTAAGACCAAGGGCACCGGCTTCAAGGTAGGTTAGTGGTGACGGTCGCAATCATTGAAAGAGAGTATCCTCATATTTACCTTTCAATGAAATCAGCATCACTCTGGGATTCGGTCCAGACGCAATGGCCGCATAGCCAGCCTTGCCCGCGGAAGATTTAGCTTTGCATTTACTGCCTCTCTTCTTACGGCGCCGATTTTCGCCGTCGTCACTGTCGTCGTCAATGAACGGATCGTCGTCGTCTTGCTCGTCTGGGACGAAGTCACCGTCTTCCTGACCTACACCGGACCCCGAGTGCAGTGTTCCTGTCGCAGCCGATTTCCTTGTCTGGCGTCGCGGACGGGCGGTCGAGGTTGGAGCATTCAATACACCATCATCAACGGACTCATCATCTAGCGGGATTGAAAACCGCTCAAGCGTCTCCTGACGTCTTTTGGCCGACATCTTGCCGTCGAAGCGCACGAAGGAGATGCTTTCGGGAGACTTCAGTGGGGTACCTAGCGGTGCTCATTATAAACTCACCCTTCCTCCGCCAACCTCTCGCCGATCTATGCAGTGCGCCAATAAACCGAGGAGAGACCAAAACAAAATAACACTACTTACCTTGTCCAAAAACGTGGTGAACTGGGAGAAAACGAGCGACTTCTCGGTTGACGGCGTCAGTTTCAATAAATGGACTAGCTGATCGATCTTCGCAGAAGAGCCCCTGCGAAGCTCATTTTCATCCTCCTCTTGCTCTTGGTGGACTGAGGCTTGCGTCAAATCTGTAGGAGGCGGAGGTTCTACCAGGTCTCCCATGCCTATAGGTCGACGATCCTGACAAACCCATCAGCTATATCTTCATAGCAATCAACGAGTCTCGCAAAGCTACCATTGGGCATTTCGGATCGCGAGCTATAACTTCTGAGATGCTGGGCCGGCGGTTAGCTTCGCTCATCAGTAACAGTGAGACGTATCTCAGCGTACCAAGGGAAACAGAATGGGTGACCGCAGCTTGTTATGCGCGGGTCCGACAGTATGCTGAAACATATTGGACATTCTTCGTTATCCTCGATGGCTTGGGCAAGAGCCGACTGGAGACGAATCTTTTCCTTGGGCGTCAGAACAACGGGAGGCGGGGCATCGCCATTCTGCTCCGCAGCACGTAGCTGCTCAAGATAATTCACCGGGACAAGCCCGGGATGAAGAGCAAGCTGTCTCAGTCGAGTCAGCATACTCAGGACATTAGACTGGACCTAGACAGAATGTTATTTCATTTGGACATCTTGTCAGTGCCAGTGTCTTACGGTAACCCCGTTTAAGCCTCCTTCCCGATTAAGGAAGCCTTCGACCCGTTGTCTTGAAACTTCATCCACGGCGTCGTATAGCGCCTTGCAACAGTTTAGTAAAAGTGTATGCAAAGAGCATTGCACTCCTACCCGTGCGTCCTCGTGCAGAGTCACTGGAACCAGGATCATTTCCACCTACGGACAGCGTACGGTCAACTCAGGGACCATGCAGGGGGCAATGGAACAGTGTCGCTCACGGGAGGTAGAGGCACTAAGTAGTTGCCTTCGCTATCTCGCATCTGTCACGACGCCATCAGTTCGAGGAAATCTCTTGATAATTAACGAGTGCGCACCTCCTTGGTCCGACGTATGCAAATTTGGTTCATCAAAGCCTGCGCCGTTATTAGCTCCGGTCACGGAATGTAATAACGCAGGAAATCAGTGCTTACACGTAGCAACTCAGCACCAGAGGGGCTGCCATCTTTCAAAGGTCGCAGAAGCAGCCTTTTGAAGAAATCCGCATTGTCCAAGGGGCGACAAACTTGCAGGAAAGTCAACATGGAGCCCAGGTCCTAATGTCGCATATTTTATATAGCTCCGCGGCGTCAGATAGTTGACCTACCCGTGGAGAATTGATCTGAAATGAATCAGTGTTTGGCAATTAGAGTTGATAACACTGAGCTCACGATGGGAGTGCCACTTAATACCCAGCGCCTTTGCGCACTCAGGCCGCAGACAGCCTTGGCCATCTTGGTTTGAGGGTTACGGATATTGTGTCCCTCGTCAAGAATGACCCTCTGCATCCAGCACACATCAGCCAACGCAAGGTCGAGCGATCCAAGGGAATGCCTCCACCTTCCATTGCACGTCAAACAAGCCCTGTTCTGAACGTTTTCGTTTCTTTCCGGACCTCTCCGCCAAATCTGAGTCACCGTGCTCCTTCGTTACAACCTGGTAGGTCGTGATTACTACGTCGTACTGTTGCAACTGTTCTGGAGTCACGGAACGGCCAGTTCCGTAGTAAACATAGTACGTTAGGGCACCATCAACGACGTGGTCTTGGATTTGCTTCTCCCAGTTGGAGAGGATGGACAAAGGAACAACTGGCAGAAAACCTTATGTCTAACGATTGCTGTGAGCGGTAAAAAGGGCTTAGCTTACCGATGAGGGTCGACTTGGAGTATTCCTTAGAAACGTCCTGCTTGGTAGCAAGAATTAGAGCCAACATCGTCAGGGTCTTCCCCTATGGCTCTACAGTTAGCCTTATATTAGTGTACGCAACCGAAATTAGGACACGGACCAAACCCATACTGTCAGCGACCAAACCGCCACGCCCCAGAGCCGGCACAGCTTCTTGTGGAGTTTTCGTGGCAACTGATAGAAGCGGTTAAAATACATCGAACACCTGGTCAGGTTGGCTTACTGTTGAAGTAGAATGACTGTGAAAGGGAAGAAATAAGGAAGAGCACACTGTCAGAAAATGCCGCGGACGGACCCTAGCCCCAGCTTTCCTCAGTTGCCAAAACTGAACAGGCTTGTCAGACTCTGCTTTTGGCAAGACAGGGTATTCATGTTCTAAGCACCACTTCAATGCTTGGCTCTATCCCAGACAACTCGACTGTCAACATCTGTCACTCAGATTCTCGGGGTTATAAACCTTATACTAACCTGGTGTTTTAAGAGATCGACTTTGAGGTCACCGGTGCCAATGCCAGGAGGAGCGGGATGCTCCGGCAGCTTGAGGATATCATCGGTAGAGCACAGAGTATCGAGCAGCGAACTACGTCGACTCTCATCATCCACCTTCTCGAGCGCATTCAGCATCTGCTGCAATTCCTGGGCTTTGTGTAGCGCTTCCTGCTGCTTTCTGACCGCCTCCTGGTGGGCCTGTATCTGCGCCTGCGTCATGCCGCGCTGCTGAGAGGGTGAGGGCATCGGTACAGCCTGTATGGACCCCATCGAGCTAGGACCGGCCGCGCGTTGGGAAGCAGAGGGCGCAGCATTCCGCGAGGAGAAGCCTTGCTGTCCTGGCGTGGCCCAAACGAGCATGGGCTCGAGTTGGTTTCTTTTATCAGCTGCTCCATATATCTTGAGCGTCCTACAAATTTTTATGAGTACAATCATATCACGGATTGTCCAGACGAAATCACGTACATTTCCAGCGAATATTTGAACCCGTGGACTGGTCCCTCTAATTAGTCATAGAGAAGTATGCGAAGAAATATCGGCGTACGGTTTCCTTCATGCATGACGCCCTCTACAGTAACCAGTCCTCGATCTAGGAGTGGGGCTAATTTGGCCGCGACTTGACGCGGGAGATGGCCAACTTGTGTTCCCCCGATGTTCTTGACTTGTATCGCGTTCCTGGGTTCCGTATGAGTATGGCCCAAACCCCCAAGCATACACTGTCGCACCTATCGTACTGGTTGGTCGGCTGTCGAACTAATCTGACTTCTTCTCCAGGGCCAACAAGACCTAGATTGGTCGTGAACAAGTTGACAACCACGACAGCGACAAACCTACCTTTGTAGTACTGGACTCCTACAATGTTTGTACGCATAGTGCAATACAGCTCGTCTATAGACTCTTCGGGAGCATTATCTTCCGCGCCTTCATCCTGCGTCAGATCTATGTTACTGTTCGCTTGTGATGCGCTTGGTCCGGCTGTGCTGGAAGTCGCTACAGCTGCTCTCGGTGCCTCGTAAGTGGCCCTCCGCTTCTTTTGGCTAGGACCCGCAGACGGACTCGGCGGGGCCGCAGGGGGCGGCTTCGCAGTTGCGGGTACGTCAGCTGGATCAATATGACGAGTAGCGACGGCACGCCTGATCTTCTGCTGGTCTTCGATTCTGTGGACATCCCGTATAAACAAATGGCCATCCATATATCCAGGCAGTTTGCTTACTTCAGGCTTCTGAACCCGGGGACATCCTCCACGGGAAGTACTGCAAGCTGAGCAAGGATTTCTGGAGTTACGCATCCCCTATATTCAAGTACATTCATAGGAGTTCCATTGCCACGACGTTGGAAGCGAGAAACCGTACCAGTGCCTCCATTCAACCGTTTCGCCATAGTCCGTCTTCTTTACTTGTCCATACCTCAATACGCCAGCATCTATATTAGAGCCTTTGCAGGGAGGCCGACCATGGCACTTTGCCCGGGAGCTTTTGCTGTACTGCAAGATGCCAGTGTGTCGACATCAAAGTGAATAAGGATCACAATACCCCAGCTTACTTCTATCAAATGACCAGGCATTCACTCTCAAGTTCGAAATAAACGAGGAGGCTGTAGTCTAAGTCTGCAAGAGAGCCAAAGCGGCGACCAAGCTGCTTCGGCAGTAGGGTGCGGTGTAAAAGTCGCTCATTATTTACACTGTTATAAACTGCTGTTAATAACAGGTTAATAACAGGTTATCAACAGACCCTCGATATGTCTTTTTAACGTGTAATTAACCCGTTTCAAACCAAATGTTATTAACTGTTAATAACCCTGTTAAAAAGGGCTTCGGAGCGTGCCATGTTATTAACATATGTTACAAAGTCCTGACGAATTATTCACCGCACTCTATTCGGCAGAGCGCGTTATGGGCGCCTAATGCAATAAGCGAGACGCGTCGCGTCACGCTCCGGTCACAATCATTCTGCCATAACGCGCTCATTTCCGCGTCCGTAGATGCCCTTCGAAGCTGTCCGATTGACTAGTCCCGGATTCCTTCATTTCCTCCTAGACTTGACTTTGTCGTTCCGAGATTTGCAACCATGTCCGACAACGAAGACGTGCAGATGGTTGGTGCGCGGGGGGCGTACGACCCAGATCAAGACCCTGAGGAGAAGCGAGCCGTCCGGCGGAATTACCGGGACCTACACAAGGATACGGAGGGTGAGTCCTCCCTCAATTCGAAAAGCCTGCTTTCTCTGACAATTAGCTATGAAGGCGCAAACCATAATGACCTCACCGCCGAGGAGCTAGCAGAGAAAGTCCACCGTGCAGATACCCTCTTCAGCCAAGGTGCGCCCCCTCATAACCCGTTCCCCACACCCTAACCAACCACTCACTCCACCCCAGTCCGCGCCCCGCAAGAAGCCACGCTCGACTCGCACTTCCTCGTGTTGGCCTCGAATATGGGCGCGCAGAAGGCGCGCGCGATGCGGGCCGGCGGGGGCGCGTTCGACGCGGAGGACTTCGTCTCGAAGCTCATCACATTTATGGGTGGGCGGCGGCTCGGCGAGGACCAGCTACCCGGCGAGGACGACGAGGACGGCTACGGCGACGCGCCGCTCGACTGGGACAAGATCGGGCGCAAGGCGCTCGCGAAGAGCCGCAGGGTGCCCGCGATGGACTTTATGTGCGCTATGGATTCAATGCACTTTTCTCCCGTTTACTGAGGGATGTGTTGCAGGCTAGGCCCGCTGGCTATCGAGGTGAAGAAGCGCAATGTCGCCAAACGCGCGAAGCTCGAGAAGAACAAAGACGAGGAGCGCCGCCCTCAAGAAATACACGAAGAGGACATCACGCGCTCCGAAAACGAAACCACGAAAAACGTCCTCATCGTACGTGCCCCTCTCCTCTTTCCCACACCCTCCAACAGAAGGTCATGTGCGTGTACAGCTCGAAAAGCTGCTATCAGCGCAAGACGAACCGATCAACCTCTTCCGCTTCGTCATCAACCCGGGGGACTACGGCCAGTCCGTCGAGAACCTCTTCTACCTCTCCTTCCTCATTCGCGACGGCAAGTGCGCGCTGGATACCGAGTCCGGGGAACCCACCATCTGTACGAACCCACTAACATTCTCTCCTCTGCACGGGTTTCGCTGAGTGCTCATGTTCCTCAGGGCTCTGCGAAACGCCAACAGAAGACGACTACAGCCAAGGCCTGAAAAAGCGGCAGATCGTCTTCGAGTTCGATATGGCTACATGGCGGGTAAGTCAACGTATTCATTGTAAACCCGAGCTATCCCGGTTGACTTGATTTCCCTCGACGCGTAGCGTGCGATCGAAGTGTTCAACATAACGGAGACCATCATCCCAACGCGGCCACCAGCCGAGACGAGGATAGGCAAGAACTGGTACGGCTAGGCCTGCTCATGGCCACAGGACAACCTGCCCGCAATTCCCTCGTCCCCTGTTCCGCCCCCCTTCTTCACCACCGGGTATATGCTACATGTACTGTATTCTACTCTATCTTACCGCTGCATTATTCCTATTTATTGTACCTCGTCGTGCACGGCTGCCAATGGGAGGACACGAAAACAACCTTTTGGTATTTGCTATTCAAGACACTGCTACTGCGGTTACAAATACACATGTACGTATGCAAATTACGAGCGGTCGACTAAACGAGTGTATGCCCGCCCATGCAGAAGGCGGAGGCGATATATGTACGAGGACTAATGAAGGTCTATGTTAGAAGCGCAACGGAGGAAACCCAAACCCCTCTATCCCGAATTAAGCTGACCAGCGAAACCCAAGCTAGCACGCCGTCCGCGGCTGGAACGGGAACTTCATGCGCATGGAGCTATTGTAGATGCCGTACCCGGGCTCCATGTAGTCCGAGTAGATGTGCGCGAACCAGCCGATCCCGCCGCCCTCGACGGCTTTGAGGTCTTCGCAGTGCTGGTCGAGGAGCACGTAATAATCCTGGAGACCGCCAGAAGCCGTGAGTCTCGATTGGAGGCTGGTAAAGTGGGATTATATACATACGTGCTCGTTCTTGACGTCGGCGACGGCGTTCGGGCTGTTTGGCTGCACACCGGGGGACGTCACCGACGGCCAGCCGTTCTGTGGGCCGCGGTAGGTTCAATCACAGGCACTGGGCCGGGGAGGAAGACTAGCACGCACCTCATCAAAGTACATCTTCTTGCCATCGCCATGCTTGATAAACCAGTTAAGGTCGTTCATCACCAACGGCCACGCATTTTTCGCTATACGCCACACTCGTCAGATTCAGCTACCCGTCTCAGAAGCACCCTCCACTCACCTGTACTAGCATTCTGCGAAAAGAACGGCAACATATGTATATTAATAAAATCCACGGCGTCCAACACGTCCTGCGCGCCCCCGCGCTCCTGGTACCCGTACGCGAGCTCGCTGACTGTCACCGGGATATTCAGGCTGCTGAGGTTCGCCTTCGCGAGGAGCACCTGCTCGGCGAGCTGCTGGTGCGGCAGGACGTTGTCGTACAGCGGCTCGGAGCCGAACTGCACGCCGCGCGTGACGAACTTGGCGAGCGGGTTCGCGTGCAGTGACGCGAAGAGCGCGTCGCGGCGCGAGATCCAGATGTCGGAGCCGTCGAAGCCGAACTGAACGTGCCCGACGGCGGTCAGTCTGGGTGATCGGAAGATGGGGAGCGCGACGGCTTACCCAGACGAGGGCGTGCACGCCCAAGGAATTCTCCCATGCTGCTGCGACGATGTCATCGCTGCGAGTACGCTGATAAGTGCAGATAATCGAAATAAGGAAGAGGCGCGTACTAGAAGCCTTCCCGGTCGCAGGCGCCGTATAGACGGACGTATCGAGAGTTAAAATGGTAACGTATGTCGCGGAACTCTTCAATGAGGCGTTCCCGGCTCTGGCCTGTGTGCGAAGTCAATTCCACTGCAAGCCGAGAGTGCACGCAGAATCACGCACAGTCAGTCACTTCGTAGCTAAAACCCACAAACGCGTATTCAGTCGAGGGGTCGCACCACCAGTGCGTGTTGTCGAGTGGCGGCACCAGGGGCTTTGGGAAACCAAGAGCGGGGAAGCAGAGGGGGGAGGGCAGTCCACCAGAGTCTTGACGTTCTTCGAGATCCCTCTTGCCGTGGGAGACGGTTAGACCAGATGATGGGGACGGATGCAGAGTACTGCCTGAGGGCTGCCGGAGCGATAGTGCGTGGTAGGGGAAATCCAGCGGCAAGCCGTGAACCAAGTCGACGACGGAGAGACCGAGAGCACAGAGGAGCGTGCGCGGCGGCAACCTCATCATGAAAAGAACTAGTGGGAAGCGGGGACGAGGAGGGCCGGCGCTGGTCAACAGCGAGTTCCAGCGGCGAGCTATAAGTACTTTGTTAGGGGATAATTACGCAGAAGCAGCGCCGAAGCCATGCAGGAAGCCAGAAAACAAGGACAGGTGATCGAGCGCAGGACGGCCGAATAAATAGCGAGCAGCGGTCTGAAACCGAAGAGCGCCAGAGTTGGCTGACCGGGTGGCGGCACAGGGCGTGCAGAACATTCCAAGCTTGCTCGCTCGGGTGGACGCGTACTTCCTGTCTTCCTCTCCCATAGCCCGAGCGCGGTCACTTGACGGTATAAATATCAGAGCTTCATGCGACCACATGCTGCACCCATACGTGACGCCTCTCTTTCCGGCTTTCTTGCAAGAGATACCGCTAGCAGTGCCGTACGACGATCCAGAGTGATCACTCCCATGCGTATACTCCTAACGAAAGAACTTCAAACGCCTGAGCTAGAGTCTGCTATAGATCGTGGCAACATATCCGAGCTGTCCGAGATCGGAACCGGTGTGATAGTTGCAAGAAGCCGGCATCGTATACTTCGTTTCCTGTTCACGGTCGACTGAGAGAGATATGTTAGATCAAATCGATTCCAAAAGCGAGCACGTCCGGGAGAGCAATAATGTCAGGAAGACTGCCATCCTGAAGCAAGAGCAGATGGCGTCGCGGAGTTTCCCTCGAGGCGGTATTTGATCGTGTTTGGGCCAAATTGTGGCGGGACCTCTCTCGAAGAGCCCTTGAATCCGTGCAATAAGAGCGTGCTGCCTTCGTTATACGCCCACATCCACTACGCCCTACTGACTTGCCACAGCGCTCCAATGGCCACCAACTAAAGTGAACGGATCACTCGAATGACAGCTCCTGACGCCTCCTTCGCGATTAATCGGCAGCCACGACAGACAGACATCGTATTCCTATAACCTAACTCAGTCGGTGTCCTTCCGTCGCTGACCTTGAATTCAAAGCTTCGGCAATTTCACCGCTGATCCCGACGGCTGTCAGCGCAACTTGATCGTGCTCAACCCGAACTCTGTCGAGACAATCATTTTCTGACCGAGAGACGCTGGCCCGTCTGTAAGCTGGGATCATGTATGGTCGAGATGGAGGATGCACTGCAAGATTGATAGATTGACCATAGAATCCCAAGAGCTCGGCGCGGCCATACTGTCGTCGCTTCCGGTCCCTCGAACATGGCCACTCACCGGGCTGTCAATGTCAAAGATGCAATTGGGCTTCCTTGCCCACGGTGATTCCTGCCTCAAACGACCGAGGCCGATAGGAGCGAGATCTCAACACTACTGCACAGCTCCGAAAGAGATTGCGATTATCGAAGAGGAAGAGATAGATAAAGATATACAAGCAATGTCGAAATGATATCTCAACTCAAGCAGACACCCATCCTTCATGATAGCATGGAAACGTCAACACCTAAAGGTAGCAAACTGTGGTCTTGAAGCTTCGTCTTCTCCCAGACAGACTTCTCCAGCTATCGAACATAGCACAACCTAAGCACCGCTAAGACGGCACTCTGGACTGCAACTCACCTGTTCTTGGGCTTCGGCCACGGTGAGGAGGTGCATATGACTCGGGACATCCCCGTGGTTCTACGAAAATCACAGACGGTCAGAAGACTCAGTTTAACCAACCTGGCCGGTATGACTTACCAACGCCTCCTCATCCAAATCCCGGAAACTCAACCTCAGATCGAGCGGCAGCTGTGATGGCAGCACCACGATATGCACTGCAGGCGTGAAGGGCTTCGCCGCAGCCGTGCGACTCGACATTTCCTACGACGTCCACCCATCCACTTTCAGCGGACAGGAAAACAGCCAAGAGCAGCGACAACACTCACGGTTGCGGTCGAAACAGCAAGCTTGATGCTCCCCCGTTTCCCGCGCGCGTCGCTCCCAACGAGGACGAAGAACTCCCATATACAATCGACGATATAGACCGAGTTCGATATCGCAGCCTCATCCGTGAAGGACGCCACTAGGCGAACCTACTCTCGCCCATCAACCCTACATCCCCAGCCGCTCAGAAAATAAAACACTTACCGAGTCCTTCCCATCCCCGCCATCAACCCGCCACACCCTAGGGTCCGTCTTCGCCGCCGCGGCGCGCCAGCGCCAATGGTCCGCCCGCGCGTACTCTTCGCGGTCGCCCAGCACCATCCAGAACATCTCGTCCTCGTCGCTCTCGCCCTCCACCAGCTCGACCACACTCCCAGGGTCAGCCGCCAGACCCCGCGCGTAGTCGAGAGCCGCTTGCCGCTCGAGCGGGAGCGAGCCGCACCCGTGCCATACGTACACGGTACCCAGGACGGAGAGGCAGTAGCTGAAGCCCGAGCAGAGGTTGCGGATGCTCTGTTTGGGGGAGGGGAAGGGGTGAGTACGTTAGCTCCTCCTTGAGATGGGGACTGACCAAATCGTGCTCGTCGATGAAGATGTGCCCGTGGTGTCTGCGAACGAGGTGCATGCATGTGTTCTCGGCGGACCAGTGTTCGCGCGTGCCCTGTATAATGTCAGGACAAGTCCCATCGGCTCGGAGAGTATGCACCTACCTGTCTGATAGCCAGCCGACCGCCGAGCACATGGACAAGTTCCGCCGGCTCGCTGTACTGCCGTACTCTCTCCTGTGGTCAAAACAAGTCTCTCAATACTGCCCTTTGCGGAAAGAAATACCGACACTCACCAGAGTCGTGCCGTAGCGTTTCGCCAACTCCTGGAGCTTCCGCTCCTCCCTCTCCTCCAGCCGACTATTCTTACCGCACCACCCCCACACCTTGTTAGAAACTAGGCCGCTGGTCTTCGACTTTGACCGATGGATGATGGCGAGCACCTCGGTGTCGTAAAAGATGTGCGAGTCTTTGCCTACAGCGGTAGCGGTGTTGCCCATGATGGTCATGACGTCGACGGAGACTGTGGTATCGTTGGGATTAGGCTTGAAAGAGGGGGCGCGCTTCTTTAGCACCGCTTGTACGTCTACAGAGGGTAGAGAATCTTCAACGAAGTCTGGGGGATGGTGGGGATTAGGGGACAAATGGGGCAAGACGGAAGATACAACTTACTGAGATGAACGACTTCGAGAGCCGCTTCCTCCGTTACCTTCTCAACCTCCGGCTGAGGCTCATCAACCTTGATCTCCACCTCAACTGGATTTTCAGCGTTGGCTTTCTGGTCTTTCTCAATCTCTTTCAATTCCTCCGCTACAAGGGTCGGACTTGGCTCTTGGTCAGATGGCGGCGCGGCAGTCTTCTTAGCGAGGGTACCCGCAGGCGACGGTGCGGGCGTCTTCTCCTCCTCAAGCGGAGGCAAATTAATCACCGAGTACCTATCGTAACTCGGCTTCCGACTCTGCAAAGGCGGGGCGGGGAGGGGCCGAGACACCCTCGGGAGGGGAGCAGGCTTGGCTTCCAGCTCGGGCAGCTTCTCCGGCTCAGGCGCGTCCTGAGGAGAGGGCGACATCGGCGCGGGCGAGACGGACGACTCGCGGCTGTGCACCTCGTTGAACACCTGCGCGACGTCCATAACCGTCGCTCGATTGCCCGTGCTCGGAATCCGAGCGTGCTTCGGACGACCAGGGGCTGGGGACTTTTCGTCCTTGGCCGCAGGCGCAGGAGTGGGGACGGTGGCCAGCCCAGGCAGGGCTTGCCTCCCTACCATCCCTTTGGGCTGAGGAGACGTCGGAGGCTGGGGGCTTATGCGCCCTGCAGGCGCGAGGGGTTTTACCCCAATCACCGCGCCGTTCGTCCATCGATCCGTGACTCGGCCAGTGCTCCCCTCTCTGCTTGACGTCGACGAGAGGGAGCGCTCTTTCGCTTCTTCATTTGGAGAGACCGCTCTTGGACTTGGAGGCGTGAGAGCGCGGGAAGCGTTGGAGGTCGGTGGCTCGAGTCTCTGAGGAGGCTCTGGCGCCACTTGGATAGGAGGAGCTTCAGCAGCACGCTGCGCATTGGTAGCCGATTCCTCGGGTATCGCAGCAGGGACGGCTGCCTCGTTCTTGCTAGGCTTGCCGTCCTTGCCTTTTCGCCTCAACTTCACTCTGTCTTTCGTTGGCTGTTGACGATATATCAGAACATCATCTCACGACGAATCGAGGCAAGCGGCAAGTCAAACATCAAAATTAGAATAGAATAGGCATTGCGTAGTAAAGCCATATAATCTATATTGCAACACAATCACCAAAAGGGACGTACATGACTGAGCGGTTTGCCAGACGAAGGCGGCAAACCTGACGATATCCCGGACACCCCGCTCCCGCCCGTGCGGTGGCTGGACACCCGCATGCCCAGCTCGTCAACTTCATGCGGCGGCGCCGTCGCCGGTCTGGACGGTGGCGCCGATTCCCCCGTCTTCATAGGCTTGATGTACGATATCAGCGTATTCGACGAGCCCAGCCCCGGCCCGTCCCCGCCCGCCGCCTTGGACGCCATATTCGGCAGCGACGGCGCAGACTTGAGCGAGCGCCCCGCCGCCGCGAGCTTGCTCGCCTGCGGCTCCCGATCGCGACTTGACGCCGGGTCCGCCGTGAACGACTTGCGCATGGGCGCGGAGGCCGGCGGCGGCGGCGGCGGCGAGGACGGGCTGGGGCTCGCGGGCCAGCGATCCAGCACGTTCGACAGGCGCTTCCCGCCCGCGCCCTTCCCGCCGGCCGGGGTGGGCGAGCCGGTCGCCTGCTGCGAGAGCTCGCTGCTCACCTTGACCATGCTCTGCACGAAGCCGCGGCCCTTGAGCCGGCTGAGGCTCGGCGTGGGCTGCTTCTCCGGCGGGGGGCGCAGGAACGCCGGGGAGGGTTTCGGTGACGGGACGATCTGCGGGCCGAACACTGAGGGCTTGGGCGGCTCGGGCTGTTTGGGGCGCGCAAGGGACGGGGTGGTGATGGGTGTCTTGCTCGGCGTGGAGGGGGAAGATGTGACGGAGGGTGTCGACTGTGCTGGCGTGAATGGACGCGAAGGTGTACTGTATGCATTGGACGGTGTAGGCGATGTAGGCGATTTCAGTGGTGCACTTGGCGTAATCCTCCCGTTCGAAGGAGTCGTCGAGCGTCGTCCAGGGGCGGGTGAGTGCGATATCGGGTGCCGCGGCGGCTCCTTGACTGGCTCAGGCTCAAACCGGGGCGACGTGACCCTCCTGAGCGGGGCGCCGCCCGTAGGCGTGCTGACCGTCCGCTCCCTCCCGCCCGTCCTCTGCGGAGCCAGCGCCTGCACCTCCAGCCTCTCCACATACCTCCTCGCCACCGGCGGCGTGCTGACCCTTCGCTCGCGCTGCGAAGCAGCCTCTGCGCGCGGAGCACCATGCGGCGACGCCGCTTCTGTGCGCGCAGCAGTATCATCATGGGACGCGGGCGGGCTCGACGGCGCCTTGCCCGCCAGCCCCGGCATCGCCACCCCGCGGCTCCCGAATATCGGGTGGGGCGCCTTGAAATCCGCGAGCGAGCGCTGCGCGAACTGCGTCGGGTCGTGCGCGTCCGCCTGCGGCGCGTGCCTGCGCAGCGGCGGCGCCGCGAGGCGCCCGCCCATGAACTGCGCGAGCGAGATCGGGTGCGATGGGGCAGGCCGCGAAGGGCCCGTGGAAGGTGGCGGGGACGCCGCAGTCGCGCTTCCGCTGGGGGCGGTGAGCCTGTGCAGCGCGTCGTCCAGGTGTTTTTGCCGGTCGCGCGGCTCCTCCGTCTTCGTCAACGACTCCGCCCTCCCTGCATCCCGCGGAATCAGCGACCAGCCCGCGCGCGCTATCCATCCCGAGTAACTCACCCGTGCCCCCCTCCGCCCGCGGGCCCTGGTACATCGCGCTGCGCCTCTGCCGCGCCAGCCGGCTCGCCGCGATCTCCTCCTCGAGCTTGCGCTGCTCCGCCTCCTCGTCCTCGTCGACCTGCCGCTGGAGCGCCTTGATCCGGCTCGTCCACTCCGCGAGGCCGGCCTCCGCGCCCGGCTTCGGGAGGTCGAACGAGCGCGGCCGGGGGGCAGGGGGGTCCATCGTGCTGCGGTGGGTGTAGGGGTGTAGGGGAGGGAGGGAAGCTTAAGGTCAGTGCATGGAACACGAGCTCGGGGAAGGTGGCGGATTCAGAAGCGCGCCACGTGGGGACGGGGGCCAGTAGGAAGCCGAGTCCGGGCTTGCTGCCTCTAGCTTGCGTTGATTGGCTCGGGGTTACTTAGGCAGCCTCTTATGCTACCACCAGCGGATAGCAGTATTCCACCAGCTTTATATTCCGCGCACGCATTAGATTATATTACACGCCCCGTCATTCCATTAGTATCACAATGCCCTGTTCAGTAGCTAGCAGTCCATGTCGTAAAGTGCACAAAGCTCATTATGCCAGTACCACAAACGCAGAGAAGAGCGCCACGAGCGCCGACGCCGCAACGCCCCACGCGCCCGTGGACAGCAAGCCCCGCGCACCACTATTCTTCGACGCGTCGGTCGCGGACGCCGTCGACGCAATCTCGACGATACCCGCCGGCGTCGCGCCATCTACCCAAAAGTCAACACCCAGCTCCGCTCCACTTTCCACGCGCATGAACACGCACCAGTAAACCCCGCCCCGCACTGGCTCTGCAGCACCGCGCCGGCCGCGGCCGCGTACTGCGGGAAGCTCTTGTCGACGAGGTTGTACGCCTGCTTGACGCAAGCCGAGCAGGTGACGTTCTGCGGGAGGCCCGTGAGCCCCTGGTCGGTGAGCTGCACGCCCATGGCGACCTGCACGAGCTTGGCGACGGTGAGCGGGCCGACGCTCGCCTGGAGGGAGGTCAGGAGCTCCGTCGCGCAGAACGCGTTGCCATCACTCTGACTAATTACGCCCATCCGGCATGAGCCAACTCCCACACAAACCAAAAGCGAGGCTTACTCCTGCAGACACGCCACCTGGCGCGCGGTGGGGTACGCGAGCTGGACGACGGGCGTGACGAGGGCGAGCGCGCCCCCGCTCGTGCCCAGCGCGTGTGCCTCCAGATCGGCCTGGCACCCCTGCGTGACGTTCGCGACGGCGGCGGAGACGACGTCGTTGGTGCACGCCGGCTGGGCGCACATGCCCTGCAGCCACTGGTTGACGGGGCCGACGATGGACTGGCTGGAGGAGGAGGCGAGCGGGAGGAGGGCCTGGGCGTTGAGGCAGGCGAATTCGGGGGCGGCGACGAGCGTGGTGAGGGTGGCGATGCAGCTCGAGGAGAGGGATCTTTGGGGGGTTGGTTGGGTGGGGGAGGGAAAGGCGATGGGACTTACTGCGCGGATGCATATGCAGCACCGAGGACAACGGCCAATGCGGTATATTTCATGAGTGGCGAGAAAGATATGAATCTGAGCCAGTCGGTGGATTATAAGAGCGTCCCACACGGTGATCCTGCACCGGGACAGAGAAAAGCAAGGGAGAGAATGAATGAAGGGAATGAGGAAAGGCTGTGGACGAGTAGGTGCAAGACCCGCCGAGTATAAATACCCTTGGCGAAAGGCGGTGTGCGCATGCAACGCGCGGTTGCTATCGTCTGCACAATTGCAAGTATAGAACGTACAGCAAGGACGAGGCTTTTGGCCCGACTGGTGTTCATCAGCGCAGTGATGTCCCGCTGCACAATCTCTCTGACAACAACGCCTATCCCCACCCCTTCACGGTTCTCATCCATTATTCACAAACCCAGCAAACGTCATGTCACCCGTCCCGCGAATTACCACAGCAGATACACTCTACTGAACTCAGAAGGCGTCCACTCGCAGGCAATCTGCACTCGGATCTTCTCGAAGCCCCTCCCGACGTGCGCTAAACCACCACGGACAATCCCTGCCCTCTCACTCAAGCCCATTCAGGCAATGCCATTGCCGCTTCTGCTTGGAGCGGGGCGCATATAGCCTGCCCCGCGCGCTCTTCCCTTTTCATCTCCTTCGACCTCGAATGTCCGCGACGACGAGCAGCACAGACTGGGTCGCCCGCGTCGTCGACGTCGACTGCAACCGCTCCCTCCACGAAATCCGCGTCCTCTTCTCCCAGTGTGGCGAAATGTGCGCTCCCCTCCCCGTACCGCGCACATGCATATACTGACCCCGCCGCCCCGCAGCCGCGGCATCCACCCCTGGCGGAGCGACAAGTCCCCGCAGCAGCACTTCTTCGTCGAGTTCGCCCACGCGTCCGGCGTCGCGCGCGCGCGCGCCCTGGGCAAGCTGCACCACCACCTCAGCGTGCACGCGCTCGCGATGGTGCCCCAGCTCGTCGAGCGCTGCCGGCGCGTCCTGGATCGCGGGGCGGGCGCGGGCGCTTCGAGGCAGGCTTCGCCCTCTTCGCGGGAGTCGTCGGTGGGGCCGGTGAGGAGGCGTACAAGGAGGGGCGGGGGGAGGGGGAGGAATAGCGTGGGGTATTTGGGTGCTAGGGAGGAGATGAGCAGGGCTGGGCAGGAGAGCGTGGAAGGGTGGGGGGACTCTCCACCGCCGTTCTCGTCTAACGCGTTCAGGGCTGCTCCGAACGTCGACCTCGCGGAGCCGGAGGACAACGCGGGTCGGGCGCAGCTGGATATCCCTTCTTCGTCATTAACAGCTTTGTTGTCTTCTCTATCTCCGCAAGCGCTCCTCGCGTCGCCGCCACCCATCCCCGTCCATCTGGATCCCCCCTCAGTTTCAGCTTCCCTTCCATCCTGCTCCAATGCGCATATCGTCCTGACCATCTGCGGGGAACGCATCAGCCTGGACCTTGACTCGCTCGGCGACGACCCGCAGCCCGTGATCGCGCTCCTTCAGACGGCGCAGTGCGGACGGGAGGCCTGGATGGTGGCCGGCGGGCACTACCGCATGCGCGGGAGGCCGCGCGCGGCGCTGGCGGTTGTGGCTGCCATGGTGGACGGTGAGTGTGCGTCGAATACGTGACTGGGTGTTTCTGATGTGAGGTGCAGTGCTCACGGCGGCGGGTGTGAGTGAGCGGGAGATGAGGCCGGCGTGGGTGTTGATGGCGGGGTGTCATCGGGATTTGGCGCGCGCGGGAGGGGGGGAGGGGGAGGGGCATAAGGGGGAGGCGGTGAGGTTGTTGCAGAGGGTGTATGGGAGGGATGTGCCGTGTCTGGACTCGGCGGTATCACTGGGTGCAGGCGCGGGTGGCGTAGCTTCAGGTACTGCCGTTGTCCCTCCATCCCCACAAAGAGAACGCGAGGCGGGCCGCGTGCGCATCCTCGAGCGCGAGGTCGAGAGTCTGCGCGCGCGGCTCGACGAGGCGGGACGGAAGGAGGAGGGCGACAGGAAGCGCAGGCGGGAGAGGGAGCGCGAGGTGGAGGCGGTGAGGGGGGAGCTGGAGGAGGCGCGCAGGCGGGAGGGGGAGAGGAGGGTGGCAGAGGCGGGGGTGTTGGAGGAGCTGGAGGGCGTGTTGAGGCGGGCGAGGAGGGGGTGAGGGCGGTTTGGTCGCGCGGGATTTGCATTTTTCTGTCCTTGTGCTCGGTTCGCTCGTTGCATGTTTCGTGTGGTTTGCTGCATTTGATACCCCTACCAAGTCGCATTTTCTGACACTCTGCATTGTGGACTTTTCGCGTATGTTTGCTGTAATCAGACTACATAATGTGTTGTAATGTGGATCCGTGTGTTGTGTTGTAATCAGCTGCGTATGATGGGCTGTACCTGTCCGCGCACTGCGCCACAGCCACCGAATACCGAGCGTCGATCGTGAGAGTCGGGGTTTACTCTATTTCCCGGACGCGTCGCGTGTTTTCAATTTTGAAGTCGACTCGTTCGGCCAACGCTGATGTGACTTGAACGCGTATACGCATGCCTCCCCAGACGGACGCTGCGCTGCCCGTTAGGCTGGCGGACTTGGGGGACGAGATGGTGGGGCGGAAAGTGAGGGTTGCGGGACGGTGCGTTTCTTCCGGCTTCCCTCCACTCTTCCTTGCACTTGCACTTTACCTTGGATTGCGGGCTGACACTGACACTGGGCTGCGATAGGGTTCTGACTTACGACGCGGCGGCTGCGCGCATCGTGCTCGCGGAGGGGCGGGCCGCGCTGGTGGTCGACGTGAGCGTTTGTCTCGACCCGTCCCGGCGCCAGGGGTGGGCGCGGGCCGGGAAGGAGGTCGTCATGGTTCTTGGGTACTTTGAGCGCGTTGAGGTGGATTTTTTCTGTTCGCGTTTTCGTTTGCGGTGGTTGACTGGGGTGTGCTGTTGTAGGGGGATGGCGTGGGGGGTGGGCAGGGCAGGGTGCTCAGGGCTGTGTTGGTCGTCGAGGCGCCGGATTTGGATTTGGGGCTCTGGGGGAGGGCGGTTGGGGGCCTGAGGGAGGCGGGGGAAGAGCGGGAGGGCGAGGGTGTCTGGGGAGTCGGGTCGGGTTGAGGGTTTGATGGGAGGTTTGCGCCCCTCGAGGATTTGCGAAATGGGAGGATACTTGGATGTGGGCTGGGATGGGAGGCGCGAATATAGCAGGAGGGAATAGGAAGGAGCCGCTCGGAGTTTGCGGAGAGCAAGTCCGTTGTCTTGCGTTGAGCAGGAGTGACAGATGGGACGGCGTTACTCGCCGACCTCGACATTCGCAGCATTCTAGCTAGGATCGTGCAGCTAGCACTTTTTCTTCACCCACCCTTATCCTCCCTTTACAGGTTTACATTATTATCAGGTTACTAAACACACCATGCTCCGTCAGCTGTCTATCCACATATTGTACAGTGCCCTCGCAGAGCGATCAGGTTGGTCGCCATCCTCCCCATCGCCCGCGCCCAGGAGCGGGATGGCTGAAGCGAGAATGCACGAACAATTTCTTTCGTGCAATGTCTCAGATACTATTCATTCAGCGCCGGACTAGCGCACTATACACAAAGAAAGAGAGGGGCGGGTGAAGGTTCCTGTCCTCCAGTGGCGAAACAGCGCTCGCAGTCCTTTCATGCTGCCTCCGCCGTCCTTACTTTCATCGCCGGGAGTAGTGACGAGCAGCCGGCGCGCCGGCACCGACGACGCGGATCGGACATCTTGATCAGATCGATTGGCGCGTCGCGTCGCGTCGCGTCGTCGATCTGCCTCCGTCGCCGTCCACAACCACCCACAACCCGCGCCCGCCCACGACGCGCGCGCGCCTCCGCGCCCACCGTCCCGCGCAACGCCGCCGCAAATTACAGCAGCATCGAACCAGAATGATGAACGATGCGTGAACCGCTCCCATCGATAGCGGTTGCTAAGCAGATATCGCGGACAAAGGGGCGGGCAGCGCTTTGACGCCACGTGGGCTGACGCCGTCTGATTGCCTGATTAGGCATAGACAGGCTTCGACGCTTTGGCCGGGCTGCTGCATTTAAGCCCATCCCCTCGCCACCAGCTGCTGTACACTCCCCCCACGCCCGCGCTGCGTCCCTTTGTACATTCCTACGCGTACATACTATTCCTCTACGCGACCGACGCGACATCTGCATTGCTATTGCCTATTCACGGGACGCTGCACGGATCCTAGCCACAATACGCGTTTTGCGACAACTCGACGAATTTACGACAGAAAATTCGAGATCCTGCCTTACAACATGGAGGTTTACAAACTACTTGCTATGGCTGCTGAGCAGCTATCCGTGGAAGAGGACGCGCGCAGCCTGTGCGCGCTTTCCTCTGCTCGCGTCGCGCCCTACATCCCGGCTCCGCCCCCGCCCGCCCCCAACACCACCTTCTCGACTCTGCAGTCTGACAGCGAGAAAATGAAGGCTCTTGCAGTGGCTGCAGAGCAGCTGCTGGACGAGCGGGCCGCGATGCTGCGCTACGCCGTTTCTGCTCTCCCGCGCGGGCAACGTGACCAGCGGGCAACCACTCCCCCGTCTGCGCCCGCCTCCTCTACCACGCAGCCCCCAGCTCCCATCCCTACCACGCAGCCGCCGACGCCCGCCCCGGCTCGCGTTCCCGCTGTCAGGCGCGACATGGCACGCGCGCAGACGTCCTCGCACGACGCCCGCGGCCTCCCGCCCCCGCGCCCCGAGCGCCCCGACAGCGCGCCCGGCGTCGACGTCTACGGAAAGCGCACGCGAGACCACCCGGAGGTGCTCGCCTGGCTCGACGCGGTCGACAAGTTGGCGGAGGAGGCAGAGGGCGAGGCGAAGGAGGGGCACCTCTACCCGCAGGACTTGATTGAGCGCGCGCCGCCGCCGCCAGCGGACTCGGGTTTGTTCACTCTGTGCGCGCTGCGCGCGGCAGAGAAGCGCCGCAGGCTGCCCTACTGGGTGCTGTTCAACATCGACAGGCGGGACGACACGCTTGACCGCATCAAACGCGAGCTCGGTGAGCACATACATACATAGTTAATATACCCCGAGTTGACGGTGACGCGTGCAGACAGTTGGCCCAAGACGATAGTGGTGACAAGCTTCTTCGACACGCCCGGGCATATACTCACGTGGGTCCACCATCGGAAGGAGCAGCACGACGTGCTCGACAGGGCGCAGAGAGACTTTACACACCTTGTGCCAGCGTGGTGGCATACGAGGACTCCGAAGACGCGCAGCAGGGAGAACAAGCGGAAGGCGGACGGGGCGGAAGGTACAGGGATTCAGCCCCCGAAGAAGAGGAGGCGCCCGGCGAAGCTGACGATGAAGAAGGGGACGAGAAAGGCCAAGGCAAAGCCCGTGCAGGGGGAGGAGAAAGAGCAGGGGGAGCAGGAGCAGGACGTAGACGTAGAGACGGAGTCGGCCGTGCTGATGCCGCCGCCGCCACCCCCGGCTCCTGGCAGGGTCGTGCTGCGCTTGCCTGCGCGTTCCTCTGCACCCACCGCTGCACCTGCTGCCGTCCTTGCAGCTACCCCCGCTGCCGTCCCTGTTCCCGCCGCTGCGAAGCCCAAGCCCACTCCCACCTCTGCGAAGCCCAAGCCCACTCCCGCCGCTACGAAGTCCAAGCCCACTCCCGCCGCTACGACCGCTAAACCCAAGCCTTCCCCCAAGAAACCCAAGACTACAAGAGCTGAGGCACCCAAGCCGACCGCAGCGCCCAAGCGCCAGAGCAAGCGCATCCAAGCAGCCAGCGACGTCGAGCTCGACGCGGCGCGCTTCGCGAGCGAGATCACCTTGTTCACGTCGAAGTCGAGCACACTCGTGAACAGCATGCCGCCTGATTTGAAGAGGGTGGTGGAGGGGGTTAGGACGCCCGAGCCGGAGAAGCTGGAGGCTATCGAAGAGGAGGGGGAGGAAGAGGAGGAGGAGGAGGTCGCGCCTGAGCCTGAGCCTGAGACCAAAACCAAGAACGCGCGCAAGCCCAAGGGGAAGAAGAACGCGAAGGGGAAGGGAAAGGCCAAGGCGCCCCCCGTCGAGCCGGACGCGACGGAGGACGAACCCGACCTCCCCAAGCTCCCGAGCGGGCTGGAGAAGGCGGAGACGGTGAAATCCTGGACGGAGGAGGTCGCTGCTTCCGAGGCTGACGCGGTGGAGGAAGCTCAAGTTGAGGAGGAGATCAACGTTGTGGAGGAGGTGCCTGTGCCTGACACCACTGCCAGGGCCGGATCACGCGCGGCGCGTGCGCGGCGGCCGACACAGAAGGCGCGTGAGGCGGCGGCGAAGGCTTCGAAGAGCAAGGCGAAGAGCTCGAGGACGAAGAAGGCCTCCGCTGGTGTTGAGGTGTAATAAGTGAACGGGTGCGGGGTTTAATTGCTATGCTTATCCTTCTATCTATCTCTATCTCTATTCCTATCTATCTCTGGGTCTCGGATTTTTGTCACTGGCATCACTATCACAGGAATGTGCTCTACTCACCGCGTGGTTGTTGTTGTTGTAGGAGGGATGGTATCTGTATTCTGTCTCGTCTCGTCTCGTCTCGTCTCGTCTCGTTTCTTTTCTCTGTCTCTTTCTCTTGCATCTTGTCCGGAGTAATAGTGTAGAGTAGTTTAGCATTGGGCATAGTCCTAGATCAGTTGTTTGGGTCTGAAGTTGTAGAACGTTGATGAAATATATAGTAGCTTCTGTGTCTCGCAATATCTTAGCTGGAGTAAGGCTGAGGAGGATCGACGCGTCTGAAGCGTGAGGAGGACAAGGCACGTGAAATGTGACTGCTCGCGTCCGTCACGCACGTATGGTGACTCAACCTGATTCCCGGCACCCATCTGCTGGTCCTTCCCTCTCCCATTCAACATCGCTTGAGCAATTACGGCTACGCTAATCTCCTTAAGATTTTGCTCACGATACAGGCTGATTTATTTTCTCTCCGGTTTCGTTTGCATTCGTACCCGGTTTACTCTTCACATCCGTTTCCCGTCTGCTTTGATGCATTGTAATACCTCGAAGCCGCATTTGCTGACCGTCTCCATCACGTACTGTCCTATATTATTGCCGTAATTAGGCTACATAAACGTCTTGCAGTGCTCGTGGATGAGTGCGTTGTGATAGGATGCCGTATCATAATGGAGGGCTTCACAGCCACCGAATACCGAGTGTCGGTTAATACTTTATTCCCCGGGCAACCCGACGCGGTTTTGAACTTCGAGTCGACTCAGATTCAACTTTGCTCTAGTTGCGCAGACTTAGAGATGAAGAGTCGTGCGGTGCTGCTCAATGCAAGGCATTTACATGTATGACTTCCCAGATAGATACTGCACTGCCTGTCGGGCTGGCGGATCTAAGCCATGAGATGGTGTGTTTTCTCCATTGACCCTTCTCCTTATGCCTTCCTCCACTTCACCTGGGACTCGCAATAGAGTGTACCTGCTGTGGTAATTACCACAGAATGCTATTCATGGAATAGTGTGATTCTATTCCAAAAGTGATGCATAACTCCAATTGTGGGGCATCATCCTATTCCTGAAATTCTGTGGTAATTAACACAGCAGAAACACTCTCATTACGGTCTCATCCGTGCACTGGGCTGTAACAGTGCCCTGACATACGTGATGTAAGCACCAGGTGCATCATGTTATGTTGCTCTTATCTATGCTTTGGGAGTTATTGACTGAAATACACTCTATCAAGGATTGCTGGGGAAAGCAGTACTGGAAGGGCTAAGAGGCATGAGCATTAGAGAGGGGTGAGTATGGTGGGATGTGGGATGGGCAGTGAATGAGTCCCTTTCGTGCCATTTAGACACCCTTTCATGCAGTGCCCGACTAGTGCTATGCACAAAGAGTCGACACGCATGCGAAGGTTTCCTTGGTCCAGCATCCAATGTCCAGATACGCGAGACAGGGCTTGCAGTCCTTTCATGCTGCCTCCACCGCCCTTGGAGTTGCTTTCATCGCTGGCGAGAAGTGCCGGGGCGCCGGGACCGACAGCCAGATCTTGATAAGATCGATTTGCGCGTCGCGTCGCGTCGTCGATCTGCCTCCGTCGTGGTCAACAACCACCCACAACAGCGCCTCGCGCACCCGCGCCCATTGTCTCGTGCGACGGCGCCGCGAAATACGGCAGCTTCAGGCAATACTCTGGATGATTGAATCCTGAATCGCTCCCATCGATAAGAGCGGTTGCTACGGCGGACAAAGGGGCGGGCAGCGCTTTGATCCCACGTGGACGAAGGCCCGATTAGGCATAGACAGGCTTCGACGCTTTGGCCGGGCTCCTGCATTTAAGTCTATCCCCTCGCCACCAGCTGCTGTGCACTCCCCCCACGCCCGCGCTGCGTCTCTTTGTACATTCCTACGCGTACATACTATCCCGCCACGCGACCGACGCGACATCCGTCTATTGACGGGAAGCTGTACAAAACCTAGCCACAGTACGCGCTTTGCGACAACTCGACAGATTTGCGACAGGAAATCCGACATTTCGTGTTATAACATGGAAGTATACAAGCTCCTTGTTACGGCTGCCCAGAGACTGTCCGCCGAGGAGACTGCGCGCAGGTGGTCCGCGCTTTCCTCTCCTCGGAATGCGCTCTACAACCCGCCTCCGCCCCCGCCCGCTCCCAACACCACTTACGCGACTCTGCAGCCCGAGGGCGAGAAAATGAAGTCTCTTGCGCAGGTCGCCGAGCAGCTACTAAACGAACAGGCGACAATGTTACAATATCCCGTCTCTGCTCTCCCGCGCGGGCAACCTGCGCAGGCAACCATTTCCCCGTCTGTTCCGTCTGCCTCGACTGCCCTGCCCGTTGCTTCCATCTCCACCCCTGACCCCCAGCCCCCAACACACGCACCAGCTCCCGTCCCCGCTATCAGGCGCGACCTCACATGGGCGCAGACGCCCTCGCACGACGCGAACGGCTTCCCGCTCCAGCCCGTGGCGTCGACCTACCCTCTGCGCCCCGACCGCGCGCCGGGCATCAATTTCGACGGAAAAAGAACTCGCTACCATCCAGAAGTGCTCGCATGGCTTCGAACAACTGACAAGGTCGCGGCGGACGCGAAGGAGGAGGCGGACGAGGGAATGCTCTTCCCAGAAGACTTACTTGAGCGCGCGCCCCCGCCCCCGGAGGACCCGGGGCTGTTCGCACTGTGCGCGCTGTGTTCGGTGCAAGACCGCCGGCGGCTCGCGTACTGGGTCCTCTGGAACGTCGACAGGAAGGAAGACACCCTGGACCGGCTCAACGCCGAGATCAGTGAGTACCCGCCTCCCCTTCCCTCCTTCCCTTGCGCACTTACTTACTTCATCATTTTGTTGCCACAGATAAGCGGTCGCGGGATGTATGCCTCGCGGAGTTCTGGGGCCTGCCGGACGTGCTCGTCAACCTCGCGATGGCCGGCGAGCGGGCGCAGCAGCGCAAGGAGCTGGAGGCACGGGAGGCGACGTGCACGGACGGGGTGCCGCCGACCTGGTGGAAGGGCACGCCGAGGACGCGCGCGGGTGAGAAGCGCAAGGCCGGTGCGCTGCAGGGGGAGCCGCAGAAGAAGAGGAGACGCCCGGCGAAGCTGACGATGAAGAAGGGCGCAAGGAAGGGACGGAGTACGCGAAAGCCCGAGCAGGAGGAGCAGGAGGAGGAGCAGCAGGAGGAGGAGCAGCAGCAGCAGGAGGAGCAGGAGGAGCAGGAGCAGGACATAGACGTAGAGACGGAGTCGGCGGTGCTGATGCCGCCGCCACCGCCCCCGGCTCCTGGCAGGGTCGTGCTGCGCTTGCCTGTGCACTCCTCCGCCCCGCGGCCTGCACCCACCGCTGCACCTGCTGCCGTCCTCGCAGCTACCCCCGCCGCCGTCCCTGTTCCCGCCGCTGAGAAGCCCAAGCCCACTCCCGCCGCCAAACCCAAGCCTTCCCCGAAGAAACCCAAGACTACAAAATCTCAGGCACCCAAACCCACCGAAGCCCCCAAGCGCCAGAGCAAGCGCATCCAAGCAGCCAACGACGTCAAGCCCGAGGCGGCGCGCTTCGCGAGCGAGAATACTTTATTCACATCGAAGTCGAGCACGCTCGTGAATAGCATGCCGCCTGATTTGAAGAGAGTGGTGGAGGGGGTTAAGACGCCTGAGCCGGAGAAGCTGGAGGCTATCGAAGAGCAGGGAGAGGAGGAGGTCGTCGCGCCTGAGCCTGAGCCTGAGACCAAAACCAAGAACGCGCGCAAGCCCAAGGGGAAGAAGACCGCGAAGGGGAAGGGAAAGGCCAAGGCGCCCCCCGTCGACACGGACGCGACGGAGGACGAACCCGACCTGCCCCAGCTCCCGCGCGGGCTGGAGAAGGCGGAGACGGTGAAATCCTGGACGGATGAGGTCGCTGCTTCCGAGGCTGGCGCGGTGGAGGAAGCTCAAGTTGAGGAGGAGATCAACGTTGTGGAGGAGGTGCCTGTGCCTGACACCACTGCTAGGGCCGGATCACGCGCGGCGCGTGCGCGGCGGCCGACGCAGAAGGCGCGCGAGGCGGCGGCGAAGGCTTCGCAGAGCAAGGCAAAGAGCTCAAGGCCGAAGACGAAGACGGCCTCCGCTGGTGTTGAGGTGTAATAAGTGAACGGGTGCGGGGCTTAATTGCATGCTTATCCTTCTATCTATCTCTATCTCTATTCCTATCTATCTCTGGGTCTCGGATTTTTGTCACTGGCATCACTATCACAGGAATGTACTCTACTCACCGCGTGGTTGTTGTTGTGGTTGTTGTAGGAGGGTTGGTATCTGTATTCTGTCTCGTTTCTTTCTCTGTCTCTTTCTCTTGCATCTTGTCCGGAGTAATAGTGTAGAGTAGTTTAGCATTGGGCATAGTCCTAGATCAGTTGTTTGGGTCTGAAGTTATAGAACGTTGATGAATTATATAGTAGCATCTGTGTCTCGCAAAAGACTTGGGAGTCAATTGAGAATAGACGGGTCCGGGATGAATGTGACGCGAGGGCAGGAAATCGATCACGTGCTGTGTGACTGTTCGCGTTCATCACGTATATAAGTACAGGCTGCCTAGCAACCGTCTCCTGGTCTGGACGGTCCTTGACTGCACTGGCATGCCGCAACCCCTGGCAGGGACGTAGGCTGTAGCTTCAGTGGGCTATTGCTGTGTCGATATTCCTCAGCGAGACATGGGGCCTGTATATTGTCCGTTCCTGCAGACGCTCTGGTAAGTATGTGCGCGGGACCGGTCCCTCTTACTCGTGCTCCAGCTCCTCTTGAGGTCGTCGGCAGGTCAGTGGCTTTTGGGAGGTCAGAGTGTGCGCTGTCTGGATGGACGGAAAACATGATCTGGCTTCTCCCTTGCCTTTGGCTTACCGTTGCTCTCACACCCGAGCTTATTCCTTCGCCACCCTGCTCGACATTCTTCGCTGTATCCTCGATCCGGCGTGCAACAGAGTGTTCCTTGATGCGATGCGCATCGCGGACTCGCTGATGCATTCGGTTTGGGCTCGACGGTGCATGCTTCGCTGGAGAGCATCCTTCGCTGCGTCGGACACCATCGAACAGGGGTCAAAAAGCAGTCTATGATTTTCCAGAAGAATAGTAGACTGATGATCATACTTAGGCTGCGGTCCCTCATTCGATTTACGACACACTATATGCTACGTGCTCCATATACCTATCTGAATTGCCTGTGGTGCTGAGTCAGCACGGGATACTTTCTAGAATATTGACCAACGTCGTCTCTCGCGTATCCTCGGCGTTGAACTATGCTCTAGCGTACTGAAGAGTGCGATCCTATCATCCGTAATGGCCATGCGGTGCCAACTGAAGCCTAGACGGTTCGATACTGTACTTGTTCTCGTCCTGAGGAACAATCTGGTTCGCTGCGCGATGGGCAGCCCTGACTCGCGTACTGGTCATCGCTCGCATCCGGGAACCCCAACGAGGGTCCTTGGTTTTGTCGCCACGCCCTGCTATAGCCCAGGCTACCTTGCGATGGGGAGCACTGGCTCCAGTATCTCTGCTGAGTTTGGCAAGGGCCTGTTCCTCTCAAGTGTTACGGCTGCCTAGCACTACAGAATTATGACCACGAAGTCTGTACCCTTGCAAGCACCGTCTTTCCTTGACCTCATGGGGTACTTGTCTTGAATCCGTGAACGACGTACCGCTACTGGTGCTTTGGAAGTTTTCCATGGGCGACCCCTTGCATTGTATGCTCCGGCGTCATGATCTCCCTCTGGTGCTCTGGAGGTCCATATCGTGAGGGTTGCTCTTCCTGAAGGTTCAATGCTTAGGCTGAATATTGCCTACAAAGACGGAATTCACGCATCCCAAGTACACGGACCTAGCACAGCCACGGCGACATTGCTCCTGAGCTACTGGCCACGCTGCGAAAACGAGGCAAATTCTTGAGCTTATTTTTGCTATTTCGGTGATGGTTGGCGATCCACCCTTTGTTTGTCCTTGGCTGAAACTTCACGGGCTTTGATCGCTCCAACCAGCTCCGCCGTTGTTATGCGCCTCGACACCCTCTCATCCTTTCACCCGACGAAAGGTGTTCGTTCCCCACTCTTGTTCGTCTCACTTCTTTGTCCGTCGTGTATTGACGCCGTGCCTCTTCGAGGACTTCATTGATGAAAGATTGATGTCCCCCATATGTCTGAGCCACGATAGGTGTCAAATACGCTACCAATGGAATCTATGAATGGAATCGCTAACTTTTTCATAGAACATTTCATGGAAAGATCTGGGAGGTACGTCTGCCTATCGTGCTACGTACGTGTAGTGATTGATGCGAGCTATTCTGGCACGTTATCATGCCTGCAGATCTTATTTTATCTGCGATGCGCGTTCGTCGTTTATGACGATTTCCAAGATATTCAGTCTTCTATCTGAAATATCTGCAGCTTCTGCGGGAAGCACCAGTGCATAACATCTGGCCTGCGCAGCAACTCTTTGCCCATGCCGTGTTGCAGGGATGTCCTCCGTACAGGGAGAGCTCGCCCAGCTGTCATGCAAACGTGAGCATCTCAACATGATCGTGTCAAGAAGGACTCGAGACCCTGGAACCTCTTTCAGGTCTCCGCTTGGGACTCAGCGCACTATCGCAAGACCATCAAGGAAGCTAGACTCCGCTTCTGGACTTCGCTATTCCCGGTGTTCATGCTGATCGCCTGAAGCAATTCTACATTTCTTATTGGTACGACCAGTTCCCCGCCGGCGCTCTCACTGACATCGGGGGTTCCAGGTCGTGCGGTTGCTTTCTGCTGGGGACGGTCACCCGCTCCTCTCCAGTACTGCCCCCTTTGGACGCATGCTATACAGAGTCACCCCTCCGGCGTTTTTCTCTCGGGAACATCGGTGTGCAAATATAAATAAACTCTTCATTGCTTCCACCGGTCTTTGACCGGTTGATTTGCCCACTGGCACCTACTTAATGGAAATGGGGCGTTCACCGACCCGTTCTTTGCAGCGATCCCAGCTGACCAACGCTGCTCAATCAGCTGTTGCGAGCGGGATGCTGCGACCTTGGCACGGGCTTACCTTGACTGCGCAGGTTGCGACTCCCGTAGTAACGCAATCACTGCACAGTTGTCGGACATCAGATATGCCGGCGGCGCGCTCTCCTCAGAGTTATTAGCTGGGATCGTGCGCGTGATGATGCATCACAACGTCAAGACGGCTCATTGTCGCGACTGCGTCGGGCTTCCCCGCTGAGGGGGTAAACTCGGCTCGGTCCCGATAGGCGGGTTCTCCCTAGTTCTCCCATGACGGAATATGCGGTTCTGCGACTCGCTGCTCGAGGCCGCGCTGCACACCGTATCCTCGATTGCGGGGCGAGCGTCTGCGCAGTGCGCACCGCTCTTGCGAGATGAAACGACAGACGGCCAACCTTTCGCGTCGCAAAGGCCACAGCCAGATGCGCACGTGGGCGGGAACAAATGGCATGGCCTGTCCCTGATCGGAAATGATCGGGCCTTTGTGAAACCCACTCGCTTAGATCACAAAACGAATTGTGGAGTGGATGGAAAAGGCAATGCGATAAGATCCAGGTTCACAAACCACACCTGCCGTTCCTCGCGGTATTCTTGGATAGAGGTGCGTATTTCTGTCTCTGGGACGAGGATTGCCTACATATGCAACTCGCGGTGTCTATCGAATTCGCGGCGGTACTAGCGGGGATGACAAGCGGGGTGGTCATGCAACTGGGCACGAACCTCATGCAGCGGTCAGCTGTATGTAGGCCCGGTACGCAGCTGCGCGGATTAGATGGCGCATGCACCTGGGCACGCACATGCGCTGTACGTCTGCACAGTGCGCTACCAGGAGCTTCGAGACTTTCCTACGGATTACTCGAGGCAGCTGCCGCCCTTGCCGGGGAATTCAAAGCGCAATCATCGAATGCGGGCCGAAAGCATCTCGTTCCGGCAAGTCCCACCCAAACCCAGAAGATGTGTATCAATGTGTATTTACCACCAATCCATATTGGAATGACTTGTACACGGGGATCGGCTCCAAACCCGAGTGGACGTTGTGCTGTACTGTGTTGTGTGTGGAGAAACGGCTCAATTGGATGTGCAGGGCCGTATTTACGAGGGCGAGGGAATCGAGGCCCGAAGGTATTCGAGTTCCATTGAGTTCTTGGATGATGTAACAGAACGAAGGCGGTATGCTTCGCTGGAGGAGAGGGTCGTCGAATGTGCGTCCCCATCACCGGGGTGGACTATGGAGCGCGACGCTAGTACAGAACGGGGTCGACGTCATGCCAGTCTGACCTGGTATAGCGGGACGCGGTCAGGATTTAGACTAGGAAATCGCCACAGGGCTCCGGAGGAATTCCAGCGGCGACGCCATAACCTATGCTGTACAGAGTCAGACCGAGTAATGAATCCGGCGCACGGAAAGGGCCGGCGCATTAGAGCTGAGATGGTTCGCACAGGTTATGCGTCTTCATTGGTAGAATCTGTGTCACATACAGCGAGCAGGCCGAGCAGGCTATGAACAGACGAAGGCCGCGGAATGGAGTCACAGAGGGTGTGGAATTAGGGCCCGGGTGGATGGAGCATACGGGCCTCCTTCCATTTCCAACCGTGAGCAGGCAGATCGATCCGGGCCTGTCGCCGAGCCTGGGCCGCTGTGGTCGGCGAAAAGCAGCGTATTGTGCAAGTCGTCGGCCACGACGGCGAGCGCGGTAGCGAGCAGCGAACAATGGGGTACGATTGTGTCGCACCAGACAATGGATAATAAGGCGGATGCCAGGAGAGATCAAAGCTGGCTAGCGACGACGTGACGGTGTGACTCATCCGTCACGGGCCACCGCTTAGGATAGCTTACCTAAGCGAGTGTGGGCACCGAGGGAGTGGTAATTAGTAGCGAGTGGCGGAGTGGGCGGTTCCCTCGACTCTTGTTTCCGCCGAATCCGTCCTTGCCCTCGCGCACCTCTTTCTCTCCCTACCATCATCGTCGTCTCCCGTCGCCGATGCCGCCATCCGAGTCCTCGTCCTCCTCGTCGCGCACGACGAACGCGCGCAAGTCCAAGAAACGGTGAGCACCACCCTGTCGCCTCGTGCACGTCGTCATAGGTTCTCACCGCCGTTGTCCACAGCAGGGTAACAAGAGAAGATCTGCTCAGAGCACTCGAGGTCATTACCCGCATCCATGAACTCGCGAGTATAGCAGTGCTCACCGCTTCACAGATCCTCGGCCCATTGTCGGTCCCGCTCCCGCCGGAGCTACCCCCTTCACCACCAGCGTCGAGAAGCAGCAGCCCCGCGCGAGGCACCAAGCGAAAACAGCCTGCCCCTGCGGAGGCCTCTACATCCACCTCTTACCCAAAGCGTCCTCGTGTGTCGAGTGTGGCTACCGACAGCACTCGAGCCGTGCGCACCGATCCGACTGAAGACGGCGAAGTGGGCGAGGAACGCACTTACAAGGTCGCGCAGCCGGCGTTCACATCGACCTTCGTCCCAGTTAGGCGTCCGCGACGCGGTTGTCCGGCCAAGAACGATCCCATATGGGCAAAGCGAAGCGAACTTTATCATGGCTGGGGAGTCCTCCTCAAGAACTCCTGCGCAGCACGGCATAACTCCATGCGTCCGCCCTCTGACTCCCACTTCAAACCCTTGGAACACCCTCCACCCCCTGATTCGTCCTACCACAAGCATGGGGCGTTGATAGCTTTTCTGGAGTCCATCCACGCTATTCTCTGTTTTGTATATGCAATGTGGTGCAGAGAGTACCCGCTACGACACACAGATACTGCCGCGTGGACCTCGATCGGCAGCGTTCTGGACTGGTGCGAGTCACACGTGGGTAAGGGGGGGTTCAACGCCGGGGAAAGGGAAGAAGCGTTGGTAGGACTTGTGTGCGTCTCGAAATTATTTATGTCTGCTGTCTGTTACTGAATTCATCGTACCAGGCACATGGTACGGGCCTTCATCGAATCCCGCAATGCGCTACTCAGCTCGCGACACTATGTGCGATATGAAATGGGCAAGTTGGCGAAGCAAGGCGACGATACGGCGAATGCTGAGCATCGAAGACTTTTGAATGAAACACGGGAGTCTGCGTTAAAGAACAATCCTGCTTTCCGTCATCTTCGTGACCCTCCGACCCAGCTGCCATCCCCAGCACCCACTGCCAACGGGAGCGCCAGCTCTACTCCGACGGCCAATCGTGCTGAAGGCACCCCGTTGCAATCGTCTATCAGGACGCCCCCCTCGTCATCAGGGTCAGAGCAACCGAAGACGATGCTAGATCTCGATCAGTTCGTGCTCAAGTCTACTGCGTCGCCTCCCGCGATCCTTCAGACTATAACACTTCCCTTGCGGGGAAACGTCGCCAAAGCCGTGTCGCAGCAGGCAGAGCAACTGCACCGGGCCATCAAGAATGTGGAATCGTACCAGTCGAAGCTTAGCCTGCCCATACTCGCGAAGCACTTCCCAATCACGTTCGCGCGTGTCATACAGACGACGCTGCAGCAGCACGAGGAGTACGAGCCCGACTTTGAGGATGACGAGGGCGAGCTGTTCTGGCCGGGCCAGTGTATCAACGGAGAGGGCATCGGCTGGGTGTGTCTGCTTGGACGCTCGATGATCAAGGAGTTTGGGAAGGACATTGGGTATCAAGGCTACCGAGGGTTTGTTCGTCTGCCCGACTGGAGGACCAACTCCAAGTTGCCCCCTGGTCACCCTGCTCTGCAACTCCCTGATATACCGGACTGCTGGTGATAGCCTCTAGGATCCTGTCTCTTCATCCTCTTGGGCCCTTCCTTGACCCTTGCGGATCTGGTGTTATACCTGGTTCGTAGTTGCCAAATGCTGTTCTGGCGTGCCCACAAACGTCGACCTCGACATCGATACCCAAACTTGAAGGGCTCTCCAGTCTCGCTCTCGCCGACGTCCCCAACGTGTGGGACGTGCCCTCCTGCGCCGCCTGTCGCTCGCCAATGCTGCGCATCGTTTAGGGCATTCCGTGCTCCAACGCCCTGCGCAGGCTGTACTTCTAGACTTCCACATCCATCTCAAAGCCTCGCACACCCATTCCACCCTCATCATCGCATCCACCCCTCGTGTTTCGTGGCACCTCTGTATCCATGCTGACCTGCTCATCCTGTATCCCTCATCCAACGACCCTCGCGGTCCTCATCTCCTTCTCGTACATTCTTGCATATAAGATTTCGATTCCGACCCGGAGGTGGAGGAGCTTTATCTGTTTCTGCTTGTGTGGGATTTCGTTTCACTCTGGATATACATATATTATCGCATCACCATCATCTTTCGCCTGGGCATTGTTTGCCGGTCATCTGTGCATACTTAATTACACCCTCCACCCACCATCTGTCTGCGCTTCATCTACATTATTCTTTGGATCCGGACGGCGTTACTCTTGTGTGCTTGCTTCCATAGCCCTGTCTGTTCTGCCTGCCTGTGTCGACCGTATTTATTCGCGTGCCCATCTGTAGAATGCAATTCATCTCGTGTGCTTGCGAGCAATTGCAATTTATCATCTAATCGTCATTGACCATACATGTCCCAGTGAAATGAATAGGTCAGTGATGCTCTCGAATGCGGCCATGGGATCAAGTTCCCATGTCACTCCATCACCGGGACTGCTCCATATGTCAACGCATGCAGCGGTACAACTGCGGCGTTTACGCTGCTGACCAGGGGTGCGCATGCGCATGGCTCAGGCTCAAGGTAAACTCGCACATCCCGGAGCTCTGAGTGCGCACGTAGTCAGCAGTGCGGGTTTACCGGGAGCCTAAGAGGCGTTGCGCCGACGTTTCCCGATAGGCTCTGTCAGTTGTGATCGCCCGGAGCTCTGTAGTGATTAGGTTCGCGGTTCGAGCCATCCATCGGTCATGGCGGCGTGAAAACAATAATACGAGGCGGAGCAGACGAATGGCGATGTTACTTACTTACACACTGTGTCCATAGAGAGGTTACGTTAAGCTTTTCAGTCGAGAGAGCAGATATAAACCGCCATATGTGACATGGATAGCAATATAGCATGGTGCATCATCATCATAGGTAGGGACGGGAGGCCAGAACGAGCAGACGAGAGAAGGGAGAGAGAGGACCCCATGTGCACCGACTCCCCTTCCAGACCCAGATCCACCCGGGTAGAGAAAACCAGAATAAATAGGCTTTTCACCGGTTGGACTTGGCGACACGCTCCAACTCGTCCTTTTTCTGTGAGCGGAGTAAGGGGGTGAGTAACAGGAAAGGGGGGAAGGGGGAGGGTAGGTACCTTGATGGCGTAAGAGTTGGACGAGCCCTTGGCAGCGTTGATGAGTTCGTCGGCGAGACACTCGGAGACGGACTTGACGTTGCGGAAAGCGGATTCACGGGTCTGAAAGAGATAATCACCGCATTATCGGTCTGATATAAGAATAAGAGGGAGGTGAACTTACGCCCGTGGTAAGGAGAGCAACGGCCTGGTTCACTCTCCGTAAGGGGGAGACATCGACGGCCTGGCGACGGACGGTGCCCTGCGAGCCGATACGTGTTGAGTCTTCACGGGGGCCGGTGTTCACGATAGCGTCGACCAGGACCTGTCAGAATTCCCTCATCAGCAGACGTCCTTTGCATGCCTAGCAAAAGGGGAGCAGACCTGGATGGGGTTCTGGTCGGTGAGGAGGTGGATGATCTCGAACGCGTGCGCGACGATGCGGACGGCCATGAGCTTCTTGCCGTTGTTGCGACCCTTCATCATCAAGCTGGCCAGCGCCCATGGTATAAGACCAGGCGCGCATGTATTTAGTGAGCGTGACGCACCTGTCGACCAGCCGCTCGACGATGGGCATCTGCGCCTTCTTGAACTGCTTCTTCGCGTAACGGCCGGCGGTGTGCGGTAGGTAGACGGCATGGCGGACTTGGATGTAGTCCGTCAGCGAGATGTCCTTCACCTCGACACTGTTTGCCCCATCAGCACCCTCCCTCGTTTCCTACTACCATACTGCTACTACGCACTCTTGTGTCTCCCACTTGCCGAACAGCTTCACGTCCGCACCGAGCTTGGAGACCTCCCTGGGGAGTGTTTGCACCGCGGCCATTTTCGAGGATTTGGTTTTGGAGGGGGAGAGAGAGAGAAAAGTACAGAGTCGCCGCGGCGGAGTCTTGAGGGAGCTGTAGGCCTTGCGAGTGGGCGGCGCCGGTGTGCACTCGCCTCTTGCTATCGCTGTTTGCGCTTGTTGTGCCCCGCCATCGAACAAGGTTTGGCCGGGGTATGCCGGGTTACTGTACAGTTCATGCCCTCATGTCCTCCGCCCCTTGACGGTGAGCTATAAGGTCTCTCGTGACGGAAATCTCACAGGAAATGGCTGTCAGGCCACGGATATCGACATGTACTGTGCTTTCTGGCGTCGAAACCCCCCCTTGACCGGCCATTTCTATGCCAGGAAGCATTCTGCGTGTTGTGGAGGGATATCGGGATTGAGTCAATGGTCCACTTGTCGCAAGCTACCTGGATGATGAACACAATAAGATAAACAGTACTTCTGACAAATTCAGTCTCTTCAAAGTACATCTTGTATACAGAACGAACGAGTATCATACACACCAGTACATAGCCAATAAGGAATCTATATATCGAACCTTCGAACCTGCACGCCTCCAACCCCCGCACTCACAATTCTCCTCTCATCAAACACCACAGCGCCCCTCGTGCCCGCCCTCACCTGCGTTGCCACCTCCGCCTCCCCGGCAAGGAGATCCACGCCCCCCGCGACCTCTGCGCCTGTCCCCGCCTCGAGGTCCCACACCCAGATGCTCCCGTTCACGCCGAGGCTGACGCAGCGCCCGTCCGCGAGCGCGAGCGCGGCGACAGGCCCGACCTGCCCGTGCAGGCTGCGCACGAAGGTCAGCCGGGGCGTGCCAGAGGACGGCAGCGAGAGCCGGTACAGCTGCAGCGTGCTGGCGGTGTAGAGCCCCGACGAGGTGTACTGCGTGCCCGACAGGATGGCGTCCTCGTTCGCCTCTCCTGACGGAGCGGACGGTGCGCTGAAACCCGCGTCGCCCGGCGCGAGCACGACCCACTTGCCGTCCGTCTGCGTGTCCGCGACGCGTGCGACCTTGCGCGCCCACTGCGCGCGCATACCGCGCACCTTCTCCTCGTCGATCCACCCGCCGGGCACGTCGATCGCCCTTGCCGTCCGCGTGGACGCGACCGCCATCCCCGCGCCAGCGATGACGAGCTCTGTCGCGCCGACGCTCCAGTGCGCGGGGTACACGTGGACTGCGTACGCGAGCACGAGCTTGTATGTCCCCGGTGCCGGGGCGGAGAGCACGAGCGAGGACGGCGGGTAGGAGGTGAAGGAGGTGAGGGTCTGCGTGAGAGTTACCTTACCTGGGGTGGAGAGGTCGTAGAGGGAGAGGTGGAAGGACTCGGAGAGGGTGATGAGGAGCGGGTGGTGGTAGGCTGCTTGGATGATGGGGGAGGTGCGCGCGTGTGGGCGGGCGGGGATGTAGGTGAAGAGTTTGGCGGAGGCGGAGGGCTTGTGGTGGTGCAGGGCGAAGACGGAGAATTCGCCGGAGGAGAGGAAGCACGCTAGGCGCGAGGTTTGGGGGGAGACGCTGGCGGGAGGCGATTGGTCGAGTGCGAGTGTGGTTACATACGCCGGGTTATTAGACTGGGATGATCCAGCGGTGAGAGCAACCTGTTCGTTGCCGGAGAGAACGAGCACAGACGGGGCTGGGGACGGCCGGGATGAAGCTGCTATGGTGAGGTTGCCCGCCAGGATAACATGCGTGCTCCGGACGGGAGTATCCACAGGCGACGGCGGAAGTATGGGGACAGGGCGCTGGACGCTTTCATCGATTTGCTCGATGGAGCAACGCCCTGCCAGCTTCTGTCAGAAATTCTCCGGGGTACCAAGCAATAATATACCTACCTTTGCGCCAATTCGTGCTTATCCGAAACATCCACTTCCAGTCCTTCCCGTCCTCCGCCTGCGCCTTCTCCTTCGCTCGGCCAGGGAGCGGCCTGACCTCCCGTCCATCCGCCCTTCCAATGAACCCGCGCCCGCCCCTCAGCCGCGCCCGGCCATACTCGGCCAGGTACAGCGCCTTCCACAGCTACTCACGTCAACGTGCACTTGTATAGACGATTAATCGGGAGACGGGTATGTACCTGGTTGTCCAGCGCCAGGCGCGCCCAGTTGCGGTTCGTGCGCTGGATGGCGCACAGGTCGGCCGAGGAGAGGTGCGAGAAGATCTGCAGGATGACCTCGTCGTAGAGCGCAGAGTCGAACGTCGGCGCGACAGTCGAACGGGCTTGCGAGGAGGAGGCAGTGTGTCGACATTTGGCTGCAGGCAGTACGCCCGGCGAGAGAGGCCGTTTCGACATGCCCGACGTCCTTGACGATGGAGAGAACGGTGTTGCGTTGTACGCTTTCGTTGCTTATTGAGCAGCGTGAGCGGGATAAGGAGATACCTTACCGTGGGAGGCCCTCGGCTACAATAATCCCTCGCGAAAGTCCGACTTGCATCCGACACTCGATGGCGCCCTCGCGAGGCCCGCAACCGCTCGCCCGGACGCTGCATGCAACGCTCGCGAACCACCGTGGCCCGGTACACGTCGCGCGCTACGCGAAGGGAACGGCCAAGTACGTGCTCACCGGCGGGCAGGACCGCACGGTGCGCCTGTGGAACCCCGCACTGGGGACGGAGATCAAGGTGTTTGCGAGCCATGGGTACGAGGTGTTGTCGATTACTGTGTGCGTATGCGTTCAACTGTAAGAGCGGGGTGGAGCTGAGCTGATGGTGGTTGCAGGGCGCATGATAATAGCAAGTTTGCGAGTTCGGGTGGTGATCGGTCCGTTTTCCTGTGGGATGTGACTACTGGCGTTACGATCAAGAGGTTCTCGGGGCATATGGGGAGGGTGAACGCGGTTGAATTCAACCAGGACGCCTCTGTCTTGGCCAGCGGTACGTTTACGATTCCCGCTGAGACGCCCCACCGCTCACTGCGCCTCCAGGTTCCTACGACGCAACAGTGCGGTTGTGGGACCTCCGGTACGCGCAGCGCCTTAAATGTTTCATGATCTCCCTGGCTGATGTATACCAAGCTCTCAGTCGCACTCCCCGATTCAGATCCTGGAGGAAGCCAAAGACGCCGTGCAGACCCTCCACGTCGGGCCCACACAGATCATAGCCGGCTCTGTCGATGGCCACGCCCGCACATACGACCTCCGCATGGGCCAGCTGCGCGCAGACTACATCGGGCGTACGTCCCTCCGTCCGCCTCTCCCTTCCGCCTCCCTTTTGCTGTTATCTCACTAACGCGATATGGAGCAGACCCAGTGACGGCGGTGGTGCCCACGGCGGACCACACGACGTACCTCGCGACGACGCTCGACTCGACCGTGCGCCTGATGGACAGCAGCACGGGCAAGCTCCTGCAGGCGTTCAAGGGGCACAGTGTGCAGAACTACCGGTGCCGCGCGTGCTTCGGGCACGCGGAGGCGAGCGTGGTGTGCGGCGACGAGGCGGGGGCGGTGTGGGCGTGGGATTTGCTTGATGTGAGTATTCGCGTTGTTTAGGCATGAGGAGGGGAGGTAGGGTACTGATGAAGTTTTCTGCCTCGTGCGGGTTGTAGGGACAGGCAATGCAGCCCAGCCCGCCCCCGAGGGTGCATGAGAAGGTTATTACTTGGACGGAGCATCACCCGACGGACCCGGGGGAGATGATTACTGCGAGTGCGGATGGGACGGTGAAGGTGTGGCGACATCCGCCGAAATAGACTGTGATGTTGTATTATACGCCATGCTTCACATCAAAAACAGCCGATTCTCCCTTAACGCATAACCTCCAATAATCCATACAATTTGGCCCCCAAGGAATTGTGATTGATACTAAACCTGGTCTTTCATGACCCGTAATCTCTGATACCCCATACCTTTGGCACTGTCTGGTATGTGCTGTGGGAGACTTGAATGCGTAACAAAACTGAGACTTCTTGGGTAAAGTTCAGAATGCCACAGACGCGCTGCGGTCACGTGCCTTGCCTGAACTAGGGTTAGGTTTAAAGAAACTGAGTTATTGTGGCAAAAGCTTGTAGTTGTGCTACACACCGATCATCCTACTGGGCTCCCTCTGAGCCTCTGACGACCCATCATGGTGCGCTTTGCCTCATATAACGGCTCACAAAACTGTGAACTGAACTACAGATATCTTGCAGCTCATTTTCTCGGTGTTCAAGACCCTCACGGACCAGCGCGTCACGGTCGAGCTCAAGAACGATCTGTCCATCACCGGGACACTCAAATCGGTGGACCAGTGGGTCTTTTCTTTGCCTTCCAATCCCTGATTCTATGCCGAGGGTTGAGTGAACAGGTTCTTGAATATCCGTCTGGATAACATAAAAGTGCTGGACGAGGCGCGGTATCCGCACATGGTGAGACGCTTCCTCCATCCTATTCTACTCTTGTTGCTGAGGCTGAACTGCGCACAGATGGCGGTGCGTAACTGCTTCATCCGGGGATCGGTGGTGCGGTACGTCCAGATACCCGCGGAGCATGTGGACGTGCAGCTGCTGGAGGACGCTACCAGGCGTGGTGCGTGTCTCCTCTTTCACTTACTGCACAGGAGGGACTCACTGCTGATTGGTTTCATGTTGTTGTGGTGGACAGAGGCGATGAACCAGGGGAAGCGGTGAAGAGAGCTGGGGCTTGCGGAACGTCGGCGAGAGTGTACCTGTACGTTATGAATTGTATATTGGTTTCCTATTGCATGGTTGCTTCTTCGTTTGGACAGATAGACGGATAAACGTCATGCACGTTTCCGATACCACACGGACGCTGCAATGCCTGTGTCGGGATCCTCGGCATCCACCTTCGCGGCTGATCTGCTACCAGCAGGACGTGCAGTGTGCGACCCAGGATATGTGCCTCCTTATCTCACTCACGACGATGCACGGCCGGTAACTAACTTTTCGCCATCTTGGCTGTATGAGAGACTCGTATCTGTGTATGAAGGAGGAGGGCGGGTGAATGAATGGGCGGTCTTCACGCCAACCGAACAGAGGTCGAGGAAGTTTCCGACGATACATCAGCAAGGCTCGGGATAGATTTCACCTGCTGGGGATGGCTCTTGAACTTTCATCGGCAACGCTTGCAAAAAAATGCACCGTTTACATGACTGAATACCAGGCTATCCAGGTTTTATCAAGCGTCACCCCTATTTCTGCGTGCGAGTCTGTTGCGTGCTGAGGCAGTTCGAAGAGACAGTGATAAATCAAAGAGGGTACGCTGCCTCAACGTCACCTAGTTGGTCTCTTCGCGCGCGGACCGGCATAACTGTGCCCTAAGGTAGGCCCTGCAACAGAGTTCACGCAGGAACGGTGTCTGTCTGATTCTACTTATCGCCACCAATCAAATGTCACTCGCTCTACTGCCCGAATCTGCAGTGCCGGCATCCAGACCTGTGCTTCCCGAGCGGATGAAGGACGTCTGCCGCCGACGAGAAGATCATGGGGCTCGAAGGTAAAGCCATCTTATCTGTCGAAGTAACTTGAATCGCAACTCCATGATAGGTGCCCGAGTACGTGGCTGCATTTAGATCTGAGTGCGTGACTGCATAATGCTGCCTATCGCAGTAGTTTTCGCAACGTCTTCTTTGTCCTCCTGTCTCGGAACGATTAAACCAAGGTACCTTTGCGCTCGATATGCGGAGGTGCAGATCGGTCATCTGGTCTCGAAGTCCCGCCGGCGGTTTAGAGGGTTCTTCAGGATCGGGAGGAAGCAAACGGGCGGCATAGGATTGGGCGGTAAAATAAGAAAGGAAGCTCGGCCAGGTACGGATGAGCGGACGTCATGCTGCCTCCGTCCAATAACGCGCACTGCGTTTCTGCGGGGATGCGGGATGGCAAGATAGCGTCCGGGCTGGCTCTACTCAGTGCTCATGTCAGGACGCTAGCACATCTGGAGCAGTTAACTTCGAGGAGGCAATAAGAATGTGTCGCGTGTATAAAAGGGTGCGCATCTCGTCGAGTCCAGCCATCCTCCCAACTTCACTCGAGTTTAGGAAGAACAATCACAGCAATGGACGTCCTCGCACAGATCAAGGCTGACCACGACAACGTCAAGGGCTTGTTCGCCAAGTACAAGGCTGCGTCCGGCGCGGAGAAGACGACGCTCGCGCAGACGCTCATCACTGAGATGAAGGCGCACAGCGCGGCGGAGTGAGTGCTAGCTTTCTGGACTCGATATCGAGGGGTCTGCGGTGTTGATTGAGTTGGTCACTAGGGATGCCTCCATCTACGCTGACTACTCGAAGTTCGGCCTGAGCGCTGCTTCCAACAAGCGTGAGCTGCCTTGCCTCAGGCTATCAAAGGGGTGTACCGGGACTGACCGTGTGCATTGCAGAGGACCACGCTGAAATCAACAAGTTGATCTCTGGCGCGTCGGCGTCCGACGAGGCTACTGTCACCAAGGCCGTGACGACCTTCATCGCCCACTCAGACGAGGAGGAGAGCCAGCAGTGGCCCGCGATCAAGGCGAAGCTGTCCGCCGGCGAGAGCGACGTGAGTGTTCCTTCTACCATGCGCTGTGCAGTGTACTGTGTAGATTTGACGTGTCTCGGTTGCAGGCCCTGGCGAAGCAGTTCGTCAACGCTAAGAAGAGCGCCGCCTGAATGTCGGGCGCTGTAGGTCTACTGGTCCGGTATTCGGTTGGGTCAGTAGCCTGCTGTAGCTGTACGGGTTTTGTATCATTCTGGTGAAATGGATGTGGGCTTTGCGCATGATCCCCTATTAAAGTGAGACCGACGGATGCCGGCCAAGCTCGTTTCGACAATCGCGGGTTCAGCCATGGTTTATACATGTGTAGTATCAGGATTGTGGCAGAGCACGCCACATTTCGTGGTAAAGAGTTTCGGACAGCTTGAGGAAATCTGTCGGGTTGTTCCGATGATGAGATGATGAGATCCGACGCATGTCGCCCTCGTCGCGTCTTGCAGTACGCTTGAAGCTTGAAGGCTTGCAACTATAGCTCTATCCTGTAAACCTTGAATAACAAGTCTATCTTCTGTTCTTGAGTGCCCCCATAACATATCTTGCCCGTCTATAGGCCTGCTTCTGTCCTCCGGCTCCGCAATACACGACCTATGGCGAGCATAGTGAAGAACAAGCTCAAGGCGGCGCGGGAGGCCATAGCGAAGAAAGACTACGAAGCCGCACGTAACAATGCCTCCATGGTTCTCGAGTTCGAGCCAGACAACTACAACGCGTCAGTGAGCACTCAGCCTAGTCGCAATGACCGCAGGGATGACTTGGGTTCTCTCCAGGACTGTGTTCCTCGCGTTAGCGTTGCTGGAGCTTGGCAGGACTAAAGAAAGCGAGCAAGTAATCTGTCGTTGCAGCCCCGTTATCCCTGCTTCGTTACTCACATCGGATGCAGGCATACCTGAGGGCTACGACGCTACAGCCGGAGCAACTCTTAGCATGGCAGGTGCGGGCATACCTTATACGTCAGGGACTGATGGTATCTGACTTCATATAGGGCCTGTCGCGATTTTACGAGCGTACTGCGAACTGGAGAATGTACGCCGAGGTTCTCCTGCGCATGGCGCGTCTACATGCAGACAGGTAGAGTCGAACACCCTTAGCGTCCTCCAGGTACTCACCCCTCCGACTAGTGGAGATGCCACTAAATGTGCAGAGATCATACAAAGGTATGTGGAGCTCTGTCGCAGAATGGGGTCCCGCATGGAGGTTAGTCCCGTTTTGCTTACCTCAAGGACATTAAAACTGAACCCTGCTCTAAATACAACTACAGATCGTCCATGCTCTCTGCCTGTTCCTCCCCGACTCCCCGTTTTACCCCGTCCTCTCCACCTTGCCGCATCCCGACCCTACGAACCCAACCGCCACCACGACCTTCGCCGCGCAGACGGCCGTGCACAATCCCTTGCCCGTCCTGGAAGAGATCGTCGCTCTCGTGGAGAAGGAGGAGGAAGACACGTTCCAGCGGGAGTTTGATAAACGCAGGACGCGGCTGAACGCTGCGGGGCCTGAGCAGCTGAAAAAGGACATCGGGCGGGAGATGTGGGGTACTTCGCGGGTACGGTGTCTCTGCTTGGCGTACTCCATGGCCATTCATAAACGATGTTGTGTTCGTTCCAGCTACCAGAGCTGTACAACGAGATCCTGAACCACCCCGACACATCCGACGAGACCCGCCGTGCGGTGGAGGCGAAGCTTCTCCGGCACAGACAGCGGTACCTGCACGCGCTACCGCTCTCCGACGAGAAGATTTCAGTCGCGGCAGAGGTGGAGTCTCTCGTCAACGGCGTCGTACTGCTCGGCATTCCGGATGAGTTCGCGTGGGTGTACTATATCGACGGGATGGATAGCGAGACACTGGGTTGGTTTTTATGATTTTTCGGCGATTGACGAAAGATTGATGTTGTTTGGTAGAGGGGTACGATTATGCGGTGCTTTGGAGATTCGTGGGCTTATTTCCGGATGCGCCGCTGGCGAGGCTGTTGAAGGCGTACTTTGCCTACGCTGGGATACGGAATTCTGATGACGAGGAGGATAAGGACGAAGGCGAGGAAGAGAAAAAAGAAGTCGACACTGCCGCACAGGCCAAAGCGCAGGTGAAGGCTCTTAACCGGATGACTGTGCGTCTGCCATTTCTTAAGCTATATGCTACTTGTGATTAAGTGCATTCCTTGATTCCTTGGACAGGATGCTTTCCCGAGGCTGAAAGATTCCACGATCGCGCACCATATTATGGCCACGATCTATGTCGAGGAGCAGGAATACGAGAGCACGATCAAAGTCGCGGAATCGGGGTCGGTTTTGCTCAAACGAGTCGCCGACGAGCGCGCTACAGCCCAGCCCAGGTGCGTATTATAATATACAATAGCGATCTTCCGACCCTTCGTTCCCACTGACAAGCAGCCCCAGAAAAGAGAAAGCGCTGAACATCGCGCTGGCGACGGCCCTCGTGCACCTGTACCCGCCGAAGCATCATGCGCGCGCGATCCCGCTCCTCGACGACATCCTGGTCAAGGACCCTCGTAACACCGCGTGCTTGATGGGCCGGGGATACGTGCTCCAGCACGCGGCCAAGTGGGCAGAGGCGAGCGAGTTCTTCCTCAAGGCTGTTGAGAGCGCCTCTGAGAACCCCGAGGTGCGCATACGCGCGCAGGAAGAGGCGGCGTGGTGCCAGGTGCAAATGGGGGAGCTGGAGGGAGCTGCGGAGGCACTTAGGGGTGTGCTGGAGGAGCTGGGGAGTATGAAAGATAAGGACGTGGATATGGCTCGGTGCTGGTGGAGGCTCGGGAGATGTCTCTGGGAGACGGGGGGTGAGTCATTCTCGGTCCTTGATCCTCTCACATTCATTCGCTCACATACGTTACGCAGAGGACCGCCGTGAAGAAGCATACCGCATGTTCATCACCGCGCTCAAGTCCTCACCGTCCTACGCGCCTGCGTTCACCTCGCTGGGGGTGTACTACGCCGACCACGGGGACCCGACGCGCGCGGCGAAATGCTTCCAGAAGGCGTTCGAGCTGGACGCGCGCGAGGCGTATGCAGCGCGGAGGCTCGCGGAGGGTTTTGCGGAGGAGCGGGAGTGGGACCTGGTGGAGGTGGTGGCAAGAAGGACGATTGAGGGCGAGGGCGGGTTCGATGCGGCTGCTGGGAGGTATCTGCCGACGAATGCTTGGGCGTGGAAGGCGCTGGGCGTGGTGGAACTGGTGGGATTGGTTCTTGTGTCGATGAGGGGGTATGTGCTGACGCTGCGTTCAGAATCGACGGAATTATAGCCAGGCTATTACCAGCCTGCAGATTGCTCTGAGGGCTGATGAGGCGGACGAGCTGTCCTGGCTTCGACTCGGGGAAGCGTACAGCCGAGCGGGGCGCCACGTCGCTGCCCTGAAGGCCTTGGGGAGGGCGCACCAGCTGAGGCCGGACAACTGGATCTGCTCGTATCTCATCGCCGACGTGCAGCGGCAGTCTGCGCAGTATGACGAGGCCATCCAGTCTTTCGAGACTATCTTGCAGGATCTGCCTTCCGAGCTCGGCGTCATGTTGTCTCTTGCGCAGACGTATCTGGACCATGGGCTCGCTCAGAATTCCTCGGGATTCATTGGAAGGGCGGAGGCGTCGTTCTTGTCTGCGATAGAGCGATCTCTCCAGGCGTTGTTCGTCAGCTCCAGCAATCACGGCGTGGCGTGGAAGACGATTGCCGATGCGCTTTTCTACCTCTTCGAGCTGACTTCGTTTGCGGATTCGGATCGTGCAAGCAGTCTTTTCTCGCGAGTAGCTGAGTACGCGTCCTCGGACTTCGGGGGTCATCTTTCCGGCATCGTATCGTTGCCTATCGAGATTCCAGACGTCCCTGATGGAAGAACTGCACTGAAGCTTGCGTTGGCTTCGTACAATCACCGCATATCTCTTGGTCTGAATGAGGCGACTGCCGCGAGTGCGTGGTCCGATCTTGGTGTCGCTGCATACGTCTTGTCCTGTAAGTCCCCGAAACCTCAAATACAAGAGCATGCACTGCACAGAGCGATATCGAGCGTTAAGGAGGCGATACGCATCGAGCCTGATAACGATAATTTCTGGAACACGCTAGCCAATATGCACTTCGTGAAGCAACCCAAGGTCTCGCAACATGCATACATCAGAGCACTGGAGATCAATTCCAAGGTAAACGACTCAATTCATTGGAGGCGTGTGGGTCGTGCTTACATCTATACAGGATGCCGTTACTTGGACGAATTTAGGTCTGTTATACCTGTACAACAACGATCCGGACCTGGCAAAAGAGGCATTATCAAGAGCTCAGACTCTCGATCCGGATCATATTCTGGCCTGGCTTGGGCAAGCACTCCTTGCAATGTCCACCGGGAGGGACGCGGAAGCGAGGGCTTTGTTCGAGCACGCGGTGGGATTGTCTGCGGATGTAGTGAGTTTTCTCACTCTATACACTCCTTGGTAAGTTTTTGCTCAGCTTGGGACTTTTCGTAGCCGGAAGCGGACCTTGAATATGCGGAGAGGACGTTCAAGAGACTGTCATCTGTGTCGCAGCGACAACAGTCTTACTTGGATGTGCTCCTACCCGTTTTCCTGGTATTGGACAGATTCTGCCGCCGTCGCCCAGAGGACATCGACGGATTGCATCTCATGGCTCTTGTGTGCGAACACGTAGGCCATGTGGAGCTTGGCCTTGAGAAGACCGAGCAGGCAATAGCGATACTAGAGAAAGTGTACGAAGAATCCGAGGACCCCATGGTCGAGAGGCAGTTCGTCGTAGCTAATACAACTTTGGGTCGCTTGCGTCTCGCGGCCCAGGATTACTCGGGCGCTGTCGAATCATTCGAGACCGTCATGAACTTACTGGCCGAAGACGAGCAGCCTGCGAGCCGCGTTCTTCGGGTACAGGCGATGTTCGGCGCTGGCCTCGCGAACTTCAAAACAGGCGATATTGCCCGAGCTCAGGAACTGCTTGAACTTGCCTGGGAAACTTCCGCCGATGACGTATCACTGAAAGGGCAAGTAGCTGTGTTGCTGGCCCAGGTGTTGTGGGGCAGCAGAACCCCGGAGGCTCAAGAAACAGCGAAGTCCCGTCTTCTCGAATGGTATGTCACAAGACCTGTGCGCCATTCATGGCTACTCACTTGGTTATTAGCATTGCAGATGACCCGGAGAACCTCATGGCTATCGCTGTTCTTGCAGGTATGGGTATCCTGACCACCGACGATGATCTCGTGGACGCAACACTTTCGGAAATCCTCGCATTACCTGTTGACAAACGTCATGCTTTGGATCCTGCGAGAGACGTGACTCAGTTACTCATGAAGCATCAGTTAGACCAAGTAAGTTCCGCAGAGTTAGTATATCGGTGATCTACCTCACAATGCGCTCTATTCTAGAACAACATCTCCGAGGCACTTTCGATTGCCCAGCATGCCCTCCTGTCTGAGCCTGCCCGCCAGGAGATGAGGCGAGAGACGGCGTCTCTGACTCTACAGGCAGACGACGCAGGCAGTGCCTTAGCCATCCTGAGCGGTGCACAAGCTCAGGGTAACATTGAGGACCTCCTCAAGTCGTCGCGAATCCGGGCCGTGGCGCTTGCACTCGAGGAGCAAGGAGACTTAGAAGAGGCACGCAAGGTGGCTCAAAAGAGCGTTATGCTCGCGCCCTGGGACAAGGACAACTGGAGGACACTCGCTTTTACCCAATGCCGCTCGGTCCAATAAGGTTAGATACATGTCTTGCTGTTACCTGACAGATTGTAGATCTGGTGCTGGTGAACAAGATAAGCAGTGATGTAGATTAGTCTATATATGTACTCGTACTGTACGACGACTCGTAGCCTAGGGAGAATGAAGAGGCTATTGCCCCGTTCTCCATAGGCTCCCCAGTCCGACGAGGGCAACCCGCCTAGGGACAGCCTCCTTGGGATCTGTATCTACAACGTTCTTGAGCCACCATGTGAGAAGTTTCGACTGGTCCGAAGGCTTCATTCCGGAGGCGACCCTGGAAAAGCTATATTCATGACTCAAAGACCGGGACGATTTGCGTAGAACACTCACAGGCCTCGCTCCTCCAGAGCTTCCACTACCTCCACCTCCGTCAAGCGGCTACCATAGTCTTCCTTAATAAGAAGGCTATCGTCTTCGGAGATCATCGTGAGCCTCTTCGCAATCTTGCGTCTTCTCAAGGGAGTGATGGGGATAAGGGGAGAGGCGTTGAGGATTCTAGCGTGGAACAAAGTTCAGTATATGATAACACCCCATTTACAGCGTCAGAGCTTACGTGGAGAGTACTGAGAGTGAGTATGAGTCAAGTTCGCCGAGCGGAACGACACCTCGTTCGCCGGCTAGTTGCCTCAATGTTCGTAGTACGTCTTGGTTAACGTCCACAGCTGCCTGCAATCGCTCTCTACGCTTTTGCGCGATACGCTGCTGCTGTGAGGGTAATATGCAAGTGGAGGGAAGCATCCCGGGTGCGTAGAGAGCAATGAGGGGGACGATCTCCTCTATTATGAGGACGATCAGAAGGAAGGGGACGAGTCTAAGCAGTAACGGTGGTGAGATTGATATTCGCGGGCAAGGAATTATGGACATACCTCTTTATGTCTTGTCTATACGTCTGGATGAATCGCGTCTCCCATCTCGAAAGCGGGTGGCCCCCTTCCGCAACCCTGTTCAGCATCTCCTTCGTCCGCTTCGAGTTCTTCATGACCATCCTCATCCCCCTTGCGTAGAATTTCTAAACTGCACATTAACTGTGTTCTCCGGAGGCGGACGAAGGGACGTGTAGATACCATGAATTCCCAGACGTTGTGGATGCCCCGACGGATAGTCCCTGCCCCAGGCGGGGGAGGTGCGAGAATGCCGTGCTTGATGGCTTCCTCGATGTCTCGAGTCTTCGCCTCCTCTGCCTGCTTGAGCGCAGCCTGCGCGGTAGCCAGAGCGGCTTGCGACTCATCCTTGGCGACCTTGACGCTAAGTGCAGCTTTGTCGGCAGGCGTGGGCCCAGAGAGTGAAGTGCTTGGCGGGGACGTCGAAGTGAGCTTGGTGGGCTTCACCGGGGCAGGCTTCAAGTCCACTTTAGGCTTGCGAGACTTCTGGAGAGACTGTACTGCCTCTGATGAGGAAGACGACGGCTTCCCGGTCGAAGACGAGGTTGTAGAAGCTGCCCGGACAAAAGACGTGACGATGGCGTCTGCTGGGTACGCCTGCCGGCCCGTACCATGGCATAATATGTAGGGAGTATATGCCGGTCCCCAGATGCCAGAAGAACGCTTTGTCGCGGTTATAGACCTAAGTTCAATGCTTAGCATTATATCCAAGGTAGTTGCATACTCGTATCGCACTGACCTCTCAACCAAGCCATTCCTCGCAAATGAACGGATCATGCAAGCTGCTACCGCTTCGTCTAAATTTCAATGAAATACCAGTTATATAGCAGCAGAAACCAGCCAAAAGAGAGACAGGACGAGGAAGCTAGAGAGCAGAGCCAGGACTTTGCGATTAAGCAGGGACGTTGTGGCCGAAAGGACGCGCATTGACCCGGTCGCAGTGAGTCCCGGAGACGTCCCAGACATGTCCTGCAGACCTTCCCGGAGACCTATCTCTGCCGGAGGGACCCACGCACTGTAGGTTCGACATCTTACGTTTCCTCCTCGACTTTGGCGTCTTCGGGAGGCAGTAGCATATCTTACCATGGGACCTTGAATCGCAGATTTTCGCTCGCACTGCGGATGTCGCAAGTCGCTCGCAGATCTGTGCCATTGGTCGCGCGCCGGTCTCTACTTACACTCACGACTCCAACCATATCGAAGAACAGGAAGGCACCCTGTCCGTGATTTCGTACGGTAATACCTAACGCCATGTCTGCTGCGGTCCGCCTGAACAAGGATCAAATCAAAACCAGTGTTGATTTATTCTCAGTGTCGGGTCTGTCTGATGCCTCTGCTGTCTCAGTGGCCAATACGCTATCAAAACTCTACGGCTCGAGCACTGGACAGGCGCCTACGGCATCTCTTGTCCCATCTCACTTGATCCTACTATCTGCCGAGCCCCGCCATGCCCACCCGCCTTCACCAGAGATCCAGGAACACCTTCGGGATCTCATCGTGACCGCGCACGAAGGCGCAGCCGCCCTCTGCTGCGGCAGTATCCTTGCAGGGCAGGGGAGCGAGACCGACGAGTATGGTGATATTGCCATCTGGCTTGGTGACGGGCCATATGGCGACAATGCACCCGAGGTACTGGCAGCGCTCGGGCTCGAGCGCTGGGTCGGCGGGGATAGCGCCAGTACGGTATGCACCCTCCTTTGTCAGTGGATGTTATTGTTGTTGTAGACTGATCTCGACGTGCTTTCCGACATCAGATTGGTCGGATCAGTTTGTCACCGACGACCGGTTTGCCTGAGAGCCTCAGACCGCCCCCGCCTCAGACGTCCGTCAATAAGCTGGAAGAATTGCTGTCAAGATTAGAGAACAAGTATGCGTTCTTTGTGAAAGGAGGTCCTTCTGCTGGTGGGGCTGTTCTCCAAGTTCTACTGGGCTACATACGGATTGGAGAGGAAGGCGGATGGGGTGGAATAATGGGAGTTGGAGTTTGGGCTGATTGACTCGTAGACTGAATGGCTCGTGATAATCGGTGAATTATTGGCGATAGTCCATACCACACTGTTGGATTTGCTTGTACCCTCCGTAGTTTCTGTTGCTGACGCCAGCGGTAAATGAATAAAATCGTCCGCAAATCCAGTAGTAATTGGCGTGATGCTATAACGACGTGACTGATATCACGTGTCTACGCGACGCCTCGCTTAGTTTCGAGCCACAGCTGCTAGCGCTTCTCCTACCTTTGTTCTACCTATCAGACCTTCGCCTGCAGCGTGCCCGCATCGTCATCACCCTTTAAAGTGGTTGCCAGGACCGTTTTAGAAGAACATATACCCAGAAACATGGACACTTCCCCCGCCCTTGTCGCATTAGAAGAGAAGTTACAGAGCTTGAAGGACCTCCACAACCGTCTGCAGGCTATCCGTGTCGTGCCTACGTTCAACCCCTTCCTCAGAGCTCCTGCAATCGGTCTGCATCTGTCATCGATAACTGAGCCACTCGAAGGAACAGTGGGGGGCCTGAAAGAAGTGGGGGAGTTTCTCAAATCAGAAAAGGTCCAGGATGCGCTGAAGGCAGCCAGTGAAAGCGAGAAGGCAGACAAGAGTGATCTGACCATGAGCTGGAGACGTGAAAACAGAAAACGCCGGTACGTCCGAAGTCCTTTTGTTCTCTAAATTAGACGAGGCTCTGAGGCGTGGCGTAGCCGCGCGCCTTCTCCAGAATCGCCACAGCCCTATCACTCCTTCCAGCCGAAGTCCGCCTCGCTATTCCCCTTGCTGGAAGGTGAATCAACACCTTTGAAGGTAGACGATCTCCCGGAGTATATCAGGGAGTTCAACCGCAAGCCCGAGAGCCAGTGCAAACTTCACATATGGACGCCCACCCGTTCCCAAATCGGCCAAATCGGCAATCCTGTCATCGTCCGATTCACGATACGCGATGTCTTGACAGCGTACGTTACTGCAAGCCATGATCCCGATACGCGCGTCCTGGTGGTCGAGACCATGACTGCCTTTGGTCCTCGGGAGAAGGTGAGCAGATCTTGATAATTTAACCGTCGCACCGTTCGGGTTTTACGGGGACCCTTCACATAGAAATCGCCACACACTCGGTCAGACTATGTAATCTACGAGAAGCTCTCGCAACAGGTGGCGAAAATGCTGCAGTCGCACCCAACGGTGTGCTTCCAGACCGTGATGGTACGTCAGTTTGCACGCCATACGGCGGGCCGGTGCCTCTGTCAGAACTGATGGACGAGCGGCCACAGGGCCTGCTATCTTCTTACGAGGGCCTCTTTACGCAACGCTGCGCGACTTGTCAGCGTGTCCTCTCCGCCGAAGGACATGTGCCCCCGGTCGCGCGGCTCTGGATTGAGTCTGCAGCTGAATCGGGCTCCGGAAAAGAGGGTCCGAACTGGCAGCCTAGGCACGTCACCTGCCTCCAGAACTGACCAGGTATCTCGCCTTGTGATTGGCCCAGCTGAATAATTCGGCAATCATGATAATTCCCCGTGCTGTGGACATGGCTGGCAGCAGCCATGATCGCTGGTCAGGATATTGCAGCTTTGTCTCCGACGCGAAGAGGGGCGACCGTTCGATGGTCCGCCCGACGCAGGCGTCGATAAGTGTGACAGTACTCTCGCTAGCCCTTCCGACTCTCGCATTGGTTGAGAGAAAGGAGTGCACGCGTCACGACTTCCATCTTTGGTTGCTGTGTGGTTCTTAGGAGTTCAGTATCGTCGGCACAAGGCAGGCGCGGCCAGCCACTCGGTGCTAGTGCTGCTGCTCTTCTGTGGCCCGGTATGTCGGGCCCGGCAACCCATACCAAGCTGCCGATCCGGGAGCTATAAAATTCTACGGTTTATTGTGGCATTGGCTCAATACAAGACCAAGACCAAGTATAGTATGCGTGTGCCTGCACTCAGGAGTCTGGTGATAGACACAGCCCGAGAAGGGGCCACAATGGGACCCACAACGCCGTTGTGGCAGCGCTCCCTCTTACCAGGATTTGACGAGATGGCGCGCGTGTATCGCAGGCGCGGCCAATGCCCTTTCTGTATGGAAGTGAATAAGAAAAACACCGGCTTCTGAGCCGCATCAGCCCTTACGGGCAGGCCCTTGATGCGACAAGGCTGGGAGGATGTCAATCGTCTTCTGAAGATATGAAGGTCACACCATCCCAAGTCCATTTCCCTCTAGTTACTCATGAAAAAGTACTAGCTACAGGTCATAGCGGTCCTACTAGGCCATGGCCGTACAGCCTCCAATATACTAAACCTCCAAGAAAACCAAGCTACCTTCATAATTCGCCTCGTCTACGTGTCTATACTAGGGCGGTTATATCCTATGACGAGGTGTCTTTGTGACTGTGCGACGTCCATCATTCAATTGATAAATCAATTTAGTTTCGGTCGGTTTATTTACCGTTTCCAGCCGGGACGCCAACTTCGCAACACGAGGCTACTGACCATGTCTTCCGATAGAAGCCGAAGACCTCGGTAGTAGGATACCGGGCACATGGCAGATCCTGTCGCCCCATTCGCCCAGCCAGCACCTCATTATTGATTCTTTTTCCTTTCGCCCACCAGCTATTACGACTGGTGGGGCTAGCCCACCTACACAAGCCTTCCGCAAACTTTGATCTCGATCTCTCCCATTATACCTCCTTTCCTGAAAGAGGCGACAGTACCCGTTAGGCCGCCCTTGCAGCGCCTTTTTTTTGTCAGCGATCGCACCCGACAGGGACAGCCCGATTTCCTTTATGCTCCAAGATGATATAGGACGCCCAGTTTGGCATTCAATTTAGTAGCCAGCCCCTCTCCCCTCGCCGGTGTATAGCCATACAGCGGCCACGATCGACAGGCCTCTAGATTACCGGAATACCCCAGCCTCTGTGGCAGCACTGAACGCCTGTTACGACACGCACGACAATTCAACAATATACCCTACGCAGTAGAGTGGAAGGCATCACTAGTCAAGTTCTAAATCGAACCGCCCTTCCCCCTTGCCGTCGATCATCGGTGCGTAAGCTAACAAAGGATTGCACGTCGCGTCAGCCATAGGGCCGGCTGACCTTTCCTTCTTCAGCTCCAGTCTTTGTGCAGTGTCCCCCTTTCGCCACTCTGCCACAGAGATTCTTAACCTGATACCCCCCTCGACCACCTCCTGTGGCTTTGTCGTATTTTACGCTTGCTCTGGGCCCGATTGCCTCTCGGATCATACGACGCGTGCCACATCCTTTGTGTCCCGGCTTTGGTATCTCGCCTGGCATATATAAGCCCGACTGGCGAAAGGTTGTATACCCTCCGTCCTCCCAGACACCGCTGTACTTCTTCACGACCTTACCGTCGCCGTTGTCCCTGTCGACTACATGGGACCGTACCGCCGTTCGAATCACGGAACACAAGTCACAGCAAACACCATGGTCCCCGTCCGCTACATTTCCACCATCGAATACTCGCCCACCTTCGGGCTCACTGGTACTGACTTCAGAGCGCGCGTTCACTACTGCCCGCCCGCGGGAAGCGCGAAGGAAGTCTGTCTGCGGCTCGTATTCGGCACCAAGCCTGTTAAGACGGACTTGATGCAGATAGAAGGCAGCATCTTCGATCTGACCGCTAAAGTTCCGGATCAGCCATGCCCCATGGGACGAGTAATCCTGCTCGTGCAGTCCGTCACCAAGAAGAAAGAAGTACTCGAGACGGCTGTGCTGGGAAGCTTCACTTATAACGAACATGGTATGCCGCATGCCACTTTCTGTCTACTGCCGCGTGGCTGACCCTTGTTCGGAGGCGTACATGCCACTTCATTAGGTGCCAGTGCGCCCGAGGAGCAGCGTTATTCGGGCGGAAATGCGCCTACAACGAACAATGCCACACGCGTGCGTTATAAAGCCCAGGATACATGGACGTCTATTGACCTTTCCTTGACATTGCAGAATTCTTCTCCCGCGTCGGATAGGTCATCCTCCAGTCGACGGACCCGTACCCGCCGAGTGCGTTCCAAGTCGTCGCCTGCTACCGCTGCGAAAATGCAAGCCCTTGTGCGCACCCGCGTGTCCGCCGCCCCCCCATCTTATGGCGGTTGCATCGCCAAGAAGGCTGTCATCGAGGTATTGACGCCTCTCGATGCCATGGCGGAGGACTGGAGGGAGTCCGAGAAGCAAGTCGGACGTCGTCTCATCCGCTTCCACGTCCAGCGACGGGAGCACATCTTGAAGGTGTCGTGCGAGAAGATCGAGCAGGCCGAGTATGACGAACGGGATACCGTCGTCTCCTGCATCTATCGCACCGAGAGCGGCGTATGCTACATCACCTCCGTCGACATCATTTACCTGCTCGAGCGGATCGTCGGTACTGTCTTCAAGGTCGAGGAGAAGAATCGCATCAGGAGGAATCTGGAGGGGCTGAAGCCTATCACCACGGGTAAAGGCAAGAAGTGGTGCGGGGATTTCTTCCAGAAGATCATGGATTTCCCCAACCCGAAGCCGAGGACCATCGAGAAGGATCTTAAGGTGTTCGAGTGGCGAGTCCTTCGTCAGGCGCTCGAGAAGATCATCTCCAGATACGTGAGTCCCATATGTTGCTCTTAGTTTTGCTGGACCTCGAACGCTAATTCCCCGATTGTAGTCACTGTACACGAGTGCCACGGACCACAGTGCCCCCCAGACGTATGGCACAGACACACGTGCAAGCGGTAGTCCGGAGTTTGAGTCGGAGCCGCTGGGAGACTTGGTATACCCCCAATCGCTGGATACCATGGGCATACCGCCCTCTGTTATCACTGCTCTCACACCTCCCCGGAGCCATTCTCTTTCGCCTGCGTTCGCCCCGGATGTAGCCATGGCGGACAGAGAGAGCTCCGGTTCGTCAGGCTCATCACCCATGCTCAGCAGTTCTCCGCTGTATCAGGCGACAGCGGGCGCGACCGTCGGTGGATGGGCTACCGAGCCGAGCATGCATGGCTACAACATTGTGCATCCCGGTCTGTATGTCCCAGCGCCCTTCGCCGACGAAGCTTACTCCGCGAATGCCGGGATCATTGATGACTTCACGACCCATACTACCTTTGATTATAGAATGCCCTATGCCGTTCCGACATCGCAGTATTATATGTAGCTGTCTTCTCTGGTATATTCGACGATCTCTTTCCTGGACTAGCATGTTTTTGCGTGTAGTTATACGTATTGTACAGACCTTCGTTGTCTGGATTGTATCGATACCTTTTCGTATTACCTCGCGCGTAGCAGGATCATCTTCACTTTATTCGTCTACTAGCCTATGAAATTCAGTGATCTATCATGAACGACTAACATGCACAACTAAGATGCACATCGCAACTGGGATGTGCCAAGGTATACATTACGGAAGCAGTCGGTTACATGTACAGTGTTTACAACAAAGAGCAAAGATCAATAAATTTATCCAAAATCAGAAAGATCCAGTATGTAAGAGATGTTACCACCAGAACCTATGCCATGGAACACGAAGGGATGGTATGATGCGACGTCCTCATCCATCGCGGCGACCGAAGTTTAGACTTCCTAGCTTAGAGAATCTACCTCTCAAAGAGCCCCCTACGCTACCTAAATGCGTCCCGGACGTGGTGAATGAAGCGCCTGAGCCAACGAAGCCGAGCCCGCCATGAGTTGGGGCAGTTCCTAGGACGTTGACATAGGACTCGTGCGGAGAACCAGCCGATAGAGAGTCACTGCCGTTTTCAGGACCAGATGCCACACCAGTTATGCCATGGCGGGTCAACTGTGCCATATGTCGCTGAAGAGGGGTTTGTTTCGCGGCTCCCCCGCCTAAGCCTTCTGGAGCACCATGGTTCCCTCCAGTGCTTGCTGGACGAGCATGCGATGCCGGGGATGAAGGGTCCGTGATAGAGTTGCCGAGTTGCAATGGAGGAATCACAAAGGCAGGTCTACTCGTAGATGTAGTAGACATCGACCTCTTGAGTGATGTTTGGTCGTAGAGAGACCGAGGAAATTGGGAGGGGGATGCCGCAGAGGATCGCGATATCCTGCTGTCGTCTCGCAAAGCACCTCGCTCCGTATCGACGGACAGCCTGTGTATTTCCTCCTGGAAGTTTTTCCTAAAAAACTTTTCCAGAGTGTCGTGGAATGGTAACATGTCCGGCGGGCATAGTTGACCGTGCAGCTTCAAGCAACTGTCAATCGTACGGACCTGGGTGACGATGAGGGTCCGCCAACAAGACAAGGACTACGAGTGAAGAACAAACCTGATCGTCAATAGCCTGCCGCAGTTTGTCAATTTGTTCGATTCGATCCGGATGTCGCGCTGAATACTCGGGGGTGAGGAAAAGTTGGCGGAAGCTTGCTATGCCCCCACTGATGGGAGCATCGACTGCACTGTTGAGAGCCATTGACAGCGCGTTCGTCGAGACTGACTGGGCCGTCTTGGTAAGTGTAGAGTACCGAAGGTGAAGATTCTGCAGCTCCTTGGTCTTCTCTTCTACTTCTTGGAGAGCATTCTCGACGGGAGAGATATAGATGATTTCTGTGTCGACGATCTCTGACCTCCTCAAGACCGTCGGGAACGACTCCTCTGTACTGAAGTACGTCTTCTCGATCCATACCTCTTCCGACCCGTCCCTAGCCTGTCTGGTGACAGGTCTAGAGCAGCTGAAAAGGTTGATGGCGCTTCACAGAAAAGGTGAGCGACGGCAATTGGAGACCAATGTGCTTGACACATACCAGTGCTCATAGTATGTCCGGACCGGAACTGGGACATCGAGGTTGGTAAAAACAGGTAGAGTGCGATTAGGCTCCGGAACAACTGCCGTGCATTGTATGTATTGATCAGTACCGAACCGGATGTCCACTGGCGGGTCCCCCATGCTCTTGAGAAGTTGGGCTCCAGGATGCTTGTTAAGTATTCTCTCGCAGAAGGCGCCAAACTTCTCCCATTCATAACCTCGATACTGAAGCAGCACCGATGAGACCGGATTTACAAATAAAGGACTGCACTCACAATGAATCGTTTTCCACGAATGGCATCTGGGAAGTTCCCGTAGAATACCACCCTGAAGTAGTCAGGGTAGTACCTCTGATCCGTGATGATGTGTTCCAGCAAGGTTGCCCGATGTCGCAGTATTTCGGCGAGTCTCGCACTTGGGACAGAAGTCAGCGTACCCTGGCATCCGTTTACTGATTGGCTTACTAGTTGAAAGTGACCTCTTCGTGCTGGAAGGCCAGCTCTTTACAGATCTCAATTGCACTTTCCCAGGCCTTGCCCTTCCCTGCAAATACGTTAGTGAAAGATATGAAAGGAAGGCGTTACGAAGTACCGAGGTAGTCAAGGATCAAGAGACTCAAGGTCTCCTTCCTGTGAAACTGAGATTGCTGCGGGAGACCCAAATCTTCCATCGGTTCCACAAAAGTATTCAAATCCCAATCGTGTAGATCCGAGTGTAACTTCAGAGTCAGAGCAGCCTCTACGTAGTTCTGGGATTGCAGGTGCATCTGCAGGCACGTAACGCCACTATCAGTCCGACTATTGAGCAGAAGAGCTAAAACAACGCACATTGACCAGCTGATGTACATACTTGATGTACATCTCATCCCGCCCAATTCTTCTTATGAAGTTCATGAGGCGAAGCTGAAGGTAATCGTTAGAGACTTATCCGGTAGAACCACAATTAATCTGACCGTGGCAATGACTCTGTCGTCCGCAAATTCCTCACCCTCGGGTAGTGCCCGAACGCTGAGCAAAAGCTCGAGGAACTGATCAACAGCTTCGAGGAAAATCGTGATTCGTTCCCGTAGCTGCGCATCCACATCCGACGAATCAAAGAGATGCCTCAGTTGCCCAATGAAGAAAGCCCTTGATATGTCGTCTCCTCGACTGTCGGACATGAACAGCGAATCGAGCTTGCTGACTACTTCGTTCTCGATTTCGTCGAAATGACCAGATGTGTGGTATTCCGAGATGATCATGCTATAGAGAATTTGAACGGCATTTTGTCGCAGCTGATCGTGGTGGCTGAGACATAGATTGACTATATGGCCAACGAGAACGTTCAGGGCAATTTGATAGCCCTGAGTTCTACGTTAGATTGTGGATGCTGCTGAGCATTGCCAGACTTACCCCATAAATAGGCGTCGCAGTACCGGAGGACCAACCCAAAGCATGCCAGAGCCGGAGCAAAACGGCAGCACCTTCTCCTCGTATATCACCTGCTAGCCGCCAAACGGCGCGGCGCCTCTGTGAGGGTGTTAGTAGTAGTACTAAGATAATCACGAGAGCAAATTGCTGCACCTGTGGGCTAAATTCTTCGATCATCAGTTGCTCAGAGGAACAAAGCTTTAAGAGAACGTAGACACATTCTTGCCAGAGGGCTGCGTCAAATTGGAAGGGGGCATGTTCATGGGGCACGAAGTGTCGCTCCATTAAGGTAGCCACGGGGTCCATGAGTTTAATCAAGACCTTGTGAGCCAAAATGTTGACGTTCAACCAATTATGAGGGAATGCCCCGTTATCCACGATAGAGGCCGACACCTTGAAGAGTTGAGACAGGAAGTTCCTGGTGTTATCCCTACCTTCAATCTCAAGCATTTGATCAATTAGGAAATTCAGGATATTCTTTTTCGGCGATGAAAGAATGAGTGTGAGAAAGACTATCGCAGCTTCGCCTAGTCCAGGGTTAAAGACAGCTTTGTTAGACGTTGGACCAACAGGGTTGTATCGGGGGCCAGCCGAATTAGGAGGATGTGCAAGGAGCGAAAATGGGTATGATTCAGGGAATGTGACAGGCGCAGAGGCCGTAAGGGTAGTTGGAGAACGTGTACGCTCGATAGCACGTATTGATAGCGGATTTTGAAGCTCGACGTAGGAATCCAATAGTCTTGTAAACAGCAATGTCAGCGTGATGGACGGCGATCAGTAACAAGACGTACCTAGGCAAAAGGGTCACGAGGTACTCGATGTTATCTTGTTCTTGACGAAGTAGATTCCTGTCGCTAATGGTGGAAGGTGATATTAGATTTTGCTGCAACTTGTCCAGCATGACAGCGATGATCGTGACACATATCCGAATACTCTCGATCCACTCCACGCGTGCAGCGTCCCGCGCTGAATCAGAGTCGCCAGCTTGCGTGTGAGCATACTCGTCAAAGCGTCCAAAGTGAGGCTTGATCCATATTACGACGGCGTCAACAAGCAACGACCGGGATTGAGGATTGTCGAACAAGAAGCCCTTGACCAGCTGCAGATACATGTTCAATTTCCACACGACAATCTTCCCTTTCGCAGGCAGTACAGCATTGGCGAAGGTTGTCGCTATTGTCACAAGCTCCACTGTCGAAAAGATCTTGGCAAGTTCAGGTAATATCGCTGTAAAGTGCTTCAAGGCGATCGTCTGAGCTCCAATGATCGAAGATGGACTTGTAGTGGACATCATTAGATTGACTTCTGAGAGATGAGCTTGCACTTCTCGTTTGAAAGTTGATTCAAGATGTTCGGCAGTCGCGCCGCCTCCCATGCCCAGTTCTTTCACTTTCTGTAGTTCCCGCGACCTGGCGATAAATTTGAAGATATAGTGCCATACTTTCAGTGCCGCAATCAGAGCTGTGGATGTCGGGTTAGCAAGAAGTCTGTTCATGGAATGTAGCATGTGCGAGGAAGCTGGAGCACAGTTGAAATGCTTCTCGATGTAGACGTCCAACACCGGCTGGAAGTTGCTGAATCGCCGGTCCTGCACTATCCCGAGCACAGTGACGAGCGCGTTGAACACCAGATGGTCCATCTCGCCCGTCTGATTGCTCCGAGAGACGAGGATACCGAACAAGGAATCAAAGATGTCGCGCAAGAACTTGACTATCTCGACCTCTCCCACGAACGTGAACTTCGTAAGGATTGTCGAGAGGAGCTCGTTATCCCTAATCTTCTCCCAATTCAGGAGACTCAGTAGCACCGAATTTTGAGTGAACCTGGTGGAGCATAGGGATGTCCGGAGAGTGAGATGGTCCCGGATAGCCTGGGTCACTCGCGCCATATCGGCCGGTAGCGGTAACTCATTATATCTTTGGTTGGGTGCCAAGCATGGCGGCGCCGACAGATACATGTCGGGCGAAATTTGACTCAACCTATCAGCTCGGTAGAGGAGGAGCCTGTGCTCGCCGTCTTCAGGGAAGGCGCAGTCATCCGGGAATAACGGAAGAAATGCGAATGCGAAAGGACGTTCAGGTGCGTCAACGCCCGCTCGCCCAGCCGTCTTCTGGCTTGAACTACGGTTCCTGAAGGTGAAAAAGAGGTGCCAAGACGGTATGCCCTGCAACGGAAGCTTGATTTTAATGAGCTCTCCAAATGTCGGCTGATTGTTCTGCTTGAAGACGATAGAGTGGAATTGCTTCACCGCCGGCTCTCCGCTTCCCATATACAGCGCGTCCTCCACGATTCGGCCGTCCTGATCTCGGATCTCGACAGTGACCTGTATGTTATTCGCAGTGGACGCAATCTGGCCCCTTGCGAAGTTCGCCATACTCGACCGCGCAGACCCAGACCGGGAGGGAGAGAAGTCTCCGCTCCATAACTTGACATAGAGCTCGTTACGAACATCGCCCGGGAATACGACATCTGGGAAGCCAAGCCGTAGGGTGAGCGGGGTATCCTGGAGTAGCGATGTATTCTCCTTGATGATCCTCTCCGTCTCTCCGTGATATACCTTGATGGAAACGACGAGCATATCAGCCCTGAAATGCGAGTCAACGAATGAAAACCAGGCACTTCCTAAAGCCTTACCTTGGCGATTTCTCAAATTCCTTCGTGTAATTCTCGATGATATCCTGATGGAGCATAGAGAACCCGCTCTCGTTGTTGGGGACAGGGACAAAAATCGGCATCGGATGTTCCTTGGTCGAGGAAACCTCAGAGTGGTCCGCCGCCATCTGGGTGAGCTGGTCCAGCGCCAGCACGGCGCATCCAAATGGTCGACGGAAGGTGTTCCCCGGATCGCTCGACGATGACTGGCCATTCGCTGGTTGCGAGGGACCATGAAAGCCTGCGCCATCGCTCTCTGACTCCCTCCGATCAATGGGCAAGCCAGAGCTGAGGTTACTCCCGAGCTTGAGCGCACCCTTCCTGACGATACGGCAGACCAGGTATATCGGATCCTGGACATCGGACTGTACGAGATCAGTGAAGAGGGTGCGGATATGCGCGGATGGATCACGCGAGAGCCTCCCGTGGTGATTAAGTACAACGACAAAGTCCTCGCTCACGAACTTGGACTCTGCCCGGTTATACAGGGAGAACCACAACTCCGCAGTCTCTCCTGGAGCACAGGGAGACGCAACGAACGCCTTCAGCTCAAGGAATACGTGATAAAACTTCGCAGCAGCGAGTTTCGGGGGCTGGGGAGGGCCCAAGGAGCCGACAGCACGGGAATGGCCCTTCCCTCGCGTCGGTAAGTCCGGAAACGCAGAATGTGCGGGAGTAGGGACGGGTCCCGTAGACGCAAAATCTATAACCGATGCAAGCGCAGGGAGCTTACCGGACTTGAGCGGTGTGTTCGTATTCACGTCCATGTACGCCAGGGACGTCTGCATCGCGTACATCCGCACGGCGCTGACCCAGCTGCGCGGGTCAATGTCGCCCTCCACATCAACGGTGACGAGCGCACCCCACGTTGGGTGCCGGACGATCACGTCCAAGCCCTGGACGATGTTCCCACTTACCAGTCTCGCCACGCAGTCCCGCCGGAGGTTCATCGTCTCGTCCGCGCTGAGCGTCTGCGCGAGGAGCTGCCGGCGGCCCAGATGCAGCGCCTCAATGTGCTCCCGAACGGTGTGGAACAGCTTGTAGTCGCGCCGCGCGAGGTACTGGAACATGAGGGTGTGCCATTCCCGCAGGGCGGACGCTATCTCGTCGATGATGGGTTGCTCCGCGCCGCTCGCTGTGTCATCCTGCATCTTCAATGTGGGCCGCGGGGGGAGCGGCTTGATGAGCTGCGACTCGGCAGGGGAGGACGAGCGGAGGCTCTGGGTGTACACGGGGAGCGCGGCCCTAGACGAGTTCGCCTGCTCGGGCGGGGGACCCAGGCGAAAGGACCCATTATTATTGTTGGGACGCCCCCGGTGCGTGTCAACCTCGTCGTCTTCCTGGACGGTGTGCATGCTCGGGGTAGCTGTCCCCGTCCCGGATCCCGGCGCGCCGATGTTCGACGCGTGCATGGAGGCGAGGTCGGCGAGGCGGCCCTCGGCATCGGAGAGCTCCTCACGGACGTAAATGTGCGAGGAGGGGAAGATGCCGATGAAGACCTGCTGGGGCTCCTCGGCCTTCGCGAGCGGCTTGGGCGTAGAGGACGAGGGGTCCGAGATGGCCGACCAGTTCACCGTCGGGCGCCGCGTCTGCACGACGACGTACCTGCGTGCGTGTCAATGAAACAACGAGCGACAGCGAGGCGGTACCACGCACCCTCTGTACCAGACCCCTTCGCACTCCTTCCCCTTCGGCGTGTACTTCTCGAAAGCGTATACCTCATCTCCCACCTCCAAGGAAACGACGTCCTTGTACTGGATGCTGTCAAACGTGGAAGCTTCAGTTACTGTAGAGAGCCTCGGTGTACGGCTGGAAATCCTGGTGTCGCGGTGCGAGGGGGACAAGGGGTGTATAGCATAACCGTATACGATTAGTGGTAGAGGTTCCCATACGCCTCGGCGACCCTCGCCTACAGCCATAGTGAATGGAAGGTGCCTCTTGACCGCCGGGGTCGCGCTATTTTTCGCTTGAGCGCTGTAGAGAGGGCCAGCGTACGGAAGAGAGAGATGTGGGCGCCAGTGGGACGTGTAGCGGAGAGGTTAAGCTGTGGCGGACGTACTGATGCTAGTTACCGTATATAGTCCGGTCGATCAAAGTCTGACGGGCAAATTTATGGTTGCCTGAGCGCAACGACGAGCAAGAATTATTGTAACTATAGCGAGTACAGGATACATGCTACTACGACTGTGTTTCCGAGGATGTTGAGGCGAAACGCATCGAGTTGAGCCCGTACAGTACCACACCAGTCAGCGCGGAAGTTGTGATCGGGCGTGCCTCGCTGCGTAAATGAATTCTCCCACTTACCATGTCGGAGGAAGGTCCACTGAGGAACGCAGAGCAATGATAGCATAGGAGATGCGTTCGGACCTCACTGTAGCGCTCAGTTGGTCTGATGACATTGAGAGTCTCAGGTGAGGTTGGGGAGTAGACCAACCGGCGTTGAATGCTGCGCTGCGGTCACGAAAGAGATCACGGTGATACATATTACCGCAACTGCTTCGTGCAATACAAGGCATCATCAAGAGTTGCCAGAGAACCTGCTCGCCGCAGTGGTCGGAACCGAGCAATCCGTTTTGGCGCGAAGGTAAGATTAACTCGCAGCAATGGATCTTGACTCTTCCGAGTTAATGAGACACTGGCAGCGAGGCAATGCAAGACGGATGACAATCCATTATATATGATAGGTAATCGGACTGTAGATATAGAGATGCCAAACCATATTGGATTGCGAGATGCCGGATGTAGTGAACAGAGTCAAACCAAAGGTTAATGGACAGAGCTGGGCCGGGGAATAAGTAACGATGACATTGTCAGCCGCGACATGTTAGCATCAACGTGCCCGCACAATTCTGCAGCAAAGGTATAAAAGCAAACCTTACATCCCCCCTGGTATAACACCGTAACCTAAACATCAAACATCACCATCTGCTCCCTCGTACTCCTATCAATCCTAATCAGCCTCTTCGCCACCAGCCCATACAGCGCGCGCTGCGGTGCGCCCATGCCCACGTCCACCGGCCCCGCCCTGCTTGCTACGACCTCCTTCACCTGGTTCAGCGACATGCGCAGGCCCGGCGCGGACAGGACGGCCAACAGCAGCGCCGCGGTGAGGATCTGCTGCGTCGAGGGGCCGTGCGCGGGGGAGAAGGTGGAGAGGGAGGCGGACGAGGGCGAGGCGGGGTCAGGGGTTTGGGAGCTGAGGGATTGGAGATGTGCGCTAAGTAGGGAATTAGGTTAGAGTTAGCCGGTTAGTCGGTTAGTCGAATGTGTAGTGGAGAGCAGAAAGGCGTACATTGTCTCTTTCGCTCGTGGAGGCTTGTTCGTCTTGGGAGATCCTGATACGTTATATGGATGGCCGGGCATGAGCATCTCGCCAACCGTAGCCCATATCTTCGCCTTCATAGTGACCCTCAGTGGCGTACTCCCAGTAATCAACAAACATACATACCACGATCCGCTCCACCTCAGTGGTTATCCTAACTTTGGGCTTCCGCACAGATTCAGTCCCTCCGCTGGGGGTTGGTTGGCTAGGCGTTTCTGTTACCAGCTCTATTTCTGAGGCAGGCGTATCAGGAGGCCGGGTAGGTGACGGGGGCTCGTCTGGCGGTTTCGAGAGGACGACTGTCTCCTGATCCGTCTCTGTCTCTGGCTCCTCCGGCGAGTCTGGTTGCTCCTCATGATCCTGCTCTTCTCCCACAGCAGGCGATTCTTCCTCCTCTTCTTCCGCCTCGTCCTCGGGCTCGTCTTCCTCAACCATATGTCGCGACGCCCGGCTGGCGGGGCCCGCTAGCGGGCTCGAGAACGAAGTAGTGACATTGCCCAGATCGACAGATTCGTCCATGATCAAGGACTCGGTGAAATGCAGCGTACGCGCGCGCGACGCGGGCGTGTTCCAGAACATCTCTTCTTGCGCGTCAGCTTTGGGTGGAGCAGCAGGGACAGGGGCGGGAGGAGGCGCCGGCCTGGGCCGCGCGGGAAATGCGCGCCTCGTTGTCCGGGGCGCGACTTGCTGGTGTAGCAGCGACTCCTTCTGCGAGAGAATGTATAGGTACGGGGTACGCGAGCAACGACAACTGGTACTGCACCTGTTGCTTCAGCTCAGCCATCTGCTTGTGCAGCTCCTGTATACGTCGCTCCTCCGCTGCGATCATCGATTTGGGGGACGAAGGAGGCTCGTCCGGACCTGAGCCAGCAGGCTTCATACTTAATCGTTGGCGAAGGGGGCATGATCAGAGCAAAATACTGACTTGCTCGGCAGCGGCACGGAGCCCTTCTATGCTCTCCCGCACGGATGTGAGTTCGTCGAGGAGGGACACAACTTGCGTTCGCGCTCGGGGCATGGGTCGGATATATTGACTGCGCCTTCTGTTATGTCAATGAATCGCAGACAAAAGTGTGTTACTCACTAACGGTCCAAGTATTTCAGTGCAGCCTGCGCGTACACCTCGGGCTCAGGTTCCCTCTCCTTCATCTTGATGCCATATTTTGCGCTTGGCTTTCTGAGAGGGGTAGCGCCGGGGAACCCTACGCGCGCGATCTCCTTGGGCGCTGTTCCAGTAGCCGCCGCCTCCTTATCAGGTAGGGGCCTGCTCTGTACCAGCGTAAAGAGCCCGATTTCTGATGGGTCGGCATCGCGGATGAGATCGCCTAGATGAGTGTGGAGGACGGCGCGGGTGAAGGGGGTTCGGTCGGAAGAGGTGGATATAGAGGTTGCGGTCGAGCGGATGGACTTGCCAATCTGTAACAGGCGATCGGCCGAGTCAGTGAGGGAGGACATTGCCCGAAGATATTTGACGAAGTCAGTTCAGTAGGCGTTGTGGGTCCATCAACTTGACGCGCAAAGACCTCCCCTATACTCGTCACGTGCTTTCAAGGGCCACAATTCGCAGTCTTGCCGCCACACCCTTGAACACTGTAGGGACGGAAAACGCTGTCGACCTCGCTCAGAGTCGGAACAGTGGACAGCTCATGTTTGAACGTTCAAGAAATGAACGGATTGCGAAGAAGCATTTAAATCCTTACAATGCGCTAGATAACTATTCTATTACTCGATTCAATATCAATGCGTCCCCCGAAGTCCAATAAACCCCCACTCTATTGTATGATATGAGACTATTCAACAATGCAGCAAACACACATGCAAGATGCAATGATGGCGGAACGACCGTGAGAGCGTGCTAGGAAGAGTAAGGAGGGGAGGGGGGAGTGCGAATGCATGCGCTGCGTAAAAGACGTGGATGGGCCCGACCACCTTCGTCCGGGTATTAAGATGCTAGGAATGAGTTCCGGCGAAGTGGCTTGGGTATAGGGTGAGGGTAAGGATAGGGATAAGGAAACATACGAATATAACACAAGAGTCCAGTCTCTCTTTCACTCTCAGAACCGCGAGCCTGGATCCAGCGGCCCTAACGGGCCGTACCCTTCTCCCGACGACGACTTGCCTCCGCTTCTTTTCTTCACGTGCGTCTTTCGCTCGCCGTTCACACCCGAGCTGACGCCGTTCGTCGGTCTCGTGGGAGACATGGGCGAAGTGACGTACGTTGGTGTTGATGCACCTGGTGATGTCGACCGCTGCATCGGCGCGTATGCTGCATGCCCGTCGGAGAGCTGATACCGCAGACCATTCGGTGGCACTTGGCGCGTCGGCGTCTGCACTGGCGACTTGTCATCGAAGCCCTGTTCCAGCATAGCCTCCAGATCAGAGCCATCCACAAGACTCGTCCGTGAGGACGACGCGTCAGGAACGAACAGGCCGGTCGGAGGTGGCGGATACTGAGCGCTACCCTCGTTGTATCCACCAATCTGGCCTCCCCAGTGGTCGTCTTCGGAAGAAGCGATCGAGTACGTGTCGGACCCATCATATTGACTGCGGGTGTCGAAGCGGCTGCTGAGCAATTCGCCCTCACCAGCTACATAGCCGGGCCCGTGCTGCCGCTCGAACTCTCTTCTTCTGCGCTCCTCGCGGCGAAGCTTGCGCAAGCGGGACCGTTCCCAGTCCTCCCACCTGCGTAATGGCACATTCGACCCGTCGAACGTGCCATGCCCTTCTCCATGGGCTTCACCTTTCCCTTCACCTTCGACTTTCCTGTATGAAGGGTTAGACGCAATCACAAAGATAGGCTGACAATGAAATGTCGTACCTAGTTTCACCCCATGAGAAATCATCGAAATGCCAGAACGCATAGACAGGGAGGATAAAGTTCCAAACAGGCAAAGCCAAGAGATATATCAGCATCCAGAACACATACACCACCTTGCGGGTGGTGATGAGAATGAGCACAGCGGGCAGACCGAGCACGGCGATAAGTAGCATCAGCGGGATCGCTTCCTCGAACGACTGCGGCGGGGTGATGATCATGCCAGCGATCAGCATGTATGTCAGGCTAATCGCGATGGGTAGCACGACCGTGCCGAGGAGATCCATGAAGACGACGAATTGCATGCTGAAGCAAAAGGTACCGCACAGATCCCGGACCAAGACGAGCTCCATAAGATTGTGAATGGTAGAGTTGATCCACCGACGACGTTGGGAAAGGAGCATGCTGAACGTATCGGGGACGATGGTGCGACACCGCGCTTGCGGCAGGAACATCATCTTCCGGTTGGGGAACGAGCGTAGCAGCATGGTCGTCAAAAACCGATCCTCTCCCAGCAGCAGCAAGTTCTTCTCGTGCAAGGATACCACCTCGCTCTGGCTGTACTCTTTGATGATCTCCGGTTTGGTGATAAGGGGAACCCAGTCGTCGCCCGTGGACTTCCGGACCTTGAGGCGGAACATGGAGAAACAACCCGGCAGACACGTAACACCACCGAACACGGACTCGAACGCCTTGGCCAGGTGGTGGGAGATGAAGTACTCGAAAACTTGGATTGCGGTGACCCAGGACTGTCGTTTATTTGCTATACGAGTTTCACCGCAGACACCCATGATCATCTGGTCGTGATGCATGCAGTTCACCAGATATCTCAGTGAATCCGGGAAAACTTTCGTATCTGCGTCAACCTGCAGAGACCACGATGAACATAGTTCTTCGGTGATGTCAAGCGAGCATAGCTTACCATCAGGCAGACCTCGAAGTAGTCAGGGGTCACGCCCATAAGCGTATGGATCTTGCGGAACAGATCATAGTCCAGAGGCGTCATCCGGTCGTTATACGTCACCCGGGAGAAGAAGTTCATGAGGATAAGTTGACTGTCACGTTTACCCCGATTCCCGGGCTTCTTGTCCGATGCCGCCTCCTGCTCCGTACCGCATTTCACCACAACCACCGTAGGGGTGCGACGACCGGCAACGGCTAGTCGACAGTTCAGCACGCGGAGTAGGAATGGGAAGGGGAAGATACTCACTGTAATGGCCAGCATAAACCATCGCCCTGTTCTCCTTCTTCGCACCTGATCCTACGGCAATATAGCTCATGGGCTGGGGATTGCCAAACCGAGGGTCCGCATCCAACAGACTGACACAGATATCCGGAGTACTCTTCTTCTCACCCGCACCAGTGACCATCCCATCAGCGACAATGAACAGCAGCTTCCGAGCGTCGGAGTACGTCGTAGTGGAGATCGAGTCCAGTGTCGTGCGCATGGACTCCTCGCCCTCGGAATAACATGTTACCAAACACACAGCGAACAGCTCGGAACCGATTTGAGCGAGGCTGATGACGGGCGCCGCTGTCGGCTCAGCGAGTGTCGTGCTCGAAGCAGTAGCGAACGACTTCGCCGACTTGTTTGTAGGCTTGCCGAGCTTCCGTTGTTGCCCGCCAGGACCCGCCCACGGAGCAGTACCCGCCTTGTTGTCGATGGAAACATTGGCGCCCTCAGGCATCACTGCTGGACTGATCGCGGATCGCTTTAAAGTCATGTCGTCTGGCGGCCCCGCCAGGCGCTCGGACATGAACCAGTTGAAGATACACGCCATCACGAACCGCACGAGCACCAGCCCGAGAATGACGATCAGGCCGGCGTACAGCAGGAGCTGCGACACGAAACATCCAGGAGTGATCTTATCAATGTTGCCAGCGTAGTACCGCTGGATCATGCAGGGGACGGCCTTACGGATATCCTCGCGATTGTAGAAGAGACGAGTGCCATCGCGGCCGCTGGAGCCTTGGCCGGAGAGGATGGTCCGAATGGCGAGGTCGGCGTTGTCTCCTGGAATGGAGTGAGGGTGAAGCTCCATATATGGGTTCATGTTGAGAACGGCGCCGTCAATAACCATATAGTTGGCGAGTTCGGCGACTTGGTCCCAGTCATATCCAATAATAAAGCTCGTGTTATGAAGAGAAAGCGCGGAGAAAGTCGACGTGGAATTAATGGGTCCGAGTTTACAGGTGGTGGACTGGGCATTGGCGGTGGAGCAAGGGTCATCCAGTGCAACGCGGTAGTTAAGGTTGTCGCAAGCAGGAAAGTTCTTCGCGGAGCGCTGGAAGACGACGGTGATATCTTGGCCAGGGGTCTTGAGTAGGGCGGGAAAGTCGACACCATTAGTAGCGGCGGTCGACGTAGCGTTGAACATGTAGCCCTGGATGCCTAAGACACCCAGAGCGCTGCCCTTCCGGACAAATCGGCTTGTGGATGCTGAAGTGTCGGGACACAGTACCTTCTGGAAACCCACGGTCGCGAAGCCGACACCACCGCATAAGACTATAATAATGAAGCAGAGCGCCATCTTCTCTCTCCAAGCCTGGCGCTTCTGATCATCCTTCAGTCCACCCATGGACGAGAGAAGGACGTCTGGTGCCCAGAAGGTGACGACGCGGGAGAATATACGCCAGGGACTCCAGCCGCTGGACTCCGCCTGGGCGACATGGCCAGAGGGCGAAGGTAAAAGAGTGGCTGGGGCATGAATGAGAGGAGGGGGCGCGACGCCGCGCTCGGGTCTTGTGAGTGTTTTTGCGCGACGGACGGTAGCAGAAGACGAAAGCGGGGCCCGTGTCGTTGGAATAGGAACGTCGGAGGGGTCGTAGCGTGCGCGGTGCGAAGCCATAATGGGAAGTAAAGACTGGGGAGAAAAACGAAGGGCGGGCGACGGCCGTAGCGACAGTCGATGTCGGCGCGCGTCGGTCAACGAGCGGACGCTACGAGGACGTTGCGGACGATGCGGACGATGGCGAGGAGGGAATAGAAGTCGAGGAGCACAACGTCGGTCGTCGCTGTGTTTGGCCGTAGTATTTGGCGCGCGCTTCTTTCGATTCCCTTTTCCGTCCTCCCCCAAATACATCACGCCTGCTCCACCGCCCTCAGCAACGACGGCAAAGCGTCTCTTCCGCTCTTTTATTGATTTCTGGAATGTCCTCGACACTCATCGAGACATTTGAGACGCGTCCGGCCTTTGCAGAGGTCGCGCAATGGCAGGCGAGCGCCGAGCAAGGCGCGTCACTGCTGCTTACCCCGCAAGTCGAGGTGCAAGTGCCATCTCCGGAAGAGAGACTCGCGGCCCAGGTACGTCCATAGCTTATCCATATACGCAACTTTGCACACACAGAGCACTGCAGATCTACCACCTCGCGTCGCAGCATCATACCAGCGAGTATAACCGCGCAAAGTTTGGACCTCTGGGTATGTCTTGCGATCGCAGACGCGTCGGCAAACCTGATCACCATGGCACCACGCAGGTTCACCCGCTCCCTACGTCCCCCTTTCCATCCAGTATCCCGATCATTTTAAGGAGCTTCAGACCGTCCAAACTCATCTATTGCAGCTAAGAACATGGTGGCCGAGCAACAAGTCTCTGTCCTCGCAGCAACAGGCCACCACCATTGTGGAGCCGCACTCGCCTGTTCCTCTTATTACATCTAAGCCTGACGTTGTCGAGCTGCAATCTGAACTATCGGCAGCTATCGACGAGGCCCCGTTAGCCTTCGCTCAGCGGCAGCAACAGCTCCCGCAGTTTCCCATCAAAACCTCCGCAACGCATCCTATCAAGTGAGTGAGCTGATTAGTGTGGCATGGAACGCGGGGATTGATTTGGCTCAGCATCTCCATGATTATCCCTCCGGAACTAATGTCTGTCATCACCTCTCACCTAACCCGGTCCCGACAACCATCCCCCACCATCTTCGACATTCCTCCCGCTTGCTCCCTCGAGCGCCTCACCCTCCAGCCCCCTCCCTACTACGACGTCACCCCCCTCCCCCCATTCGCCATCCCTCCGAATCCTTCAAGACCTCGACTCTCCAAGCCGCTCCCCAATGCCAAAGAATTCGCTACAGTCTTCTCCAGCAGCACGTCCTTCACAAAGGCGATGCGAGCCGCCATGGACTGCAAAATACCAGGTGTCGGCAGAAAGTACTCGTTTGCCGACGCTGACGCTATAACGGTCACCGTTGCTACCGTACAGTCGACGTACGGCTTGCTGACGCGGTCGCCATCCAACAAGCGGTCAAATAGTCGCGGGAGTGCCGCCTCAGTCGTCCCTTCGAAGCGCGAGATTACCGGCGACGAAAAGCCAGAAGCTACATGTGCTATTGAGGACGATCTGCCTGACGCCGACGCCGGCTTTGGCACCCCTACCTTCCCAACGCCTCCCCAGTCTAAAATCGGCAATCTTTATTTGTCGTCATGTCCTGGGAAGAAAGGTATGTTGTCCGTAGTTCAACCGCGATTGCTATTACTGATGGCGATCACTAGTCCGTCTAGACGGTCCGGTAAAAGGTCGGGGGAGTGTATGCAGGGACCTTCGCTCAGATCTCCAAAGAATCAAAGATCTGGGTGTCGGGTGTGTTATCTGGCAAGTATCTCCAGTCTCACCGCAAATATTGCTAATTATCAGCCCGTAGTTGTCTGGATGACGTCGAACTGGACTTCCTGGGCGCATCCTGGACCGAATACTCCAGCATAGCACAGGATATAGGTCTGGATGTTCTGCGGTTCGTGCAGTCCTCTCGCCCGCCCTGAGCTGAAACTTACCTCTTAATCAGGATACCCATGCCCGAGGGCCTAGCACCCCTAACTCCGCAACTCCTCGACGAACGTCTCAGCCAAGTAATCGAGTCCTACACCCTGCGCGGCGTGCCCATCCTCGCGCACTGCCGCGGTGGCGTCGGCCGCGCGGGCCTCGTCGCCTGCTGCTGGGTGCTGAAGCTCGGGCTGTGCGGGTGGATCGAGACGGACCCGCGCCCGCGCGTGCTCCTCGAGGCCGGCGAGGTCAGGCGCGATACGATGCAGCTCGTCGAGCGCGTCATCGCGCTGATTCGGCGGCGGCGCAGCATCAAGGCGATCGAGACGTACGAGCAGGTCAAGTTCCTCGTCGAGTTCGTCGAGTATCTGCGCGAGCGCGCACCCGCGCCGGTGGGCGAGGTGGTCGTGGGGCTGAACGAGGTTGCTGTCTAAAGGGAGTGGGGTTAAAACAATGCAAACACGCTTTATATCGGGGACGCTGGGACCGGTCTCACACATCGCTATCGCCGTTTTCTCGTTGAGGTATGTATAAGGAACAGGGTAATGTATCACACTCCTTTCTCCTCTCGTTGTCTTGCATCGTCATCCGTAATATTTTGTTTATGTGTAAATTGTATTCGGTCGTTTAGTCGTAGCATACCCTGTCCGTACTGTACCCTGCGACGGCCTGCGTTACATAGCTAATCTGGAAATATGTCAATACGTGGATTTCTCGTGGGTGATTCTTCCTCTGTCTCCATGCCATCTAGTAGTTCCCCTCGTTCTATCTTGCCTCTGTCCAACTGCTCTCGCCCACGTTCCGTAATCAATCTACCCCCTGCGCCTGGACGACAATCCCTTTGCCTGATCCGCCACGCGGGTGGACCGCCACCGGGGATCCGGCGACTAACTGCTATTTTTAGCACCCGCATTAGATCCCGCACTCCTCGGTACACAGACGGATGTACACGACGCACACACCGTCCCTCCGCCGCGCAAGACAGCCTGCGACGCTCCGTCGGCCAGCCGCGTTTACGCTACGCATGGGACCGCATCTTGGACGAAACTACTATAGGACGGAGAACGCTTTTTGAGATACGGCTTTGGACACTAGTCTTGAGTACAGCGTAATTACCCAGTGCCACAATGACCAGGGTGCGTTATTGGGCGTTTCTTGGTGCTTGGCCTACTTCGACGTATTTGGGCTGAACTATCTGTGTATAACGCAGGAAATGGATATCTTGAACGCGGTGATCCCAGGATCGCGCAAGCCGATTAGCTTGCCGTCTAGCATGGCACCCTCGCCCGAGTCAGACGACTCTGGCCTGTCTAGCTCGCCCGCGAGCAGCCGCTCGAATTACTCATCGCTATCTAATGTACGAAGGAAACCACGAGTAACATATCAATCGCCCTCAGCGACACATCCTGCCGACCTGCGCATCGAGCCGCGCTCCTCCCCTACCAAGTCAGAAGCCTACTCCTCCAGCAGCTCACACTCCAAACGCTCCGCTAATACATCAGACAATCAGAAGAAGGACTCTAAGAAAGATGACACGGGCAAAGACGCCAAGGAGAAAGCGAAGACCTCCATGGGTCCGCCCCTGCCTCTCTACCACCCCCTTGGCAAGCTCGCGCTGTCCTTGGGGGAACTCGACCCAGAGCAGTTCGGCCTCCCGCGAACAGTCGTCGTCGACGACTCTGCGCGTCGCGCCTCGAACCGGACGCGTCGGCCCGTCGCGAAGCTGCGCGACGCCTCCGAGGACAAGCCGCCCAGCAATACGGCGGCATCCCCTCCCGAGGAACATGACGCTAACCCCGCCGCCGTCGAGAAGGATGTGGTGAAGGCGAGCCCGCGGAAGCGGCGCGGCGGGGGAGGAAAGAGGAAGAGGAAGGACGTGGACGACGGCGATAGCGCCTACCCCGCAAAGAGGACGCGCAACCCTCGGTCTGCGGCTGTCGTCCCCGACGAAGAGCCGGTAGAGGAGCAGGCGGAGCCCGAGGAGGTTGTGGAGGAGAAGAAACCGGAGAGAAGGTCGCGCAGAACGAGGAATACGGTCGGGAGGAGGAATTCGAGCGACAGTGACGCCACTAACATGTCCTCGCGCACACAGAAAGAGAAGATGGACGTGGACAGTACGCCTGCTGCCGAGGAGAACATGAATGCGGCGGCGGCGGAAGGTGCGTTTGCACCTCCCACGCAGCAGATGAAGGAAAGGAAAGATGCCGGCAAGGAGCCGGCCCCCGAAGTCGCCGAGCCTGTTCAAGATACTCCAGAGGATATCAAGCCTGACATCGAGACATCTGCTGTCGAAGAGAAGGCGCTGGAAAAGCAGGAAAAGGAGGAAGGCGAGCTCAGCGAGGAGCCCGAGGACATCCCTCCGAAAGTCTAGTCCCTTCAAGTGTTTATTGCATATTTCAATCATCGTCGGACACACTTCCTCCCCCCTCTCGCATCCACGGAAACACATCTTCATCTCCCCCAGCCTCATATTGTCTCATTATTATCTTATCTCTCCTCTTGTGCCGATCCCTTTCTTATCGCTGTCATTCGCCTGCTTGCGTGCTATGTTTGTCTCACTTTTGCTTTGGTACAGAGGTCTGTCTGTTGTGCAATCATGTCCCAATTGTATAGTTTTCCTCGCCCCCGTCTCATCTACCTAGTGTCTTATCCCCTGTTTTGAACTCGTCTCTCTGTAGTTAGCTACTCACTGGTATATTATTGGAATGAATGTGGAATTTAAGGTCTAACTCCGGATTGACATTCCAGAACCGACCCGCGACTGAAAGGAGGGTTTGGGTCCCCGGTCTAAAGTTAAGCTCGCCTTGGATACACGAGTTTCAGAACAGAAACAAATGATTGATTCGGGGAAGTGTTTGTTCGACGGCCTGAAGTTCTGGTGCTGGTTGGCATGGATGTGAGAACGGGAGAGTTATGCTCAGGCTGCAAGAAGAGGGCGGGTGCAGTGTCATCATGAGAATCGTTTCAGTTATTTCAGTGTCCATAGGACTGCAGGCTGCGAAAGTTATGAAGTTCACCATAAACTTGTGGACCGAACAGCATCCTAATGTTACAAGTTTGCTTCAAAAAAGCATGCATCGTCCGAGCTGAGGACCGCCGGTCAGCGGAGGGCATGCCAGTACTCAGACTGTACATATCACACCTCCAAGGGGCAAAGCATCCCCCTCCATATACAGCGCGATTCGATGTCCTATAGATTTATGAGGGCACCACTGACACACCTGTGGCTTCAAGTACCCAAGGAGCACGCGGGAGCAGTATAAACGCCAAGTATAAAAGCCCTTCCATGGGTGTACCGCAGCCTTGAGCCTGAGTAATACGGCTCGAAGCTGCTCAGGTGGAACTGTCAACGTTGTCAAATTTAAAGACGGATAGGACCGCTATGAATATGTCCGAGCGTAAAGAGACGTCAACAACGCTCAGCTGAGAGTCTAATTGAAGGGTCGCATGACCTCCGAACTTCACCTTATTTATACTTTCTCTGCATCTGGCGTATGTTTTCCTGTCCTTACTTCATGTGATTTTTCAAGGAAACAGCAATTACCGGCGACGACTCTGAATCTTGATCATGTCGGTCCCGAAAGCTGGAGACCGTAAGTTCACTACGGAGGGGCAATGCTCAGACGCAAGTGGGGATGGATGGTCATCAAGCAGGACGAGGTCTTGTCATGATCAGTAAGACTCAGCCCCGAAACTTGAAGGTTTGAAGGTTTGAACACCGAGGTTTTCTTTTCCATGAACCGTTCTGTTTGCCTTCGAAGTTGATCCGGATAGGGTCCATAATTAGCTAGCGTCCGCAACAACTTCGCAGCAATCGTGTCTTGCGCGTCGTTCAGCTTGACTTTAATGGATCACTGTCCACTAGTCAGGGGAGGCGAGGTCGCCCTTATGGCGAGCATGACAGCCCGCTCACAATGCGCCCATTCGGAGAGGGGAGGTTCCCCGTGGGGAATGAAAGCTTCGGTAGTGTGTTCTTCTGCGAAGCGAAGCATCGTCTCCTTTACGACTTCGTTTCATCTTGGGTACAGTCGACTCTGTCTTAACCCATACCTGTCATAACCCATAACCTGTAATAACCCATAGGTTTTTGGCTTCCACTGACATGGTAGATAGTAAAAACCCATAAGTCTGCCGTATCCCATAACCCATAGCTTTTTGAAGGGTCATAACCCATAAAACAACCTATATTAGGAAGGTACAGGTCTCCTTCTCACGAGAATCTGGACCATCTGGACCCTTAATTTTTGGTTCTCGTGGTATTTCAGAAGATAACCCATACCAGACTCAAGATTCCGTATCTAAACGGTGTCATAAACGACGTCCGGCCTATACCGGATAGGCTGTCTGTCACGCGTACTAGGTAGTCACATAATGTCACACGTTCTGGTAACCCATAGTCTGCAGAAACCCATAACTTTTGGGTTCCACGACCCGTTATGGGTTAAGACAGAGTCGACTGTACTCGTGACGGTTACTGTCGATGAGATCT